GAAGGCATGGATTTCCATTGTCACTTTCCTTCTTTCGCATTCCTTTTTCAGTTTCTTGGCATCTGTATTGACTGGTATATTCAAATTTAGGGACTGGTAAATAATTCTTATAGGTTTTATCTCTTCTAGGTTTGCTATCTTATCAGGACCGACAATTCCGATCATTGGTGAGGGTGAAGAAGAGGCAAATGATAGGTAAAGCAATCTGTTTCTGTGTGGATAAAGTTAATCTTCATTTTTGAGATTTTCCTCTGTGCGATAAGCTGACAAAAGCCGTTCTTGGCAAAATTATATAGGTTTTTAGAGACAGTATTAGAGACGTTTTGCTAAAATCTGATGGTTCTGCAGTTCTTATCTTTAAATATGATTTGCTTAGAATTAAGTTATTCATCTATGGATGCATAACTGTTAAATTCTTCTAGTGAATGCTTCTCACTAGTCTGTGTCCTCCTTCACGGCAAATGTTTACTTGCGGTACTTTTCTCTGTAGCCTTTTTGGGTACTTTTATCCCCCACTCCTTGTACTCTTGGTTCTGATTTTCATGTAGTGTATACTTTGGCACTAAAATCTAATAAAAAAGTCAACCTCGAGAAGTTGTGTAAGAATAAGTTGCTACCCTGTAGCTCTTTTGGCTCACGCCTTTGCTTTTGAGTGAAAATGAATCCGTAAATTGTGAACATTGTGCTTTCAAATGTGAAATGGTTGATTTTAGTATAGTTTTATCTGTACATTTGACATTAGTCGAGTAAAAGTTCCAAAAAGGGTTAGGACAAACTTCCAAACACTCTATCCAATAGAAGCCATGTGCTTAAACTGAAAGTCAAAAGCCATAGCCACCCCAAATAGGCTCCTGGACTTGACCAAAAAAACTGTGCTATTAATAGTTTTAGATTTTTTATGTTTATATATGTTTTGGCTTAATTCCTTGGTTAGGTATGTGGAGCAATTGGTTGCAAGTGCAGAGGCCGCTGTGGAGGAAGTCATCCGTCGCGGAGTAAGCTACTCTTCTCTTATCAATCTACACAATTCTTGTAAATGAGATTATTTCAACAGGTTTCATTTATATCATTTGCTGATTAAGGTTGCTCATCCAAACAAAATTGCTGTTGGAGGGCACTCATATGGAGCATTTATGACTGCAAACCTCCTTGCACATGCCCCTCAGTTATTCTGTTGTGGGATAGCTCGCTCTGGAGCTTACAACAGGACACTCACACCTTTTTGTTTTCAGGTAGGCCAGCGGTTGAATTCTTAAAGTATTTCTTGTCTTGCTTGACCTTGTGTCTTCTGAAGTTGCTTTTTCTTACTTCTGTTTGAGCCCTGACAATTGGTACCGTGCCTCTTTGTTTCTATAGAATGAGGTCAGGACTTTGTGGGAGGCTACTGATACATATGTGGAGATGAGTCCTTTCATGTCGGCTCATAGAATAAAGAAACCAATCTTGCTTATCCACGGAGAAGAAGATGATAATTCAGGAACACTACCCATGCAGGTATACATACATACGTACATGCGTACACACACATACGTGCGTACGTACGTACATACATACTTTATATAAATTATATATATGTTTCCAAGTCTAGTTTCAGGTTTATTTAAGGAAAAGGATACTGATTTTATATATGATACTCTTGGGTGGTGTCTTTGTATTTTCTTACCCTCTTATACTCTCTCAATACTGGTTTATTTCAGCACCGATTGATTTTTCTGATTACAAATGTAAAATCACTAACCTGCTCGCCACTTTGATTTACATTTGTGTTTGTTGCAGTCGGACCGCTTTTTCAATGCTTTAAAGGGTCATGGTGCTCTTTGTCGCCTTGTAGTTCTTCCCTTTGAGAGCCATGGCTATGCTGCTCGTGAGAGTGTCATGCATGTCCTGTGGGAAACTGATAGGTGGTTACAGAAGTACTGTGCATCAAATGCTTCTGATGTAACTGCAGATCTCAATTCTTGTAAAGATGATGAAAGCAAAGGAGTGGTGGGTTCAGAAGCCAAAGTAGTTGCCGCTAGTGGTGGTGGTAACCTAGAGTTGGCTGATTCTTATCAGGATCAGTTAAAATGCATTCCAAGATGATCACTGTGGTACTTACTACACGCTTCCATGGAAATATTCCAGCATCATTCTACGTTAGGGTCATATCATTGTGTATAGCATGTATGAAGTACTGCCACTTTTACTGAGGTTATCATGAAAGGAACGATTAATACCTAATTAATCTATTCTAGCATTATGTGCTTCGACTTTGCTAGAAATACCTCTGTTGTCTGTTGCTGAGGGTTTGTGCATATTAAATGATCGCAGAAGCACTATTTTAGATTTCACCATTTCTTTGTGTTCTTTCCCCACTTGCCACAGATATGTCAATGGCCCCTTAATTTGTTTTCCCTATTTTTTGAACTGAGTAGTTTTGGAACCTTTAGAGAGATTCACTTTGAAATCTACAGTGTGCGCCTTTCTGAGCTTCATTTCATGTATAGACAAATTCAATCATTTCGATTTTCTGAATTAACATCCCAAAGTGAATTAGCAACTCATGGATGGGACAGCTCGTACGTATTTATCTTCTGTATTGTTGTAACTTGCAGAGGAATGGAAGATGCACATAGAAGAAACTTGGATTGGCAGCTGTCTGTAAATGGTTCCTGAGCGGATCCGACTCTTTCCTGAAGAGCAATGCCTACCTGATGATAGAAATGACTGCTTTTGAGGATATTTGACTGGCGACGTTGCACTCAGAGGCCTCCCTGATTCATTTGATTTTGCTGCGGGTTGTCAATTGATGGAGGATCGATTGAGGTTGTGCCTTCATCAGATGTCCTGCATGAAATGTTGTCTAAACCGCAATGGAGCGGCACTTGCAAAATGCAGAGTTCTCCATTGCAGTTGAACGCGCCATGGTTTGATTGCATGGCTTCATCTTTCAGTCAAATTATCATGCCAGACCAATGAGTTTTGTTTGTCGCTCACTCAGATAAAATTATACATGGTAATAGTGAAATGCTCGATCTCGAACTCAATAAAGTACTGCCGCGCAGGGAAACATATGTCATGGAAAACTTGGGTATCGGTTTTTCTTCTCTTGCTTTAGGATGGTTCTGTTCTGGCTCTGCTTTACTTTTGCTATTAAAGTTTACCGTGTTGTGCTATGTGGATTACTTGTTGTGACGTCACTATGTTTAAGTTCTTTACATGCACGCGAAATTACATTCCTGATCACTGGTTGCAAGCACTCCAAATTGCTGCTAGTCATGTTTAGCGAGTATGCTATGGGGGTGTACTTTATGTATCGTCTAGATTTACCAATCAAAAATACGTTGGTAGTTAATATATGACACGGGTACTTCAGGTAGAAATGCTGCCTTCCTTAGTCATGACAGACTTTTCCTATCTTGAATTTATGAATGTTTATTCGGAGTAAGAAAAGGCGGAAAATCCCCTATTATTATTGCCTTTTGAAAATCCGCTTAGGTGTTTCATGGTGCTTTACTGCTTATGATGTATGTCGAGTGTTGAATTGGAGATTTTGCAGGGCTTAGTTGGTTGGCCGTTGGCATTTCATGCAAATTGTTTGGATCGAGTCTACCCGTAAAGGCCGGAGGTACGAAGTCGACTGACTCCTAGAGCTTGCATGTTGTTTCACGGACCTCTACGCTGAGGATTATCCGGAAAAAAAAACTAGAAAAGAAAAATACATTCTAAGCAAGCATTTACATACGGACTAAGCATTTAAGAGGCGAAACTTGAAATCGAAACCGAGGATCGGGTGCTTATCGAAGCACCAAATTCCAGTCCATTTCACCAACTTGACTAACCCCTTTTTGAGCGATGAACGATGAAAAGTCTTCCTAGTCCTAGACGAAAAACCAAGCTTTCATTTTCACTTGACGAGCATGACGAGGCTAATAGCCCGTCTTTATACTCACGCCACTTGTGTACGGGAAAAATCCTGATAGAAGCATAGAAAATAGAGCAAGGTGGATCTTGGTATTATTATTATTATTATTATTATTATATTTTAGATTAAACCAGCCACTCAGTCCGAGTAGAAGTCAGAGCTGCCCATCTCTGACTAACCAGGCTCGAGACTGACCAGATGGAGCGACGATTTTCCAGCATCTTACGTTCATTTCAGATGTGACTTCCAATTCACAAGTAAATGATCTTTTCCATCTTTAACGAGGGAATGCAAAGCAACTCTTTCGAGTCTTATGCCATGCACTCAACCTAAAAGCACACAATTGAATAATGAAATATACTGAAGAGCGCAAGGCCACAAATGATTAAACATGGCATAATCTACTTTCCCAGCAGATTAATTGAACCGGAGCCAAGTCAAGTCCCGCAAAATGGACGAAAGAGACAAGGCGAAAGCCGACAAGAGAAGATCCCCAGCTCCAACAGCCCGCCCTCTTGGAATCCACGCCCGCCAAAGACCCACCCAACACCAGGCAAATACTACCTGAGCCAAATACTTTGTCACTTTGAAAAATGGGTTGGCCCCCCCCTCTTCCTTAGGTCAAGAATAGCTCAACCAGCCACTTTGTCACTTTGATTTCATGATCAGGGAAATCTTTTCTTCTTCTTTTTTGTGTAAATTTCACTTATATGTGCTAGATAAATTGCGAATCTTGCAATTCGACACATGAAAGATAGGTGCTGGCGAACCGATTCCGATCAATCGACGAGACTTCACAGCTTTCAGTGCTCTGTTCGTTAAGCACAATAAATGTCTTGCGAGCACTCGCCGACAGATCTTTCGACCGTTCGCTCACATTCTCCTAGTTTGATCGCATGTCCATTTCGTCGATTGATTTCAACGTGCATAACGTCATTCATCGAAAAAAATAACACCTGTCGTATTGTTATTATTATCATTTTTATTATCGTTGTTGTTATTATGATTATTATTATTTGATAAACAAACTGAAAATTGAAGTCAAACAAAAAATCAGAATTTCCAAACTCCCCACCTATAATTTCCCCCGCACGCACGACACTCAACTCAAAACACTCTCTCTCTCTCTCTCTCTCTCTCTCTCTCTCTCTTCTCGTCTCTTCTCTTCTCTCTCCCTAACATGGCAGTCTGCCTCTGCTCCGCCAAGCTCATCGCCGCCTTCTTCCTCCTCTCCGCCGTCCCCTTCGCCTACCTCATCTCCCTCGAGCTCTCCCCGCCCGCCACCCACGTCATCCACTACCACAGCTCCGGCTTCCTCCGGGAGTGCGCCAAGTGGGACGCCCCCGGCCGCCGGTTCCTCGTCTCCTTCCTCGAGGGCGGCGTCGGCCAGGTCCTCGTCCCTGACGACCGCTCCCCCGCCGTGCTCGAGGAGGCCACGGTGGTCAAGGACGCCGACCTCGCCGGGAACGCCTCCCTCGGCCTCGCCGTCGACGGGGCGCGGGGGCGGCTGCTCGTCGCCGTCGCCGACGTGATCGGGAACCGGTACTCCGCCGTGGCGGCCTACGATTTGTCGACGTGGAAGAGGGCGTTCCTCACGCAGCTCAGCGGCCCAAGTAAGCGGGAGAGAGAGAGAGAGAGAGAGAGAGAGAGAGAGAGAGATTATTGAGTGAATTGAATCATTTTTTTGACGCTGACATTGACATTTCCTTTTTTTTCCTTCTTTTTTGCTGTTGCGTGGTACGTCGTCTGCATTTACTATATTGGTTTAATAGATATTATAATCTCCAAGAAAAATACGCATAGCTTTATTTTTCTGTGTTATGGAAAGAGGTAGTTTGGTGGAGAAAAATATGTTAAAAATAGCCTATGAAAAAAAAAAAGAAAGAAAAATGGAGGTTTGGTTTGATGCATTATATGCCCTTTAATTTCAAGAAACAATATTTCGGGCGGTCTCTCATTTATTCAATTCCTATAATATTTAATCTGAGTGTTTTCGCAATATTATTTTAGCTAGGTTATGTTGAGAAAGAAGTTTTATAGGGTGCACATGTAGTGTAATTTTTTTTTTTTAGTATGGTTTGTCTAGGCAAAAGGACTCAATTTTGCCAATGGAATCAGTAATCTTGAAAACTGCCTTATTTTATTTATTTACATTACAAGATCTTAAATTTTCGTTATCTGGAGTATAAATGATACGACCGGGGGGGGGGCCTTTTTCGACACTAATTTCTGGATAATGAATTTTCGAATTATATTGATTGATGCAAAAGAGTAATTTTTGTGGCATTTTTTTTCGATTATCTTAGGGCATTCGTAAATGCGCACTGCGGTGATACTTTTTGGTATGACCCGGCAAAAAAAATTGGTTTAAACCAGTAGATAAATTTCTTGAAAAACCGATCTTGCAAATATTTTTTTGGCTTTATATTCATGATCTATTTTGGAAAAAATTATTGTCATCCGAGGTTTTTATCCTGTCGTGACCCGACCGAGGTGAAACCCCGGAGATGGTTAGCGGATTCTCTGAACCGGTTGACGTCTTCTTTCCTTTAGTCTCTCCTTTGGTACAAAAAGGAAGAAGATATCCTTATTGTTGGTTAAATACAGTGCACAGTGTCTTTCCTAAGTCACATGTGCGAGTCATGTCGTGAAGCTTTCGAATTAGACTATATCTTAGACATCCGCAGCCTCGTTGCTTGGCAACCTAGTGAAGATCCGGTGACCGGGGGACCCTTACTGTAAAGTTTGCAGAGATAATAATGCCGGTCCATTCTCTCCATCCTTTCATTGATTTGACGAAATGAAGGTTTGGGAGATTTTTGTATTTGGATTTGTTTTCTCAACAAGCTGGTCCTTGTGCATCATCATTCATTGCCTGATGGGTCAAATCAGTGGGTCGGGGCATGGTGGTTGATCTTTTCCCTTTCAAATCATGCGGAGAACAGGACTTGCTAGGCTGTATTGCCAAAAAGTTGGAGTGAAAAAATGGACTACTTAGACTTGCAAAATATTTATCAGAATATACGCAATAAAAGGATTTTTTTTATATTTTCAATGAATGAGATAACTAAATTTTTGCCCTCCTTAGTGGGGCAACGTTTCTATCGCCCCACAACAATTTCAAGCACCGAAATCTTGGTTGGCATTAAAAACTTCGCAAATCATTAATAGCAAAAATTTGGGGATTTTGAGGATCGGAGCCAGATTCATACCCGGCCCGCACCCGAATCCAAACCGGTCTGTTTCTTGTTGTTGGTCTTTTTTTTTTTTTTTTTTGGGAATCTACTGTTTTGCCATCTTGTTCATCACATGTGGTGTCATGAATTGGATCAAGTCTTGGGCCAGACTAGAAGGTAAGGTTTGGTCACTTGCGATTAGTAGTTGGTTCCTCCATTTGAGTATTTGATCTTGAGCTGAAGTCGATAGCGGTCCGAATTAGGCCACTTATGCTACAGTTTGGCCGTGTAGATCCTACATGATCCGATCGATTCGCCGAAGATGGCGTTCCTGTGTGTAATGTCGTTCCCATTATACATTTTCCAGATCCAGTTATTCATTGTCTTGGAACTATATTTTCTTCTTTAAGGAGCCAATTTTGTTAAGATACACACTGCGATATGAATTACTTAGGGCACCAGTAATACAATCTCGTTAACTCTTCAAGTCTATATTGCCTTGGATCAACCAAATCCATCTTGCCCTCCCTGTTTTTGACTTGGTGAGACTATCACAAAAAGTCTAGTCTTGTGCATTTATGACATTTTGGAGCCCATGGCTGTGATAAAAATAAATTTGGAGGGGCCATGTAATATAGGTGAACTCAAGCGCATGTCACATTATTTGTTTCATGGAAGTAGTTAGATCCGTTAATCGCCTTATGCATTGTGAGTTCATCTGTCGATGCTCCATGTTCTTGGCAAGTTCTACACTCACAACCTTCTAAAAAGATGCTTTCCTAACCGGCGCAGGCGATGAGAAATCCTTTGCGGACGATGTTGCGGTGGACGCCGAGGGCAACGCGTACGTGACCGACGCCAAAGCGAGCAAAATCTGGAAGGTCGGGGTAGACGGCGAGCTCCTCTCGATCATCCGATCCCCGCTGTTCATCCCAAAGGAGTGGTACAGAAACCTGGTCGGGCTGAACGGCATAGTGTACCACCCCGACGGGTACCTCCTAGTCATCCACACGTTCAGCGGCAATCTCTTCAAGATCGACGTCGCGAACGGACGGGAGGACGTGAAGGTGGTTGATGTTGCGGGAGGCCCATTGACGTTTGGGGATGGTCTGGAGTTACTGTCGCCTACCAAGCTTGTGGTTGCAGGAAATCCTTCAGGGAGATTAGTAGAGTCTCTCGATGGGTGGCAGAGTGCTTCTGTTGTTGGGAGGTTTAAAGGTCCTTCGCATAGGTTGGCGACCGCCGCCACAGTGAAGGACGGGAAGGTGTATCTGAATCACATGTTTGGGCTCGGGTACCCAAGGAAGAAGCACGCTCTCGTTGAGGCGGTGTTCTCGACATGAGGAGAGGAAGGGGACGAACGTTTCTGGAGAAGAAACCAGAGTTTGGCTGAATCATACTTTTCCGGATTCATATTGTATGTGGAGAGAAGAGAACAGAGGTCGTAGAGCTCATGGCTGTTCTGTGAAATGTGATGGTGCTTTTTTCCTTCTTTGAATTGGCAAGAACTTTTACTTTTACATGAAGAGGCCTGTGAATTCTTGGTCAAGTCCTTATGGATCTGTTTGGCAGGCACGGGTTATGCAACTAATGTAAAGGATCATGAAACTGGCAAACTCGGAACACCCAAATTGAAATGGCATGGAATGAGTCAGACTTTTACAGCTTCCCCTCTAATTTCTAGGTGAATAGATAACAATCGACAGTACTGGTTTCTGTTTTGACGTAAAGCTACTTCTCCGTTATTCTACACCCTTGTTTCATTTTTCAAAGCACCACGTTGCATTGACTACCCTGTTTTTTTCCCACCGAGCTGCACATTTTCCCGGGAAAATCAGATTGAATGCTGGCTTGAATTCTAGATGGGGCATTGTTGGGTTGATGAGGACGGAATTTCCACAAATATGTCTGCTTGGCTACGATATATGAAACGACCACAAGAAGTCAACAAGCCGAGGACAAGGCCGGCGGCCAGAATCACTGCTAAAGTGCGTATAGACTTGGCACCCCAAAAAGTATCCATATAGAACAATGCAAGATAAATAAACGAGGACTGTCAAATAGCTTTGATTTGTTCTAGAGCAATCACACTGTGAATCCATTCATTTATTAGGTCGACATTTATTCATGTCTAGGTAATACTTCTCTATCTCTCTCTCTGATGTGTATATACAAATGTACAGTACTACACTCGAATCCTTTGTTTGGATAATTTCTATAGTATAGCCTTACAGGTAAAGATTGAACTAAAATCCAACTGTCTTGTCCCCTGCCAGTCTTATAAGTAAATGTTACCTGGGATGACCGACCTTGCGCACTTAATGACCGAGACTGATCACTGGTGCTTCTTTGCTCTACCTTGAGAGACCAACAAATCATCTCTCTTCGAACTCTCAGGTCTCCGGGCCCATGCGGGAGCTTGATCTGGCCCATAACGATAGTCATAAAAGAGCTCCTCACTCGCTTCAATATGCTCCTTTGCAAAAATTCCCACCCGATGATCTCCTGCCACTAGCATCACCTGAAAATCCCTAGCTGTTAGCTAAATGACGGATATAACCAGACAACAGTCACTGAAGCTAGGGTACCTTTGCATAGCAATTAGGGTTGGATGAGTGATTTGCAAATTTAAGCTTGTCTCCCTTGCGGAAAGCATCAAGGACGTACTGCACCAGAAAGTGGCAGCAGTTTCAGGTTGGAAATATCACAATACCAGAGTATCTACTGCAGCATAGACCATACATTATATAACAAGCATGGAATGGATGCTGCAGAAAGTAACTGGATGACTTGTAAGATGTTGTGCCATAAACTTTACAGGCACAGCACAGGTGCATTGAGCATGTTGTTGAATCGTGAACTCAAGTCCTTTGAAGCTTCTATTTCCAGATATGATATGTCATGCATCTGTTTTTGGTTGTAATCGCACAAAAAGCTTATGGTTTCACAAGTAGCAATGCTGCCAGTTAAACACAAAGTGAAGCATTGCTAACATGTATATAATATTCAGTCCCTGATCTAGCTAAATGAGGATCTTGAGCGGCAATCTGCATAAGTAAGATTATGCTGATTGCACGAAAAAATCCACGTAAATCAGGAACTGTTCAACATCGGTTTCCACTATGACAAACCTTTCAACCATGAACTTCTACCTTAAAGCCTGAAGCAACTCAACTTAAAACATGCCAAGAGACCAATATAAGCAGCAGAGCAGCTAACATAGAACTTGTGGAAAGTGCATCAAGCTTTTGTTATGGTAACAAACTGCCGTATTTTACATACAATAAAACACAAACACGTGTGCGCAAACACACAGAGACTTAAACAAGCACATGAGAGAGAGAGAGAGAGCGAGATTACTTGCCTGATCATTCAAATCAAAAAGAAATGACGAATTAGCACGGTCATAGATTTTCCCACGTTTGTCTGCCTCTCTATGAGATATCAATTCTCCTGTATATTCTCCAAGATAATCATTTCTGTTCACTGGGTTCTGATATCAAATTAGCCAGTCAGAAAAAGAAATTAGTAAGCACATGGAGATGAGCTTTTTTATTACTATAATAATAATGAATCCAAACTGCTGGAAGAACAAGGATTATTAAAAAAGAGCTCAGAGGGATCAGCGGATTAGTCAAGCTTCCTCTATGCATAAGAAAAGCAACACCTACAATGTATGACAGTATAAATAATTCTTTTATTTTCCTAACCTTCAAAAAGGCACCCCATCCAGCAACATCAGATTTGGCCAAGAGGATCTGAATCGCATCAAAAACCAAAACATAGTAAGACCATGCATCTTAGTTCTGCACATATAATAAACTAATATTTATTTGACAAAAGGTTCACTCACTCTTTGCTGCTGCCTTAGCAGGAGCCTCATGTTTCCACATTGGCCCTCACCACGCCTGGGGGGCTCACCCAATGAACCATCTCCACAACTGCGTAAAGCAAGCGGGTAATGAATTACAAAGAGTAAGTTACGAAAGCTGAATCTGCTCATAAAAAATTGGTGGGATAAGATTCATACCTCACCCAGCAGTTCCGGCAAACATCCGGATCACATTCACGTCCAGCGGCAAAGCAGGGGCATTGCCTACTTCTGCACTGACTTTTTGCACAATGACATCCCCTAAAACGGTTCTTGCAGCTCTTCGAGCACCTGAAGATCTCAAAGGCATCATTATTGAAAATTGAAGCACACTTCTTCTATAGTCCAACATCAAGAGCTAAGTCATAGAATAATTGAAAAAGAAACCCTGAAACTGATTCGCTTGTTTGATTGTATCGCTTCTTCGATTTTTAAATAGCTATCAACTAGATGTTTCTTAGAAGCTAAAGGATATATAGAGCCAAGAAGATTTGCACGTGATATATAATATCAGGGATATGTATCAACATGACAAATGCAATTCTAAAGGAAGCTTCAGCCGAGCTTAAACACACTTTTATCACCTTAAGCAAGACTTTTAGATGTGATTTAACCTACCCACAGTACTTTTCGCAGCAAGTACCATTTCGTAGACACGTGCATTGCTTTCCGCACATAGACTGGCAGCCACACGGAGTATACTGCTTGCAAGATTGATTTTTACCATCTGCAATTCTTTTCCAAATCGAAGGATGACCAGCAGACTTCCAGGAATATTTGAGTTTCCGTGTTCTGCCCCTCCTACGAAGTAACCGAGCTTTTGTAGGCATTTCTTCCTGAGACATTGGTGTAAAAGTTGCAACTCTATGCATCAGGTCATCTTTGGTTATAAAAAATCCCAGTGATTAAGTACAGAGTCACCCTAAGTAGAACTTAATGCAGATATTTTTCCATAATTCTCTCAGATTTTCAAAGTCAGAGAAGCGTGACATTCAAAGATATAGGAAGGAGGCCACAGGCCCATAACTACATATTTAGGAACTTAGCCTGCATACAGCTGCTACTTAATGCTTACATGGTAATAATCTTAAGTACTTTTTCTGCTCTCTTTTCTGTTTTCTCTTCTTTCCTTATTTGCAGCTAAACTTACAAGAAGCAGTTGCTAGATAGTTCTTTTATCATTGGACACAAAATGGAGACAGGAAAATTCTCTACAACATGAATATATCCACGCACTTATAGTTTGAACACAAAATCCTAAAAGGATGTCTGTGTTGCTTCCGGTTAGGGGTGATCAATGGGTGGCCTCGGAGAGGGACGGACCGAACAATCGGGCCTAATGTGTTTGCCAGCCTTACCACATCACAAAATTAATAGATATTTTTTGTCTGGATGACCTAGGCTAGGGCAAAAGATGGGTGCGCCGGCTCTCTCAAGTAAGGCCTATGCCCAAGCCTGCCCATTTACCTCTCAGGCTTGGGCGTGCGAGCGGGCCGCCTGCCCATTGATCACCTCTACTTTCGGTAGGGATAGATCTTCCATTCTCCCTTCTAGCTAAAGTAATAATAAGAAACATAAACTGAAATAGGAAAAATAGAATAGCACAATCGGCCCTCATTCAAATGAAGATCATCTTGTACTTACAGTAGCATGATCCATGTCTGCTTTTCCATTGTCTTCCAAACATGAACTAGGTGTAGCACCTGATCTATTGGATATTGAAGCCCCAACATCATGCATGTAGCTCGATACTTCTATGCATGTTTTCAAGCCAGAAAGCATGTTTCTGGCAATGAGACAGCTGGAAAACAAAATAAGCTTTAGCAGAAAATTGAAGGCGAAATGTACAAGCTTTTCTAATTATAATACAGAATGCATAAATCACAAATAAAACATCAAGCAGCACTTCCATCTGCATATTACTTGATATATATCTGTAAAGTCACTGGCCTTTTTCACCTCTACTTCCTTTCTATGAGAAACAGCAACTGCCACACTCTGAAAAAAAATTGTGCCACTTCATGTACAGTCTATTATCAAGAAAATATCAGGATTCTGTATGATGTGACAAAATTACATTTGGTGACATGTAATTATAAAAGAGAGTTGATTTATTAAAAGATGATAAAAGAGTGGAAAAAATAGGGTTAATGTCATTACTTCCGAAAACATCACTCTATATTAAACATTCTAATACAGAAATGTCGTTCATTGCATAGCTAGCACATTCTCTAATCTTAGTCCTCAGTAATCAGGCATTGTTCCTAGTTCTTCCTTTATTGGAGAATTCCAATGAATTCGAATAAATCTCCCTCAAAAGCTAGCCCAAGCAATCTCATCAACACTCGATGTGGATGCACTTCAAAGTCATCAATCACGTCTAAAAGAGATAAGGGAACCAGCAAATGCATAGTATACTCAGCAAGTCATGATGCATTAGCAATAGAAATCATTAGATGCTAATTGTCAGAAGTCAAAACATGAATGATAGGAGAAGGCCTGCCACTGCTTAAACCAGCATTTTAAAAGTCATGAATATCTATAATAGTATTCTCTGATCATGCCAATTATGTTAGCCAGATATATCTCATACACAAAATCTGCTGCCACACAGCAATCTCATAAGTTTGTTGTATTGTTCTTCCGGATTTCAATAGTGTCAAATCCTCATGAAATGCCATCGTATTAGCTAAGAATGTACAAAGATGTCTAGAGCAGGAAATTACATGAAATGGATCCTGTACCTGTTTTTGCCAAATATTTCTATTCCCTTCGTATATAATTCTTTCTCGATAGGTTTCCACTCATGGATGCGCACCATCCTTTCACCTGCAACTTCATTAGATTTTCGCTTTACTTTAGGTGCCTCTGCTACAACATTACCTTCATCTCTCATAATGCCATGTTCTCCAGCCTTATTGGAAGTCTGTACTGGAGCAGGTACCTCCACGACATCTTCCTCTTCATTTATAATAAGATCCTCAGTGTTATCACAAGGACCACCAGAAAATCCTAGTTTTCCAGAATCACCAAAAGTGGACTCCTTTGCAGCGTCAACAATGGCCGGGTAAAACTCCACTTTACTAGGTACATCGGGATGAGGTGATACCTGTATCTTCTGTTTTTTAATAGGGAATCCCCCAAAATCATCAGGAATGAGTTTTGGGTCTTGCGGTGCTGTAATTTCCTTCTCTATATCCTTACACTTTCCAGTGATCTCGGTGCATACCGCAGTTACAGACGTATGACACTGTGAATCTTCATCAATACCTTCTGAGGAAGAAGGTATGGCTTGGTCATGCACTTGGGTGAGACCTGTGCTGTGATCTGCAGGAACCAGCTCTTCAGCACTAGAGGATCTCATACTTTCCTCTATCTCTCTTAAGGTTTCCCTTTTCCCATTGGAGAAATCAAAATCAGAACATTCCGATGAAGCCTTGATAGCATTCAACTTATTCAACTGCAAACAATCCTGATTAAATTTAGATTGCCACACATTTCCCCCCCAAAAAACGGGCAGATTGTCAAATTGCATGATACAGATAAGCAATGTTCTTATGGCTGTAGCTCAGATAATGAGCGGATAAAAAAAGGAGTAAAGTTGAACAAGAAGATGACTGAGACTATTTAAAGAGATATTGACAACCATTTAGAGCATTTCCTCTGCATCCCCACATAATATGATGGAAACTATAAAGCGCACAACATATACCCTCATCCTACATCACTTACACTGGCATCCACTCTGTGTCCCATATCCCATCCACCACCCGCTTCTCTCTCTCTCTCTCTCTCGTCTGAGCGTGCAAGTGCATGCGAGTCTGCCCAAGCTAAGCCCAGAGGGAGGGCTACTTTAATTTATTGAAAAAATTTCTTTATGGGAGATCAGTTGTACATACCTTCAGGTAGCATTGATCACCACAAGGTTTTCCATCTTCTTCATGCTCAAGAGAATAGGGCTGCTTTTCACTCTGTCAAGAAAAGCCTATAAGAAAATATAGTAAAATTAAAGTAGGGAGGAAAATTCTTTGTGATATTGCTGCCTCTCCACTTACAGGAATAATTAAGCTTTGGGAACAGCCATGAAGACGACAATCAAATAGCTGTGGAAATTCCCAAGAAGATAAGCATGGTTTTGACGCCTTCTTCCTTAGCCAAAACAGAGAGAAGGAAAGGAAATGGTCTCTGAATGCATACCAAGCAACGACGACAGAAAAGATTGTCAAAAGAATCTAAAGCAGCACTGAGGGTCTTGTCCAGATATATTCCCTTATCAGTTCCCACATCTCCAGAGTTTTTGAGATTTTTGTTCTGTTTCTTGTCATGGTTCTCTTTAAGAAATTTGTATCTCTCCTGCAGATCCAGAATCAAATACATCTCTCAAGTCTCAAGTCAACACAAGAAGGATTTTCTTATGAACTACATACTTTTTCAATCAAAAGAGCACATACCACCAGTTCAATACTTTTGTTAAAAAATCATCATCTTGTTTAGATCACCTGGATTTCTAATTTGGTGCCCCCAACAAACTGGCTCACAATGTTCTGTACATCCTCGCTGTGACCATGCTCCTCAAAAGCCATCCTGGAATTATTACAAAGAGATTCGTTTTATATCAATGAGGCGATTCTAATTAAAGTTTGGACTCTCTTCATGATCTCCCGCTTATTAGGGTCTGGATAACTTCACTAAACCAGTTGTTTTAGCCGTCATACTCTACTCTTAAACAGGAAAAAGAAATCTAGGCTTTTCTTTCGGAATTTCAGGAAATCAGCTTTCCCTCAAGCAGTTCCTAATCTCTTCATTACAAAGTATATGTTTGAATTTCCACTTTTGGCAATCTCAAGTGTTAACTTATCTTGCCAAGAGACGACACATGCAAGCAAACTCTCTCCACCTATTGCAAACACCTGATCATGTCGTACTTAAACCTCTCTAGACGCAAATAAGAAATACCTGACCTGATATCCTTTAAAAACTATGCACTTACCATAGTATGCGATCCTCAGCATCAGAGAAGTCATGCTTCTCTTCCTCAGGCTCGGTCATATCTTCCTCACTATCACTGCAAATGAGTGCTTCACTGCCATGTTGGTCATAGTAAATACGTCTTCTCCCAACCACTGACTGGTCTTCAGCCATTCTCTGATTCCTGCAAGATGTGTCCAATTAGAATCATCACTTCAAGATGGCAGTGTGTACACTTGCCCACACTTATGACAAAGAGAGTGTGTGTAAAACACACCAACAAGTGGGTTTCAGTGCTTTTACCAAAGTTACCAAGAAGTCATACCTATCCAAGAATATCCATGTGGTATACGGAGGTAATTTCTCAGTATATGGAAGCTTGATGCCCACAAAGGATGACAATTCGTGATTGTAAATGCCATCTTTATCACCTGATCCATGAACAAACGCACCAAACTTCCCAAGAGGATTCTCAATCCTCGACGACAGTATATTACTGGAACCATCGTTTGTTGATGCTTCCGAAAAAAGCTGGCGTACATGATCTTCTACTTTCTGCCCATTTTTCTCAAACTTCTCCTGCGTGATAGAATCAGGAGTGAGTTCTTGCCATATCGCAGCATTCACAACCAAACTATCTAATCTCCAGAGACTATCACTAACAGAGATCATCAACTGAAATCATCCATCAAAAAAAACATATACACACATATATATCCAACGAAACAAGAGCGACTCAACTTTAACCGAAGAATTCCTCTCAGCTTGAATTTGCTTTCTGAGCTGGTTTATCTTAGAGACCAAGTTTCCAACACCTTCATTCGACTGCTCCCCATTCGACTTCTGCCATACCAGAAACAAAAGAGCACGTGAATATCGAGAAACCCAGATAACCAATCACTCGAATTCGCGACGACGGACTATACCTAAGACGGAAACCACCGTGATCAAGAAACTAGACAAGAAGAAAAAACACATAGCTGCTTCATCACGAGATACTACTATTGCGATGCAGACAAAAGGGCACCCCCGTTCAGAGTTAACGACTTCGATCGATGAAAAAACAAGCAGGGTTCGGGTCTTCATTAGTATGAATTGTACAGTGGATGATTAAGACACAAGACCCTGCTGATGAACCACACAACCCATGTCTGCTCCGACCAGAAGTGACCCCAAAAAGCAGAGAGACAGAGAGAGAGAGACTGACCCTGAGCTTGGTGCCGGAGTCGCCCGCCTTGGACACCATAGCTCGGCTCCTCCCTCGCTGCTCTGCGTCTTCTGCACGTTCACACGGCCCCGCTCCTCCGAGCGAGAGAGAAAAGCGTGAGAGAACCTCCTGTAGCCTCCGGGGGTGGGGACGGACGGACACGTGTCGCGACATCGACGTGGACTTTTTTATTTTTTCAATTACGCAATTTGGTTTTTTATTTACCTTGCAAAATCGAAGATTTCTTCAACGCCGCCATGTGTTAATAAGGATCGATTAGTAAAGTCAATTTTAAATCCCTCCGAATTTGTTCGAATGAGAAAGGAATATGTTTTTGAGGGGCTCATGCTTTTTAATAAACAATTTATTTTCCTTCTTTTTCTTCACTTATGTATTTATGCCATTTCCATTTTCTAAATATAAAAAAACGAATATTTATGTCATATTGCATTTTTTCTTTCTTTCTTTCTTTTCCCTCGTTAGTATTCAACTAACATTACAATTTAATCCCTTTAAGTCTTTTTTCTATAACAACAATATATATTTCTTCTTTTCCTTTCTGATCACTTCCATCAAATTCAATGTAAAACGTACAAATCTCTATTATTTATGGTTAATGCAAGAGTTGAGAGAAAGTTCATTTTTATGTTCATCCCGTGACACTTCTTTTTTTTTTTTTTGCTTGCTTGTCGCGTGGTTAGACACATGACGTAGTTTTAAAGGTTTGCTATTTGGTTATCTATAATTCAAATACAGATTTTCCTCCAAAAGTATCTAATTATCACGTTAATTTTTCCAAAAGTTAGTAAATTTAGCGAGCTCATAAGCAAGACAAATAAAAGATGGTAACTCAACGGAAATATTACTAATTTATGAAAAATAAATAAATGTAAGTAATCAATTAAATAAATGTGAGTAAACCAAAACTATTTGGTGACTCAATAGGAGAAGAGTTGGTAAGCCATACAAATAAATGTTGGTAAATTCATAAAAAAAAAGTGTATAAATTTAATGTGTTTGTAAAAAAGACAAATAAAAGATAACGAATGTTGATAAATGAAAAAAAAAACCCATATTTACCGATTTAATCGGAAAAAATGTTAGAAATCATTCAAATAAACATTGGTAAACTCATATAAGCGTTAAGCAAATTTAAGGCGTCGATAAGAATGGCAAATAAAAGTTGGTTATTCACAAAAATTTCGTGAAAATACTAATAAATTACCAATGAATTTGCCGGGAAATCAGGCGACCCGTAATTTTTTTAAACCACAATTTTAGTATACTTACCAAGTTCTTTTAGTATGATTAAGAATCTCATGCTTTCAAATGCCAGAGCTTGCTTCAGCTATGGACTATTCGTCTTACATTACAAGTACATATGCCTTTATTTATGTGAGTAGAGCATGATCACCGACTGCAACACACTGCACTTCAAAAGCTATCAGTTATCATACGAAGAGACTATTCAAATTACAAGGTTTGCAGCTATAATTCATCTCTATTGATCAAACATTACACTGATCCCTTCTAGGATCTCTCCAGTCCGAATCATCTCGACGACTCGGATTCGCAATCTTAGAGAGAGCATGTCTCGAAAACACCGTTCAGAGGAGCGAACTGGTTCCCAAGTACAAGAAGTAATTCAGAAAGAGACTGTTATGCTGTTTGCAGATCAAGATTCATGCTTCAATGAACTTTTGAAGGCATTCATATTCCTCTCTCTCTCTCTCTCACCGAAACTTCCAAGCCGAGAGAGAGAGGATCGGGGTCCCTTTCCAGCCAACCAGCAGGCAATTGCCGTCTCGGTCGAGCGTGCAAAACCTCTCACAAGCGAACTGCTTCGTGACCAGGTTGGCCTGATAGAGTGAGACCTCGCTGAACTCGATCTCGACCATTCGGTACCTTGCGAAGAACGCCCTCCACACGTCGATCTTCACGTTCCTCGTGAACCTCTCGTGGCCCTCCGCCGAGACTATGTTCCTGATCCCAATGCTGAACATTTCCTCCGCGATGGTCTTGTACTTGACCTCATGAACCATGCACGTCTCGAGGCAGTCGAAGAACGCACTGTAGAAGAACAAGGCTTCGATGAAGCGGGCCAAGAAGGAAGGAGAGTTGTGGTTCGCCTCCACTTCGGTCAGCACCATCACAGACGGGTTGAGATTCCTGATGACGCCGATCATTTTCTCGAGGGAAGTTGGTCTCGAGAGCATAGTCCTCAGCACCACTGCTGCGTAGACTGCTATGGCTTCGCCGTCCTCTATGTTAAATAGCTCTTCCCTAATGTCTTCTAAGTTTGGCAGAAAGACTACTTCGAACGAAAAGGGAATTTTCATTGATTCCGCGACGCTTGCTAGTCTCTTCCCTGCCTCTTCTATCTTCTCTCTGCCTGCCGACCCGACCGCGGTTATCTTGAGAAGCTCAACCGGATCTCCATTCCGTTCAGCGAGAGCTTGCATCAACACTATCCACTGGATTCCGCTTCTTATTTGGAGATCTATCAAATGGATTCGGGTTGCCGACACTGTATGCTCGATGATTACTTGCAGCGCAGTGAATTGAGTGACTTGATTGAAGGGAAGTTGCGCGTGGCATTTAAGATTTGTGAGACTAGTGCTCAAGCCTTGACTTAAATCATCCTTTCCCGTGTTTCCTTCGAATCCCTTGGTACTGATCATCAGTCCAGTTTCTTTATCGATCCTTTCTCGGAGAGCCTCCGCGAAGTACAGGACGATTCTCTGTGCCGGGCTCGCTCGCTTGGACGCCAACAATTCACAATACGAAAGCAAACTGCTGGCGCGGTCGAATTGTTGGTCGCCTACTTTCTCAGCCGCCGCTAGAAGCAACTGAACGAGTTGGACCTCTCTCAAGTCTTCCTCGGAGAGGCCCGAAAAAGCGGGGCCGAAAGGGTGTGTGAGCAGGGAGAAATAGTTGTCCCTTTGATCTTGAAACTGGAGGTACCGAGTCCCAGCCACTCTCATTATCTCTTCCGTGGACAGCTTCGGCTGGCTTACCGGAACCTCGCGATTCGGCTCCGCCGGTTCGTCTCTCTTCGGCTTCTTGAGCACCGTCCAATAGTTGCTGAGGAGCTCCAAAGATGCCTTCGTCTTCGAAGGCATCATCGGTTTTTGCGCATTCCCGAATTCCGGACTGTCCTCAGATCCTAATACTGGTGGAGAGGAAACATTCAGATTCATCTGATCAAGGACCACAGAGTTCGCCCCGACCTGCGATTGGCCGGACAGATGGACTCCTTTGCCGCTTAAATTCTCTTGCCGACTTCCAAACCCTGAGAAGAAAGGATCGAGCTCGGCGATATCTTCACCTCGATGCTCTCGCGCGCCTTTAGCCCTTCTTCTCTCTTTATCACGATCATCAAGAACACGGCCTTCGTCGAAACCGAAGGACGGGTAGGAGAACGAAACATTCGCCATTCCTAAAGCTGAGAAACCTTTGTCTGCAAACTCAATGCAGAAACCGGAGGATTTCGTATTCCATGACGTATAGCAATGCACGGATCATAACACTCGACACTGATGGGTCGAGTGTTCGACAATTACAGCTTCATAAGTAGACACCCACGTTGGAAAGAAGGCTTCATTTACATCTACTCGGATTGGATTATTTAGCTCTTTCTGTGAAAACCACGTTGTGCATTTGGAGAAAACATCAAACATAGGAACAAGGCGAAACGATCCAAAGACGTTGCCGTCGACAGGTATTGTTTGCCAGGAAATAAGTTGGAAAATCTCGCCTAGGAAGCTCAGCCGACCGAGATAGGACAGAAGAGTGGAAGCCAAAGTTTTGTGGGATTAGGTAAAGAAAGATCACACCACTGTTTCAGCATCAGAGGGAAAAAAAAGGACGGCACCGGCGGCGCGACTCCGCACGGCACCCATTTTGGTGTTGAAATCGGTATCGTAACCTTTGAAAAGCGATCGCTCGAGTGTTCTCCGGCGATTTGATTTGCCGGAATGTATCGCGTGGCTAGCCGGAGTCACTCGAATGGACGTTTTTTACAGAGTTTCGGTACTACTACAATCGTTCATGAAGTTTTGACGCTAGATTAATCGATTATCAAATTGTTGATGTAGAAGTTTCAAAACTAAGAAATTTGACAAAACGGTGTAGTCTCTGCCACTATCTTTCTTTGTTTTGTTAGACTAGACTCGAAATCATGGAACGAACATTCTCTCGAAATAAATCCTGAAAAATCACAAGGATGTATTTATCTTCCTAAAAAAAAGGGAAGTACTAGAAATTTTCCTTCATCTCGTAAATTCGCATTCATTTCTTCTCCAAACAAATTGCTCTGTTTGTTTGGAGATTGAGCAATACAGTTTGGAGCCTCGTGGAAATGGACCAACTTCGCTTTGATTGATCAGGTGTGAGGATCAATGCAAGAAAACGTCAGGAAGCCAGTTCAACTCCAATTTTTCTATCTATGAAACTTTGATGCGTTTAGCTATATATGTTGTTCGGCACCCAAATTAGGCCTCATACAATTTTCAAGATCTTGTGCCAAAACTTTAAAGATGATCGCTTTAGTGCCAAAATTTCATGAATAATTAATTTAGTGCCAAATTCTTTTTTTTTTATTTGTCCATTTAAGCGACTTTTTGAGTAACTTCGATTTTCAGTCACTTAAATTACCGCTCTTTAAGAGCCGTGGTATTTAAATGATCATTTAAAAAGTTAGGCACTAAAGTGGGCATACTGATAGCAACAATCCCATCCTTATCCTAGGTAATAGGGAGAATTACAAAAATACAAAACCTAAATTTATTGTAATTGTGTCAATTCAGTCATAAAACTTTTTTTGACCATAGTCTTAAACCCTTTGCATTTATGCCAATTCAATCCGTCCAGCCAATTTTAGCCGTCCGGCACTAACGTGAACTTTTTTTTAATAATTTTTTTCCTTTTCTTTTCCTTTCTTTAGATTTTTGCCCTCCACTTAGGGCCAGGGAGTGCCACAAAAAGAAAAAAGAAAAAAATTATAAAATATTATTTAAAAAGTTCACGTTAGCGTCAATCGGCCAAAATTAGCTGGATTGACTAAACTGAGACAAATACAAAAAGTTTAAGATTAAATTGATATAATTATAATATGTTTAAAATTTTTTTGGTAATTTGTCAGATAAGGGACTATTGATCTTATCCAGACTTCTACATTTGGTGGAGACAGAGAGCTTTAAATGCTTCATCAGATTGGCTATCTGATTGGACAAACTATACGATAACAATTTCAAAACCGGACGTGATTGATTGGGCTTATCGCTACCTAATCCTAGCTGGTTTTGCTCTGATTGAAAAGCCTGTCCAGATCGTCTGATTTAAACAAGTTTGTGTATCCATCAGCGTAGCATTTCGTCTTCTTCAGCACGACAAGCCATTGTCTGTGGCCCAGTGTACTCCTTGATTGACCAGCATGGACCACTTACATGCTGAGGACCAAGGAGTTGCCATCTTTGAAAGATCACTGCTGGAATTTTTCTATTCTGAAGAATTTGTGATTGATCCATGGAAGGCGATCGGACCCGGATCGTAATTTGACTCCGCCTTCTGATTGAACCAGCGTTTGCTCTACGGTCTTATCTAGTAATTATTAACCAAACGCCGGGGACTTCGTGCAAACAAAACTTCACCGGCTGCCGATTCAATATAGGTCGCGTCGCTGCCTCTGTTTCAGTCACATTCAGTTGCATTCCATGCTGCAATTCATGCATAAAAGCAAGGTAGAAAAGAGAGAGGCAAAAGAGTCCATTTCCTCAACTTCGTTTGAGACCGCAACTGACCTTTGGTAGTAAATAGCACTACCGCACAAGTTCTGAAGGGAAGAACAAAGCTTTTTTTTAAGTGATTTGATGATGCAGTACTTAGAAATTGGTCCCAAAGACATGGTCAAGTGATCATATGGTGCTGAAGAGAAGCCAGAACATCTGATCGTAGAGGCGCTCTGCTTGATCCGCACCTATTCAGCTGACAAGCCCAATAGCCCTTTGATGAATCTTGAGGGCCATAAAACTCCTCGGCATGGGCAAAACTTTATCGGCTTTCGATTTGCTAGAACAAGTCAATCGCGTGTCAAGAAATAGAGAGGCCTAAACTTGAAAAGAAAACACTTGGGGCCCGTTTGGCAAGTTGTCAAATAGTGAAAATTTATGTTCTTTTATTCCCGGAATCAATTTGGGAACAGAAATCTGTTTGTTAAATTTTTTGTGCCCAGGCACAAATTTGCAAAAAATTGTTCCCAGAACCAGTTTTGGAACAGAATCCAAAAGCAAAAAAAAGTAGCTTCTTGATTCTGGAACAATTTTTCCATTTTTGATTCTTCTTGATTTTCTTCTTCCTTCTTGGTTTGTTCTTCTTCTTCTTCCCGGCCTGCCGCCCGCCATCGGCCAAGGCCAGCGAGGGTGGCTCGCGGCCATGACGGCGAGGCCTCGCCCAGCCATGACCAGCGACGAGGGCCACGACGCCCTCGCCTGCCCTGGCCTGTGGCTGGTCACTGGCGCCGGCGACTGGCCATGACCAAGGAAGGGAAGGGAAGGGAAAGAAAGAAAAATAAATAAATATTAAAAAAATTCAAAATATTATTATAATAATATTAATAAAAAGAAATTTTGTGTAGTTACCAAACGCATTTCTGTTCTTTTTTAATTCTAAAAATAGAAATTTTGGGAAGTTACCAAACGCTTTCAAATGCTTAGAAATTATTCCCGGACACGGAATAAAAAAGAATCATTTATGAGCAGAATCAGCTTCCGGGTACAGAATCGTTGTCATGCGCACTCTTATTCTCAGACAATCCTGCTACGTGATTAGTTTTGTCGAACATATCATTGGAATACCCTCTCTTTTTTTCCCAAATTGGCCTCACCAGTTCCTGTGATGATTGCAAGAATAATTCCCACGCTTCATCTGTTTTATTATATAATCTGGACCTAAGTCATAAACTAATGATCTCCAAATCCAACTAGCTGCCTCCTGGAAGTGGAATCTCAAATCATTTCCCTGCCTTCCACACCATGCTCAATGATTCAATGCCAAAACCAAATCCTGGACAGGTTCCTCTTATCATGGTTCTCCAAAGGGAGAGTCGATGCAGAAGAATCTGTCAATCAATGCAGGTGGTCCAATGAAAACGTTGGGCATTGACCAAGAAGTGGACAAAGAAAGAATTCAATTATCTCTGTGGAAAAAGAATGCGAATTACAAGGCCATCGCGATGGAAAAAGCTTCTTGGTCCCATCTTTTTTTTAGACTATTTCCTCATCCAAACAGGGCTCGCCCAAGTCATCTTCTAATTTTCTACAGAACAGAACAATCCCAACCCACATGAGGCCCTTCACGATCCTGACCATCCCAATCGTCACGGTCAGGTAATACAGCCACCACCCCGCGAAGTCGGCCACCCCGATGCCCATCATCAGCTCCTTCTTGACCTCCGGCACCACCACCATAGCCTCCACCTCCCCCCTCAACCTCCACCACCACAGCCCGCCGAACCCGGCCGCCACCGCCGCCCTCCCGAGCGGCCCCTCCGCCCGCATGCCGCCAAACACCGTGTCGTCCACCACCGGCCTCACCACCGTCCTCGACCAGTAGACCGTCATCTCGTGGAGCCCGAGGAAGAATATCGCCTTGCTCAGCAGGCTCCTCTCGGCCCCGCCGAGGCGCAGCGGCGAACCGTCGACCCCGGCCGCGATGCTCACCTCTAGGCCGAGGCCGAAGCAGACCTGCAGCACGCACAGGACGGCCCAGGCCATGGGCAGGCGAGCCTTGCGCAATGCCGCCCCCGGCGGCGGCGGCGGCGGCGGCTCGGTCAGCAGGGTGATCCTCCCAGTCAGGCCGTGCAAGAGGGTGCACACCGTGAAAATGGCCACAACCGCATGAAGCAGGGTCGGATTAGTATACAACAAGAAGGAGAAAGGAAACGGGATGACTCGCCGGATCGAGTCGGCGAGGATCGATGAGTAATAGTTGAAACACGAGAGCCTCGCCAACACAAGGAACGAGAGGGGAAGCAAGAGGCTGAGAAGAGTGACGGAGAGGACATGAAACCCCTGCTTCAAGATCGAAGAATCCAAGAACTTGGGCTGGTGCGGCCGTGGACAGCGCGCGATCGGCCACACCATCGTCTTTGGGCTGGTGATGATGGTGGTGCACGCAAGAACGACGGGACTTAGGACACCAAAAAACAGCGACGAATTGAATTGAAATCGATTGCAAGAGAAGGAACAGAACAGAACACAGCAAGAGCAGCATCTTGTCTATATATCTGAATTTGTGCGAAAGCTTGGTCAATGGAGTGGTGTCCACGTCCATCGTTCGAACGCTGATGTTGATGTGCCGAGGCGCTTTGCCTAGACGCCTACGCGGAATGTCATGTACAAGGTTTGAATTATCTATCTTTCTCTCGCACCCACCAAAGCAAGTAAACAAAAAAAGAAAAAAACCAAAGAAAAAATAAGAAGGTATCATCGACCCAGTTTCGATTCGACTTTAGTAATTGCAAAATGAGAAGAACGTACGTTGATTCGCGAACCGGTTCGGGGTTCATCTCAATGCGTTGAAGCATGAAGGTGCCCTGTCGTTGGAGGATGGGCTTGCGCCACCTGTTATTAAATGGAGTTTTGCTTACCCAATGCTGCCCCAGTTAAATATTTACACGTGTCATTGTTTAGTGTTTCTTCGGGCATTATTTGGATGGAGCCTAACCGCTGGTAGTTAGATAGTTTCTTTTTTCTTTTGTTTTTTTTTTGGGGGTCGGATGGTGGTTAGATAAGTTCGTGCTCTTCCAATTGGAGGGTACATTTTTTCGATTATTGCAATTGGCCTAACCAAAGTGGGTGCCACGACAACTACGTCGAGGAATCGAGGGCTTATCTTATTGACATGGGCTCGATCAGTTGTATGAACCTCATAACGATGTCTGGCTCGATTTTTTTGTCGGATCATTTGTAAATTCTGAATATATCAAATCGTTACGAGCGATATCGTCCCATCTTTATAGCGTCCCTTATTTTTTTTTTTTTTGGGGGAATAAATTCATTTCTGGTCGCGTCTTTTCTCGTGTTTTCGTGCATCAGACGAAGCATCCTCGGATGTTAGGTTTTTTTTAACTGCCCGTCCATTTCCTAAGGTCAACGGTCTGTTATGGCCGAAGAAAAGGTCAACGGTTTCGCTCTTTTCGGACCGGGCCTCAGTAAAAAGGCTCGAAGCCTAGCCCACCCTTGTGCTGGATCGGGCTTGGGCTTGGGCTTGGGCCTGGGCCTGAGATTGTCCAAACAGAATTTACTTCATCACGTCCCACAAAAATTTACAATGCGACTAGACCGAAACCTCTTTTTTTTTTCTTTTCTTTTCTTTCTTTTTAATTTCCTCAGACAAATAGATATGATACTTGTCAATCCCGAGAAAAAAATTAATTTTAAATAAAATTCAAATGCGAAATCATATGATAGAATCGCATCAGGACGTAATGACTGACTAATCTTGGAATTTCTCGTCATCCTTTTAAGAGGAGCGTGTTCGGAAGTTGTATGTGAGCGAGAGAACACAAGTAAGTAGAAACCAATTACATTTGTAGTTTGGCTTCCCTTTTTCCCATTTCCCCTAATCGACCCGAAAAATTGGGGAGAGGGAGAGAGATATTATGATTGAAAACTATATATATAGACGTGCCTTATAAGGCGCATGCTGAGTATCTAGTATTGAATCTTAAAGAAATTTTCAACCCGACATATCGCAATTGCCATCAGTAACTTTGATAAAAAAAAAAGAGACATGTTACCGGACCAGTATATATCGGAAAAAATAAAATACCTTAGTGCCAAACTCATCTCAAGCCCTCTTTAATAAAAATGTCCAAACCTTGGACGTGTTCAAACGTACGTAGGTCCTACGTGACCCCCCAATGTGACCTCCATACAAAGAACAAGTCTTGCCCATTGACATTTCAATCGAATGGAAATAAAAATCTTAAACACATGCATGGGACCTAGACAAACCAAAGTGACGTAGACACCTTTCTTTCTTCTTTTCTTTTTTGGATAACACTAAACTTCGCCGACCCCCCAAAAACAAAATACCGATACGTACATATATTTTTATACGGAACACTGCATGACGTCCGTGAAAATCTCGTCCACATGAAATTGATTCGGATAAATATCGTACAATTTATTATATATATGCACGACATACATTCAGGAAAAAAATTTACGATTTAAGAAATTAGAAATATATAATAAATATTGAAGGCAACTTGCCCTAATATTGTTCCTTGTGCTGGCTCAATGCTCTGAGGTTACGTCATATTTGGCGAAACCGTACGCCAAGAAAAGTTCAGAAATATGTAGCCGACCCGACTAAAGTTAAGGAAGAAAATAAAATCAAATAAAATAAACTGCGCCTGCGCTAGTGTCATTTTCTGCTTAAAAAAAATTAAAATAAAAGCAGTGGTTGTGCGGAGTAACTAAAGTTTTATCTATTTACTATGTACAAAAAACCCCTATTTCATTATTTAGTTTTTTCTTCGGAGAACACGATTTCATTTTTTTTATTATGCCATTGTCGTCCTCGTACATGGCGTAATTATAAGAAATCGAAATTTAAGATAATTAAATAAAATTATTGATGAGGGAAAATTCATCTTTTCCTCGGGTTGGTAAATGCTTCAACTCCGCAAATTTCGAATTGAATTAAGGTTTCGTTTATTTCAAGGAAAATGAATGATTTGAAATTTTTTTATCTTATAAGTAATTGTTTGAATCGTTTTAGATAATTAGTCAATGAATTTTTTTTTCATTATTGACAGAAATTTATGTCTAAACATTTTCCTAAACGGTGAAAATATTTTTTCTTTCATCCATTTTGTAAGTGATATAAGCGATCATTTTTAGAAAAAAAAATTTCAAATTATTCATTTTCTATGTAACAAAAGCACATGCCAAGATATTCCCTTCTAGAAACTATGACTTGCGGTGCGCGGATAGGTTTAGCTTCATCAACACCCTCACCATACGAATACATCAACAACATGTCGAACTACCAGAGATCGAACGCCTCTAAGGAACTCCAAGATCTAGATATAGATTGGGAGTAAAAAACTCCCAAATTTAGATCTAAACCTAAATCGAGAGAGGAGAGCTCCTGCCGAATCTTGGAGAAGTTATAGCCACGTCCTGGACATCCTGCTGGTTGGACTGGTGATGATGTTCTCACAAATTTTCAGTTACAAGCAAATTTATTCACCACGACTAGTGAAGAAAAGCTACAGCAATGCGCGAAGGAAGACACCAAACGAGACGAAAAGAGACTCCCAGATTAGATCGGGAGAGAAAAAACAGAAAATCAAAGCCTAGAAAAGAAAGGCAATGCCCGTAGGTGAAGTTTCTTTGAGAGACGGTTTTTTGGAAGAGAGAGATGCCGATAGAGAGAGATCAGGGTTTTTCACAATTACAATAACTGATATTGTAAAATGCACCGAGACTTTATCACTATGTGAAAAAGCTAATATCTTTAGGCCTTATTGAAGTCCTTGTGAACGCGACCTCACTGACTTGAATATGTGATATTTTGGTGGATAAAAACAAAGAGAAGACGCCAACGTCAGCGATTTCCGGTTAAAATTGGTCGGATTGACTGAATTGATAAATTGTCAAGAGATTCATGACTAAATTGGCTAAATAAAGTTTATGACCGAATTAGCAGAATTGCAATATGCTTATAGCTTTTTTGGTAATTTTTCCTAAAGATATTAGGGAATAAAAGAGGAAATTTGATTCTAAAAATAAATACAAGGTTCTGTTTACTTCATATAATACTAATAGCATACATTAATGCTCCGTTTCTTTGGCAAAAAGAAATTTCTGGGAAAATATCTCCTCATTTTTTGACGTTTGTATCGCTTAAAAATATGGGTTGATAGAAAACCTTTTCCAAGTTCTTAAAAAATCTATGCTTAAATTCATGTAAATGATTTTTTCTTTGAAAAATTTTAAAATCATTAGGCACGGGAACCTCATCGCCAATACTGGGTCCTTGGCAGCGTGCTTGAGTTCAGAGGTTGGGGTCGGGCCCAAGTCCATCGAGGCCAGGTGTAGGTCCAAAGAGGCCAGGCCTGAGACCCTGATGCTTGTGCCTATGCTTAGTTCCTTGACGCTCCAGCCTAGGTCCACCAAGGCCAGGCCTAGGACCACGGCGCCTAGGCCAGAGTCCACAAAGAACGGGCCCGGGACCTTGATGCTTGTGCCCCGGCCCCTAACGCCGAGGCCCAAGACCCCGACGCATAGGCCCTAGTCCAAAGAGGCCGAGCCTAGGTTCACAAAGGTCGGTCTCGAGTCCACAGAAGTCAGGCCCGGGATCTCGATGCCCATGCCGGCTGCCCGTGCCCAAAGTCACTAGCGATCGAATAGTGCATGCCTATTGAGGAAAATAAGACTGGTTTTCATTTTCAAATGTTAGAAAAAAAAATTTACAATTCATTTTCAGATTTCAGCTAAACACCGGAAAAATTTGTCATTTTCCAGGAAAATGACTTCTTGGAAAACATTATTAAAAAATGTTAAATTTTTCGCGAAACAAACGGAGTCTAAATAATGTGTTTGTTTAGGGGAAAACTTCATTATAAATGAAAATACTTTCTAGGAAATTATTTTCAAAAAAAAATATTTTCCCCTTTCCAGGTTAGGGAATTATTCTTCCTAACTTTAAATATGCATATTTTCTTCGACCGTAAATAGTTTTTCGTTGATTGATCATTTTCAGCAAATCCAAGCGTGTAAAAATCCAGAAAACTAATTCCTGAAAAATTATTTCACTCAAACAAGCACGCCCTAAATGTACGCACCTAACCGGTGCACAATATGATCGCGAAGGGCAACCGAAGTGTACACATTATGGTGCCATCCTCTTTCACGATCATGAATCTCATGAATTTGGGACTCCACACACAAGTGCAAAAGTTTAGGCATATTCAATAGAGGGTGCCTCATGATTCCGCCCAAAAAAGCAAAAAAAGGCGGGGGCAAATTGCCATAAAGGAGGCGCCACTAAAATCACCTGCGATTTCACCTTTTTGTGCGCGTATCTTCCCTCGTGCACTTCCTCAGCTCAGCCAAGAACACCCACGCGCCACGTCGCCACGCCCTCCACCGAATCCCAGCAATGGCAGCCGTACTTCTGTCAGCCCTTTTGCGTTCGGCAAAGTCCCAACGTGTGTCCGCGTCCGCTCAAGATTTTTCGAATTCCAAATTGGCTCCGGGCCCCCCGTCCTCTGCCGTCCACGTGGCGGCAGGGGATTGCTCGGACACGCCCGTCGAAATTCATTGCCACTAAGAGCAAGATTATTTGACGAGATCGTATTATTGATCATGTGATGGATCAAGTTAAACATAATATTTAGAAAATACGCGGAATTCGGATTTTTCAGCAATATTGAGATGAGATTTCGAGCCAATCGGATCAGTCCACCACAGCGATGTAAAGAGAGCATATGCTTGTCACCATTGATTAATTAAGACGTGGGGCCGACATGCCGAATAAATTAGCATGCTTGTTTTTTTTATTCATAAATATGCGTAACTATGTGTGTGTGGGTCGGGCCGGATATTATATTGGAAGGTGGAGAGGCTAGTGGGGGGGGAAGGGAGAGTAGTGACATGCATGGCTGTGATCATAGCTCTTTTAATAAATGAGTGACAAGAGATGAGGGGAAAGCAACTTGCTCCTTTGTCATTTCTCTCCCTATCCCCTCCCCCCTCCTTGCTTCCTCTTTGTCCCTCTCTCTCCCTCTCTATCTCTCTCTCTCCCTCAAGCAATTGGAGCACATCTTGATCCATACATAACTCTTCTCACCTGCTTCTGCTGCTTCCTGATCTTGACAACAATTCTGGGTTTCTTGAGAAGTACGTGTTTTGTGAAGCAGCAGTAGAATCTGCGGGCACACATCGCTCATGGCTGCTGATTCTCTCACGCCAAAGCTTGACATGGAGGATTCTGAGGAGACTAAGCCAGAGGCTCAGGCATCCAAGAAAAGGTAAAGAGGCTTGATGAGTGCATGCATCATGAGAGAGTGCATTTTTTTTTCAGGGAAATCTTCTTCTGCATTCGCCTTTTGAGCCTTCTGATTTGCTTTAAAACCAAGACTTACATCACTCTTTCTTTTATTTGTTTGTTTTTTTTTTGGGGGGGAGTAATGGATTGCGGCATGATTTGTTGCAGGAAGGTGGTCCACAAGACAGTTGTGAGGGTGAAGACGGAAGCAAACGTGGGGAAGCAGAAGAGTGAAGGGCCACCTTCTGATTTCTGGTCTTGGAGGAAATATGGGCAAAAGCCAATCAAAGGATCACCTTACCCAAGGTATCATCTTTGTACCCCTTTTTCTTTTTTGCCCTTAAATCCCATGCAAATGCTCCGTGCTCTCTCTCTCTCTTCTAGTCTCTTTTTTGGCCATGATTGTTCTCTCTTGCCTCAAAAGCATGACTAGTTCCTGATATGTCTTTTTGGCTCTGGCATTTATTTTGGCAGAGGGTACTACAGATGCAGCACATCAAAGGGGTGTTCGGCCAAGAAGCAAGTGGAGAGATGCAAGACAGATGCTTCAGTCCTGGTCATCACCTACACATCCACCCACAACCACCCAGGCCCCGACATTCACTCCCTCAACCCCACCATTCCACCATCCGAGGCCGATGATGATCCTGAAGAAACCACGATCGCCGTCTCTCCCACCGTCTCAGCCCAAGATGAAGACCCAGAGCAAGATCAAGATCAAGATCAAGAACAGGAACGCCGTCTTGATCTCGGTGACAAACAAGATCGAGATCAACGCACCCATGTGGCCATTGATGAGGAAGGCCGCACGCAAGAAGATCGCTTCCACTACCTCCGATCTCCGACCGACTGTTCTTCCCACGACTTGGTGACTGAACAAGAAGACACGCTTTCTCTGCAACTGCTGCACGTGTACGAAGAGCCTCTAGTTTCTTGCTCCCGCGAGGATCCGAGCGGCGTCGCGGCAGCGGCCCTGCCGCCCGAACCGGAAGAGGGTCACGACTTCTTCGACGAGCTCGAGGAGCTCCCCGCGTTCTCTTACTTCGCGAACCTCAAGAGGAGCAACTGCTTCTTCGACGACAGGATTCCTGTCGTCCCTTCTTGATCCGGGCGCAGGAGTGCGATGCTGTTTCCTCGGTTTCTCGCATCCTTGGGAAGGAGAAAGAATTGTACCCACCGAAACTTTGTCCATTAACCTCATGTTGTTGGGTTAGTGCGCATTCTCGATGGTGTCTTAGAAGTTGCTTCTTTTTGAGCGCATGTTGCGATCTGTGCAAAGACGAGAGAGCGAGTAAGACGAAGATGGTGGGGCATAGGGTCATTATCTTTTCTTGGAGAAGTAGGGATAGTATGGCTCTTGTGTGATGGCAATTGAATTGAACACACCACTTTGTGAACTTACTTGGCACTTTACATGTTCTCCCATGTCAATTCGTATGTCGAAAAAGATGGCACGAGGATCACGAGTGGGTGCGCTCAGAGATCGTTCGAGGATAAGGCTTTACTTGGATGGAGTGGTTGAGCCTATGACAGTGAAATGGTTTTTTTGTAGCTTTCGATGCTCCATGACTTTTCTTGATGTTCATAGGCCGGAAGTTGGCTCGAAACTCACATCATCATCCATGTTCCGTAAGGGAAAGGATTCTCAGATCTTAACAGATCGTAACTTCTTGTAATTTTTGGCAATTCTTGTATAAAATATCGTAACCGACGAGATTACTCTTATTTTGTCCGACGGTCATCGAGGGGTCGGGACTGGTCCCATGAGAATCATTGGAAACGCACCCCGTGCATCTAGCCTTCTTTGTTCTTTTCCGCAGGTTCATCAAACCTCTGGGTTTGTCTCTAGTTGGGGGATGTTTTCTTGCGTGGGGAGCTTCGGATTCCTCCTGCAAAATGCCAAGAGGAAAGCGTGCGCACTGCCGAAAAACTGCCGCCTGTGGAGCTATGTACGTGAAGGACGTCTAGATAGATACTGTTCCGTATAGAATCTGCTAAAGTAGGGGGTGTGTAGAAATAAAAAAAGTGGCACTTGGAGGAAACAATCTGACCAACAAAAAGCCTAACCCTTTTACGCTCCCCGTAAAAATAAGAGTTATCATGAGAAATCTCAAATCGATACATTTGTGATAAATTTATCTTAATATCCAAATCGATATATATGTGACAAATTTATCCCAAACTGAATCACGCGTAACACAGGAAAAAGTGTTAGAAAGGTCATAAACCTATTGCATTAGTACCAATTCAGTTCTAAACATTTTTGTCTTCATGTCAATTCAGTCTTTCCGGCTAATTTTGGCCGGTTATTGCTGATGTGAATGCCAGCTAGCCTATATAGCACCGCCGGCGATGACGTGGACAACTTCTAATAATATTTTTCAAAATTTTTATTTATTTTTTAAAATTCTCTTTTCTTTTTATTTTTTTTCTTTCCCTTTCTTCTTCCTCCAACCGGTTGCTGGTCCGGCGAGCCCCGCCGACCACTGGCGAGGCACAACCTCGCCAGATCTAGCGAGGTCGGGCCTCACCCATGACCAGCGAGGCCCAACCTCACTACCTCACGAGGCCGCCCTTGCGACCATCCGGCGAGGTCGAAGGCCGCTGCAACCTAGTGGCCCTTAGTGGGGGCTCGAGCCTCGCCAGCGGCTTGGCAAGGTCAAAGTTGCGGCCTTCGCCCTAGCCAGAGGCTGCGCGGTCGCAACCTTCAACCTCACCGGATGGTTGCAAGGGTAGCCTTGCGCTGGGCTGGCGAGGTTGAGCCTTGCCAGCCATGGGTGAGGCCCAACCTCGCCAGATCCGTCAAGGTCGTGCCTCGCCCAATTGCGAGGTCACTGCCTTCGACCTCGCGATCACAAGCGAGGGCTCGCCAATGGCCAGCGAGGTCTACATATTTTCATGCTATGAGGGAGATAGGGAATAAGCCCTATTTGTTTTCAAATGAGACAGAGAGACCTATTTGTTTTCAAATTATAACTAATTGAAGAAACAAAGAGAGAGAAATATATGAATTTTCACGTCAAGTGAATTATTGACATGTGTCATCTAGCTCAGCAGTTTCACGGTAAAATTAGACGAAAGTTAACAAAGTGTAAATGTGTCACGCGTGTACCAATTTGAATTTTTGATGACCTAACAATTAGTTCATGGTAAATTTGTCACATGCGTATTAATTTGGAGTTTTTAGTGATCCAAATTTGGGGTAAATTTGTCATAGATACCGGTTTGGGGTTTTTTGTGATATTAACCCTAAAAATGACACAACCCCTTTATATGTCCCAAAAAAAACTCAATTTTCTGCTATCCAAACAAAAAAAAAAGACTCTGACAAAAAAAAAAACAAAAAAAAGACAACTTTTTGCACATCCTAAGATAAAACCAACTTTTTGTTCGTGGGATAATACCCGTTACAAATTTAGATTTATTCTCATTGTTAAATCGTTCATCCAACGTGGCTTTCGTGCATAGCGAATCACGTCAAAAACCATTTTTCCGGAAAAAAATTAGTCGCGTTTTTCGGTGTTCGGGCGGAAAATGTTTTCCGTGAGAAAACATTTTCCTTCCCCACCCCAAATCCTTCATTATTTTGAGAAAAATGATTTCCTCTTTGAAGGCAAAATTGCCCATGGGAGGGAAAATGTTTTACGTGGGAGAGAAGAAGTGGATCGCCGGTCACCGCCACCGGCCGCCCGCCGCGCCGCCGCCGCCGCCGCCCGCCGCCGCCGCCGCCGCCGCCGGCCGCCGATCGCTAGGCGCCGCCGGATCGGCGGTCGCCGCCTACACCGAGAAAATATTTTCCGAAACTTTTTCAAATTTTAACGAACACCAGAAAATTGTGTTCCGGAAAACATTTTCGGGAAAATGACTTAGGAAAATATTTTTCAAAAGGAGAATATTTTCCGCAAACGAACGGAGCCTTATTCTCATTGTTAAATCGCCATGCGTCATCCGACGTGGCTCATCGCATTGACGCGCATAGCGAGTCACGTTAAAAATCACGTCGTTTTTGGCACAAAATACAGAAAAAAAGAAATTAGTAAGCAAATGTAATAAATTAAAAATAACGCAGTTTTTTTTGTTGGTGGACGTGGCTCGCTGTACACGTCGGCACGATGAATCATGTAGGAGTTGACGCGTGGCGAGTAAAAGGTTGAGTTTTTTTTTTTCTGGACATTTAAAAGTTTTTGTTACTTTTGTCCCTGGAAAATAAAGGCAGGGCTTTCTCAACGGGACGTTTCTAAGATCCTATTACTTTTGTCTGAAGTCTTGTAAACAAAAAAGGTTGGATTTTCTTTGCATTTGGTGTTCCAACTTTCAAGTTCTCTGTCTCTCACTTGCAACAGAACTCCCGAGGTGTGTTTGTTGGAGTAAAAAAAAAATTTCAAAATTAATTTTCCGGGACTATTTGTCAACGAAAAATCATTCATGGTCAAAAAAATATTCATAAATATATAAAGGTGAACTTGCTAATCTGAAAATGGGGAAGCATTTTGCTTTTAAAAGATTTTCATGAGAAGCATTCCCTTTTTCATAATTTTTTTCTTGAAATAAACATACCCAAAGATGGTACCATAAAATCATTTTGATGCCCAAATTCATTTTAAATTGATGAGATAGACGGAAACTATATTATATAATTTTCCGAAAATCCATCTACATCACTGACCTCTGAGTACGTGAGAACTTTTCGTCACCGTAAGCGTGTAGAGATATACACCAAAAAGGGAGACGACATCCATAACAAAGTTAGTAAAAACAGGGAGAAAGAAAGAAAAGATGGTAAGTTCTAAATTGGTGGACGAGCCCAACAATACTCCTGAATAGCTCGAAATTTCTGTTCGTCTAAGAAAGAATAGGGGACACATCCACTAACACTACCCAATGTCTACACGTTCTCGAGGATTTTGACCACAATGCATTCTACTGCAAATCGCAGTCGCCAGTGCCAACAGAGCATGATTCAGGAGAGCCAATAGAGCAAAAATTGCTTTTATAAAATCAGGATCTGCCCTGCTAAATTCAAAGCCATAACTCAAGGCTTCCGAAACCTAAACCCTGCGGTTCACCAGTTCTCATGGCAGAGTGACATATCCACACTCTTTTCATTAACATTTGTATAGTAGGAAAGCACGGAGTTGGGGAAAGCTGTTGCGAAGTGCACAGAAAAGTGAAAGGAAGGCAAAAATCTACAAGATGAACTGGAAAGTTGCACAGCTCTCGTCTTAAAATTACGTAGATCCTGAACAAATTATTGTGCTCTGGAAATTACAAGAGATACACCGAGATTGAGGATTGGCAAGGACCACATTAAAGGGACCAAGGAAGACAACTTAGCTCCTGCGACATCACGACTAGGTCAGAACGACATAGAGCAGCGAAAAGCTTTTGCCCATGCATCAAAATTGAGGCCAAAAGAAATAAGTAGCAAAGTTGAGATTGAACTTATCACAGCCAAGCAGTACCTGTATAGTAAACTAATTTGTTCCCCAAAAAACAAATCTAGCCAAGATGAGCTCCATTCCTATTTTAAATTCGTGCTGCAGGTATCAACCATTGTTTAGCACAAATGAACACTTGAGGATGAAAATGGTCAACCCTCCAACAACCCGCCAAGAAAGCTTAGATATAAGGTGGCTTCATGAATCTGCTGCAGCTGCCAGAGGCTGAAGAGCTTTGAGAGGATTCATGATCACACCATCAATAAGTCCATATTCTTTGGCTTCCTTGGCACTCATGAAGAAATCACGATCTGTGTCCTCGTTGATCTTCTCAAGACTTTGACCCGTGTGATAAGAGAGATAGCCATTAAGGTTTGCCTTATGATGCAGCATTTCATTTGCCTGGTAGTTAATTCAAATTTCCACCCATAATCAGAAACATAACAGAAAGTTTCACTGACTGAAGATTCAACACTGGACAGACCTTCAATCTATAAAATTAAGTACAGTCATTTCCCAAGAGAGATGTGCATTTCATTCAAGTTGAGAGATTCATACAGACTACAGATGTAGCGTGTGAATGAACTGGAGCAGTGATTTCATTGCGACAATTACTCATGTGAGTGCTTGTGCACATGATCGTGTCCACACCCACAAGTTCGTTTTTCCTTGTCATACATGCGCATCCATGCCCTGTGCACATGGATGCCAATAGGTGTATGCATGAAAACTCATGGGTCTACGTATCAATGCAAGTGATGTTCATGCAGGCTGCACATAGACGAACCTGGATATCTATGTCAGTTTGTCCACCTTGTGCTCCACCAAGAGGTTGATGTATCATTATTCTTGAGTTTGGCAAACTATATCGTTTCCCTACAGTCACAAGTGAGAAAAGTACTGTCAGGATCTAAAAGCATAAAACATACAGAGCTTCACAAAGTGAGGATATAGTTCATGACAATAACCTACCTTTGGTCCCGGCACTTAGTAAGAATGCCCCCATACTGCAAAGAAGAGCATGGATCGATCAACCAACAGATACTGAGACTGGCTAAAAGAGTTCAAGTAATTTAATGAACAAACAGAACAAAAAACCATGCTATTGACAACAAAACATCGAAGTTCAACATTTGTCTTCTAATTCCACCTTCATGCTACAATCCTTACAAGTCACTTCAAAAGTTCTGATCTCCTTATGGTAGCCTTTGTAGATTATACTTGCAGACAACCTTAAAACAGGTTTCCTCATCTCATTCCCCTTGCAACACATCGCCTATCTCTTACCCGTTTGGATGTAAGATGGGTCTTCAAAATTCCACATAGATAATGCATGGAGCAATCATGTGCCTGATGTACATGCACACTCTTACCACTTAATAGCTTATAATTCAGGGTTGAAAATCCTTCAACATCTTGCCTCCACTCTTATACAGGTAGTATAAAATATTAACACTGCAGCTGGTAGCATCTTTAAGTGCTTTCAGTTGAAAACTCAAATCACTAAATGCATCCACTACATTCTACACAGGTAGAACAAATCGCATCACCTTCATAAATGCGAAACATGAATTTGACAATCTGAAGCTTCACTTCTAAAGCAGCCGTTAAAAACATTATATTGAGCATCAGTACAATTGCCTAGTTCGTTCAAAAACCTCTAGGCAACCATTGTATTACCCCTACAATGACCGCAAGCTTTCTAAAAGACTAACAAACGGCATTTCTTCTTGTGGCATACCAAGGAAAAACAGAACCTTGTCAAAGGATATGATACCTAGCTGCAAGTCCAACACATACAGTGGAGACATCGGGACGAATATGCCTCATCGTGTCAAATATAGCCATACCTAAGAGACAAAAGGTAAACAAGTCAACCAAGAACCATGCCTTTGAAGACCAAACTATACAAAAATGAACCACCAAAAGAAAGCTCCCATGGTAAGGACATACCAGCTGTAACAGATCCTCCAGGAGAATTCACATACATTACAATATCCTATTCAATGATAAAGCAAATGTGTAAGAGCTCATAATACAATTGCTTATAACCTGTAAAATGCCAATACATGCATTTACAATCAAACTGCCTGGGAGCATACGAGAAAGTATATGAGCGCGCGTCATTGTCAATGCTACAAGATGTTTTTGCCAGGTATAACGAGAGACTAGAAGGACCTTGTTCGGATCAACAGCATCTAGATAAAGAAGCTGAGCAACGATTATGTTGGCCATGTCATCATCAACAGCACCACCGCAGCGTATTATTCTCTGTCAATCCACCAGATACCATCATAATATGCTAAAAGGCCAGTTAAAGTTTTGTGACAACCGTCGAGCCATAGGTGAAAACCAACACTAGAGCAAGGAAACTTACATATTGGAAAAGCTGGCTGATTACGCTCTGAAAACGCTCTTGTACCATTGGCGGAGGCCCTTGACCTTGTGCATAAGAAGGGAAGTATGGTGAAGATGGAATTTGCAAATCCTCCCTAGAAAAACGAACCAATAATCATGAAGCACAAAATACCCTGATTTAATCAAAAGTCGGAAAAATTTAAAACTGACAACTACCTTATGGACCAAATGCCCTGCCGAGAACTCCTCTCTGGAGCCCAGAACTCACCCGAATAAACGGCCTTTACCCGCTGAAGATTCTTTCTGTTGCAAACAAGCTTGTTAAATTTCCTGCAGAGTTTACAGTACAAGAATTGTTCATCAGTAACAGGGAAGAACTATCATCAAACTCCATCACATTGAATCATATTATGAGACAGACTTCTGACAGTATTCCAGACACTTCATTATGCTAGGACTGCGAGAACAGAACCCAACGAATGAAATTATTAGTAGAGCGAAAGAAAATTCTTCCTTTTTTTTTCCAAAACAAGAACTTTCAAATTCCTATTTTCCAAAGCAATCTCGCACTCGGGTCAGCTTTCTGCAATCGTGCATTCAAAATGGACTATCTATTGCTTCAGAATCACATGTACGCCGTAAAACCGATACTTGAAAACCAAAATGCAAGGTCACCTACTACTAAAGCTAATCGCAAACTCGATTGCGCTTCAAGAACTTTCAAATTATTAGCAGAACGAATGAAAATTTTCCTTTTTCCAAAACAAGAACTTTCAAATTCCTATTTTCCAAACCAATCTCGCACTCGGGTCAGCTTTCTGCAATCGTGCATTCAAAATGGACTATCTATTGTTTCAGAATCACATGTACGCCGTAAAACCGATACTTCTGAGCGGTCAAATCGAAAACCAAAATGCAAGGTCACCTACTACTAAAGCTAATCGCAAACTCAATTGCACTTCAAGAACTTTCAAATTATTAGCAGAACGAATGAAAATTTCCCTTTTTTCCAAAACAAGAACTTTCAAATTGCTATTTTCCAAAGCAATCTCGCACTCGGGTCAGCTTTCTGCAATCGTGAATTCAAAATGGACTATCCATTGTTTCGGGATCACTAGTACGCTCTTAAACCGATACTTCTGAGCGGTCAAATCGAAAACCAAAATGTAAGGTCGCCTCCTACTAAAGCTAATCGCAAACTCGATTGCGCTTCAAGAACTTTCAAATTATTAGCAGAGCGAAAGAAAATTCTTCCTTTTTTCCAAAACAAGAACTTTCAAATTGCTATTTTCCAAAGCAATCTCGCACTCGGGTCAGCTTTCTGCAATCGTGAATTCAAAATGGACTATCCATTGTTTCAGAATACGCTGTAATACCGATACTTCTGAGTTCTGAGCGGTCAAATCGAAAACCAAAATGCAGAGGTCGCCTACTGCCAAAGCTAACCGCAGACTCGATTCCGCTTCGATTCACGCTTCGGCATTAGGCAAAACCCAAAGAAACCCTCAAAACCCGCCCCCCTCGACCGCGGGGCGGTTTTTGTCCCCCCCCCCGGGCAAGACCAAGGCGGAGAGTACCTGGAACGAAGCTGCTCCGAGGCGGCGAGCGCGAGCCTGGGAGAGTCGAGGGAAGAGCTAGGGTTGGGGGAGGGAGCGAGGGAGGTGAATCTGAGAGGCGAGGAAGCCGTCGACACGCACGCGTGCGCCGCCATCTCCTCCTAATCGCTTCCGGTCTCCGCGCCGCCCTTCGATTTATGCTACAATGGCCGAGAGGTCAGCGGGAGGGGGAGGGGGAGTGGGAGTGGGAGTTATCCGAAGTGGGTTTAAGAGGAGAAGGAGAAGGAGACGGCGGTTTGTTTTTTTTGTGGCAGTGATAAGAAGATGGGTAGAACAAGAAACCACTCCTCCGATTACAACTAAACTCGATAGCAACACGAAATCAGGAATCGCCGAGACCGGACCGGACCGGACCGAATTGGCGTATTAGGTTCGAACTTCTTAAAAGTGAAATCGGTGTTCGGACGGTCTGGTTACCAATTATAAAGGGAACCGGACCAACTATGTATATTTTTTTGATTCTTTTATATCTTCAAAATAATTAATAAAATGTGAATTAAACCTCAAGTGAAGTACGTTTTTTTGTTCGTCTTTTCAATTTGAGAATCATTACCGATGTTTGATCATTCATGGTTGCAAAATAATCATTATCTCTCGATGATTTGTGGGTTTAGTTTATTGTTTTCGATCTGAAATTTATAAACCTGCTATTTATTTTTTTTGTTTATCGTAGAAGATATATGAGCACATAATTAGGTTCCTTTTTAACTAAAATCTTTTTCTAAAAAAGTTGTGGGAATACGAAGAGATGGTATCAAGTAGTGGGAAAAAAAAGTGACCAGTTCCGTTGGATCGAAACGGTTCTCGAATCTAGGATCAACCGATCCGGTCCTCGATTCCCAGTTCCAGTGGAACCGGATTGGACTGAAAACTGATCACCCCTGGCAATACATTTATCTTCTCTTCTTCTCATCCAAAGCTCGACTAGTCGAGACCATCCCTGCCTTTCCCAATTGAATTGTGGCCATTGAAATAATGGAGACGATCGATTTCAAGATGGGTTAATTTTGAGATCAGAACCTTGAAATCGAGTTCAATTTGTTTTGTAAAATTTTACAAGGAATATTCCAAATAAAGGTACGAAATGCTCTTATTTTCTCAAATAAAGGCTATAAATGAACATTGTTTCGAATACGGTGCTATCATTTTCTCAAATAAAATTCTGAAATGGCTTTTGATTTGAACAAGGATATGAAGTGCTTATGTCAATTTCACGCAAGGATATGACTTTCCGGATGATCTAGAACATGTTCATCCTTTGCCTTTTTTTGAAATTTTTTCCTTTTTTTCCTTTTTCTCTTTTTCTTGCTTTTTTCTGGTTTTTTCTTTTTTTTTTCGTCGGTGGCTGGCTGCATGGAGAAGGCTAAGCGAGGGCAACCCTTACTCGACCTAGTGAGGGCCGTCCCTCGTGCCACCCTCGCTAGCCACATGAGGGATGGCCTCACATCAGCAAGGTGGCCTCGCCCAGACCAGGTTGCCTCTCACCTATGGCTAGTGAAGGTGGCCTTACTAGATTGGGCGAGGGTACCCTCGCCTAACCCTCTCCAAGCATCGCTGGTGGCCAGCGACTGGTCACTGGCAAAGAAGAAGAAAAAATCAGAAAATAGGAAAAAGAAAGAAAAAATAAAAAATAATTTAAAATTAAAATTATCTTTGGATGAAGATACCCTTGATTTGCCGGCTCCGGGTGCCGACCGGCGAGATCAAGTTCTTATATGAAATTGATATGACCACTTCAGATCCTTATTTAAGATAGACATGACTATGGCTCCGAGTGAACCAGACGTGCTGAAGACACCGGTCGATCTACTCTAAAACTTTGTAACGAGGGTTTGCCTAAAAGTCCTTGCAAGTGTTCACCATTCGAGTCCATGCAGTATTGGATCATCCTCCTCGCACATTTCATCAATGAAAGTTGGCCTAGCATAACTGTATAATGGGCCTTTTTCATTCATGAATCGTGATCATACGTTAGGTCAAATCACGAGTTTAACATGAGAAAGCAAGCATCTGTACATTTACATTTTCTCATGATCGGTACCGTCGATTCAATCGCGCTCAAACTCGAATAAAAAACCCTCGAATCATGCTTAATCGAATACGATTCCTGTATATTTTGCAGAAAACTATATGGTCTTTACACATTCGATCAAATTTGATTTCTACACATCTAGAAGGAAAGTATATAGTCCTTAGAGCATGCAGCGCATGCGAAAATCTACTGGTTTTTACGTAAAGTTGGAAGTTATGTATAGATCAAAGCGTGGATAGATAGACGCAACTGCGAAATGACATTCTGCGCAACAAGCACGGATTTGCAGCACATCCGCCGATTTGATAAATAAGATTCGCTCTACATTCACAAGCGAGCTTGAGCTGCAATGGCGAGACAGTTGCTCCCGAGCTTCTGCAGGATACGGTCGGCCCCCGTGAGCGGCGATTTCACGCTCATCTCGACGAACGCGTCGTCGCAAGTGCTGGCGAACGTGATCACGGCGCTGAGCTCGCTGTTCAGCGTGCCGACGTCGTGCGCCGCGATCGCCTTCTGCACGTTGGTCAGGCTGTCGAGGGCGAAGCCGTAGTTCTCCTTACAGGTGCTGAGGGCCATCTTCTCGGCGGGCAACGCGGAAGCATCGGCGGAGAGCGTGGCGACCTCGGCGGCGGCGCTCTTCGTCTTCTCCGTGCAGGCCTCGATCTCGGCTGCGAGCATCGAGAGCGGGTTGGCCGTCCCCTTGAGGTGGGCGCCGACGGAGGAGATGCAGATGCCGGGGTAGTCCGTCCGGTGGCAGATGTCGACCACCGTGTGGTCGACCGCCTGCGCGGCCTTGGAGGCGACGAGCGAGGCCAGGGCGTGGGACGACGGCCCCTTGAAGGAGGCGGGAGTTTGGGGGAGCTTCTCGACGGCGACGGACTTTAAGGAGGTGAGCTTGCGGGGCACGCAGACGGCGTCCACGACGGCGGGGGAGGAGGAGAGGAGGAGCAAGGCGGAGGCGGCGGAGACGAGGAGGAGCAGCAGCGCGCGAGATTCGGACGACGTCGCCATGGTTGTTCTCTCTCCGATCTCCAAGTATTGATTAAAGCAAAAGATGAAGGTCGACAGAGATTGTTTTGGAGGGGTAGAGACGGATGTAAATAGGGTTTATCGATCTGGTTTAACTTCGTCGCAACTTCCCAATGCTATTTTTCGGTGGCGAAACTAAATTTAACTGATTTTTCGTATTTTTAGCTAGGTCTAATTGGGACCTTTTGGATGGATGATTTGGGTGCTGATCTCTTTGGATATTGGTTAGCTTTAAATAGGCTATAAACACGTGCATGGGATGGAAATCCTCGGTGCCTATCCACGGATCTAGACAGCGTTCAGATTATCGGAATTCGTATTAATGTGTGTTTGTTGGTATAATTTGTGACTAAATACATTAACGGAATTCGTATTAATATGTTGTAATTTTGGTGGGTTGATGGATCAACGAATTTGAGCAAAAACGAGATACGTCTCTTCGGTTCATATATCTCTTGGATTCGCGTGAATCTCTTCGGTTCATGTATCTCTTAGATTCGTGTATCTACTTAATTCACGTATCTTTCGAGTTTATGTATCTCTTGAATTCTTGTATTTATTTAATTCATGTATTTGTTGGATTCTTGTATCTATTTAATTCAGTTTCGATACATGAATTCTAAAACTCCATAAATAGAGTTGAAATTCTTCGCTCCAAGCATTATCGAAAACACCCACATCTCATCACTTCATTTTTCTCTAAATGTGTTGGCTTCAAGAAGTGCTCGACAGAGTGTTGTTTGCGTAGTGCTAATTCAAACAGGTTCGAGGTGTTGTATCTTGAGAGGCATAGTTCGTCAAGCCGCTTAACACCAATAGTAAAAACTAATCACCTTAAAGAGATTCAGTTAGTTGCACCTCATCTTCGCTTAATTTTTGTAAGTGCTTTCTCAAATTTATTAATTTTTTTATTATAACAAAGAGTGTTACGTATTTCTTCCCTAAATAACATAATTTCTTCTTCTTCTTCTATTTCCAACACCATCAACCCACCCATTAGACACACTTCAGACAGCTTAAACATTGATTGCATATTCGACAAAAAAAAAATCACTGCATAATTCAGACATCCGAAAACCTAAATTAAGCATTCGAAGTTCAATGAACTCTCGATTTGTGTCTATGGTATAACATGAACGTGACTAATCTCAACAAGACACGACTAATAAAGCGAGCCACACGACATGACGCGATTAACACGACTATCAAACATGTCACCATATTTGGTACCAACACAATACTATGCATTGATCCTTTTATGATGTTAAACACATAAAGCACGTTATTACACGATAACTCGTGTCGGTGCATTTGACATCTTTTTAACATGTTTCTAGACAAATGAGGACATGTTACATTCAGAGCATACTATGGACCGATGCTTTTTTCATGTCATACGATTTTTGTAACCATGAATATGTTTTTTGTTTTGCCTTTTGTTCTTTTTAACACGTGTATTATTTTTATGAAATTTTAAGGATAACAAAAGAGTCTTTGGATACTAGCGTGGAACATGTCAAAATGCGTCGTATAAAAAAGATGAAACGTTAACAACACACGTTAGGTTTGTGTTTAGACGGATTAAGTGGATCGATTCGTGTAGAACATAACTTGTGTCATATCTTAAACGAGTTGACTCGTTGATGTCAAATCCAAACCCATTTAACTAAGACTTCGTTTGTTTCGGAAAAATAGATGATTTGAAAAATATTTTTGTGGAAATCATCGCTCGTATCGATTGAATAATTAGTCAACGAGAAATGTTCTCACTATTAACAAAAAATTATATTTTAATATTTTCGTGAACTATAAAAATATTTTTTTAATTCATTTTTGTGCACGGTAGAAATATTTATTTTTAGGAAAATATTGGCGGCCCATAATTAAGTTACCATTTGACCCGACTTCGTGACGGCCCAATCCGGGTAGCAAATTCGGGTCGAACGGAGGACCCGAAGAAACGCAAATCTGAGAAAACTGGGCGATGATGGATGCCAAAACCTTCCGTCAGTCGCACACAGCGAGTCAGCGACACCATCTCGAGCTTCTCTGCTTCTGATTCCGCCACCGTCTCCGACCTTCTCGATCGCCACGTCGATCTAGGGTTTTCCTTCCTCCGCTCCCTTCTCCGCGGCCATGTCGAAGAGGAAGTTCGGGTTCGAAGGGTTCGGCATCAACCGGCAGGCCACCTACAACTTCGAGCGATCCCAGCCCCCGCAGCGTCTCTACGTCCCGCCTTCCTCCCGCGCGCACGGCCACGACAACTACGAGGACACCGACCTCGACGACATCGAGTACGATGAGGGCGGGGGCGGGGGCGGGGGCGAGGACGCCGCCGCCGCCGCCGCCGAGAGGGAGGGCGGCGGCGCGGGTGGCGGGGGCGAGGAGATCGACCCGCTGGACGCGTTCATGGAGGGGATACACGAGGAGATGAGGGCCGCGCCGCCCCCGAAGCCGAAGGAGAAGGTGGAGAAGTACCGGGACGACGAGGAGGACGATCCGGTGGAGAGCTTCCTGCGGGCGAAGAAGGACGTGGGGCTCACGCTGGCGTCGGACGCGCTGCACGCCGGTTACGATTCGGACGAGGAGGTTTATGCGGCCGCCAAGGCAGTCGACGCCGGGATGTTGGAGTACGATTCGGACGATAATCCGATTGTGTTGGATAAGAAGAAGATTGAGCCGATTCCGGCTCTGGACCATAGTGAGATTGATTATGAGCCGTTCAGTAAGGATTTTTACGAGGAGAAGGAGTCAATTTCAGGTGAGTGTTGCAGACACTATTGCTGATAGGTCAGAATCTGCTTGATTGGTATCTTTCAGCTTGCTTTTTCTGCGTGGTAATTTTCCTTGCATAGTTAAATTATAGTCATTATTATAGGTAGAATTATTGGTTGCTCAGTTTCATCAACGTCTCTGCAGTCTCTCTTTAGTCTCTTGGGACAAGTATTCTGATGTTGTCTAGGTTCCAACCAGCGGAGTTGTCATTTTCGTGAATTGTGTGATGTGAATGTTTTTAGTATGACTGTACATGGGTGAATTACACCGCCCCCATTCCAATAGTTTTGACTGTTCCAAGTCACTGCTTAGTTTCCGAAATGAATACCCACATCACACCAACCGGATCTCCATGCACTGCAGTATTATGTCGAGTTCCTTGTCCTTTACCTTTTGTTATCTATGCTGCATGCGGTGTGACGCCCAAAATTTGTGCTTTTAGGGATGAGTGAGCAGGATGTCGCTGATTATATGAAGAGTGTGGCTATCCGGGTGTCTGGATTTGACGTCCCAAGGCCGGTCAAGGCATTTGATGATTGTGGCTTTTCTCCTCAACTTATGAATGCTATTGCGAAACAGGGATATGAAAAACCCACTTCGATACAGTGCCAAGCTTTACCAATTGTGCTCTCAGGAAGAGACATCATCGGTATAGCAAAGACTGGTTCCGGTAAAACCGCTGCTTTTGTGCTTCCTATGATAGTGCATATCATGGATCAACCTGAACTGGCGAAGGAAGAGGGCCCAATTGGGGTGATATGTGCTCCAACCAGAGAATTAGCACACCAAATATATTTAGAGTGCAAAAAATTTTCAAAATCTCATGGCATACGTGTCTCTGCCGTTTATGGTGGAATGTCCAAACTGGAACAGTTTAAGGAATTGAAGGCGGGATGTGAGATAGTTGTTGCAACTCCTGGAAGATTGATAGACATGCTAAAAATGAAGGCACTGACAATGTTGAGAGCAACTTACTTGGTTCTTGATGAGGCTGATAGAATGTTTGACCTTGGATTTGAGCCGCAAATAAGGTCTATCGTTGGCCAAATTAGGCCTGACCGTCAGACATTACTATTTTCAGCAACTATGCCTCGAAAAGTCGAGAAGCTAGCCAGAGAAATCCTCTCGGATCCCATAAGAGTTACTGTGGGAGAAGTGGGAATGGCCAATGAAGATATCACACAGGTTGTTCATGTCATTCCTTCTGATGCAGAAAAGTTGCCTTGGCTTATTGAGAAACTACCTGCACTGATTGACGAGGGAGATGTGCTAGTATTTGCCTCAAAGAAGGCTGCCGTGGATGAGATTGAGTCACAGTTGTCTCAAAGAGGATTCAAAGTTTCTGCTCTTCATGGTGACAAGGACCAGGCTTCTCGGATGGAAATTCTCCAAAAATTTAAATCTGGCATATATCATGTTCTTATTGCGACAGATGTGGCTGCTCGGGGTCTCGACATCAAGTCGATTAAGTCAGTTGTAAACTTTGATATTGCACGTGATATGGACATGCATGTCCATCGCATTGGTAGAACAGGTCGTGCAGGTGACAAGGAGGGGGTTGCATATACTCTTATAATGCAAAAGGAGGCTCGATTTGCTGGGGAGTTGGTTAATAGTCTGATAGCCGCTGGTCAGAATGTTTCAACGGAGCTCATGGATCTTGCCATGAAGGTAAAATTTGAACCTTGTGCTATTTTTGATATTACACATTTGTGACACCATTTACGCAGTCGATTGAGTGATTTGACGTCCCTTTGCATTTGTTATATTTTTGGAGTTTTTCAAAATGTGCAAAAATGCAAACTTTCAGTGTTACCCTTTCTTCCACATGCGTGAGTCCGGTGGGGACTTCATAATGCGTGCGAGTGATGTTGCATTGACAACTGACCTACATGATGCTGGCCCCTTGTGTTTTTGTCGACTATTGGTGGAAGAAGATATAGGCAGTCATTATAACAGGGGAAGGATGGAAAAGTGGGATAAGAAGAGAAATCGATGCCTTGTCACTCCATATTTAGCTTGAATCAACGGGCAATGTAGACAAATATAGGCTTAAGCAACAGTTTGAAGCTTTCTTGATGCAATAAAGAGACTTCTACCTTCCTCACTCTACTCATCCATCTCTTCTCCCCCATCCCGAATTAAACAGAAATGCATTGTTGCCTATGTTACATGGCAAATGCAGATCTTCCCAAACATGTGACTGTTGGCATCCATGAGAAAGAGTTGAGAGTGAAAAGATGGTGGAATGATTAAGATGGACAGCTTGCAAATAATTCTTTTGCTTTGCATGTTATTAATTTCAGCGCCTTTGTCATATGCTGTCATCTTCACTCTTTGAATATACATGTGAGATGGGCTTGTCCTTTTACAGGAGTTTACCCCTGAACTCTTGATACTCTTTCAATTAGACTGTTTTTTGTTAAAATTACTGAGACTTTTGCCCAGAAGATGTATTCAGACTCAAAATGTCCCATTTTTCGCTTGAAGTTCAGTTTGCTCTACCTTCAAGCTCTCTTGATATCATTTTATGAAGGTCCTAGGTTCTGATTAGTCATTTTATTTGTCAATTATCAGGATGGAAGATTTAGGTCCAAACGCGACTCGAGAAAAGGGGGTATGCTTTGTTTCATCTTGTCTGTGCAACTCGCTCCAGTTTTGATTTTTTTGTCTGAACATTGGAAGTCCTAGTTTGCAACATCTCTCTCTCTCTCTCTCTCTCTCTCTCTCACCCATACACGCACGCATGCACTGAATTGTGGTATATCATTTCTGTATTTCTCATAAAACATGGTGGAAAAAGTTAGAAAAACGTTATTTGCTAATTGATTGTTATGTTTCCTATTCATGGTATAATTTTTTAAGCAGGTGGGAGAAAGGGTCGGGGAAGAGGGGGTGGCGGTGGCGGTGGCGGTGGCGGTGGTGGTAGAGGCGTCCGTGGAGTGGATTTTGGTTTGGGTATAGGATATAATCCGGAGTCAAGTGCATCGTCTCAGAATGCTCCAAGTCGACCAGCAGCTGTTAACTCATTGAAGACTGGGATGATGGCTCAATTTAAAAGTAACTTTGTGGCTGCTGCTTCTAACTCCCAAAATCAAGTCATAAGTAGCAGTTCAAACATGCAAGCGAGCAAGAGACCGGCGATGACTGGATTTGTATCTGGTGGTACTATAGGAGGAGATGCTTACAAAGGTCAGACAACTAAGTCATCTAGTACTCCCGCATCAGGAGTAAATCCTACTGGTCAGAGACCTACAGAGAATGCTGGTCGTAGAAGTTCAGAAAGGTTAGCTGCATTTCCTGCATATGTCCATTATTTGGTATATGTGCTATCATTAAGTGAGTCTATGCGAAATGGGTTCTTATTACGTTTTGTTTGTTTCCAATTCTGCAGCAGTAGAGATAAAACGAGGGAAAGGCGTCGTCCCTCTGGCTGGGACCGTTGATTTAATGAAAGCTAGACCTATGTTGACAGAATCTTTTAATCCCTGAAGGATTGTCCAGATGTTATTTTGTCTGTAATTTTGTAGGTTGAGTAAGTTTCTCATCTGTAAGTTAATGTTCAAATATGTTTCATATCTACAGCATTGAAAATCCACTCCAGATGTAGCAGGAGTACATGAGTTTTTTACTCTTGTACAAAAGCCGCGTTTCTCTTCTCTGAAAATTCTTTTGAAAGAATCCAATTGAAGTAAAAGAAATGCAAGATTTCTTTGTTTATGACTCTTGGATTGCCCAGGAGATGCGGCTCGAGGGGTTCCTGGTTTAATGCATGCCTGGTTTGTAATTCTACAGGTAGTTGTACCTCTTTTCTTGTAGGATTCAAGTTAGAGGGGAGTCATCACGGTGTTGTCGCTGTTGAATGACAACGCTCCCATTGAAAACTGCGATACCTTCTAAAAAAATTACGTATTCTCTGTCTGGCTCTACCATGGTTTATTCCCATAGTGCATCACTCTAAGATGCTTGAAGGTGGCGTCGTGTCGCGGATGGTACTTCTCTTTGTATTTATGCTACTTGGGAGCAGGATCATGATTTCTATCTCCGCCTCCATGGCTGAAAACGCAATGCAGGCCAAGGTCAGTCCCAGCTCCTGATTTTGAATGTCGGTCGAGGTACTTCAACCCTTACTAACCAAAGTCCCTAAATCAAACGAGCTCAGTTCTTTCCAGAGCTAGCTGCATAACTCTCTATGCCCGTCCATGATGTCCTCTGGTCTCTAAATAGGTTGCCTTCTTTCGTCAAAATTTTATCTCAAGTGTAAATTTTTTTGTGATTTACTGTTGCGTTCGGAATATCTAGAAGGACATCATTACTTATCGAGAACATATAAGGGTATGTTTCCTTCGTGATTTGAACCTTTGGCAGGAACAATGCAGTTGTTATTTAGTCCGCTTGATGCCACATTAGTATGACATGGCTTTGGTTAGTGCTTCAAAAGAACAATTCAGGATTCTTTCATTCTGTATCCGCCATGGTGAAGTAATATCCAGAGGTTGCTAATCTACGTGCTCTTTATAAGATCGTATCCTACCACGATCACAACAAAATTGGGCCGATTCAATCATCAATCTCGTCATAAGAAACTGCTGATTGCCATATGCATAGACTTCTTCCAGAGTTAATCCTAATCCACTTCAGTATTATGTATAGTGCTTGCTTTTGCATATGTGCACAATCATGCCTTTGGGCATTGCCCTAACTCAGTGTTCTGCATGACTTCTCTCCGTCGGATAGCGTTGGGACAAATCTCCAAGCAAGGCTCCTTGAGGGCTGCATCTTCTTGAGGCCGCGGAGGATGAATGCCAAACTTGAACTGCCATTGGAAGGAGAAATCTTCAATCAGTTACTACCAATTGAGAGTAAAACTGCAAGAGATCGATATGAATGACACAATGCCCGACCACCAAAGATCAATCCCCTCCATTCCTGCCCCCGTCTATTTTCTGTTTAACTCTATCCGTTTACTCTATGGACCCTCCTTTTGAAGAAAACGATGCAAGTAGCACCGGATTCGTGGAACAAGAATTTCCCCCGAGAACGGCCTACAAACGAAGACTAAAGCTGGCACGAGAAGCAGATTTCACGAGTTAAATATGCAGATACCTGGCAGCTGTAGTCTTCAAAGTTTGGCTCCATGAGCAAGGGAACCCCCATGTAGTCCTTGAAGAAAGACTGGAAAGAGTTCATTGACATTAGACAAACCGTAAGACCCCCTCAGAAAGAGATGAGCCTCTTTTATTTCGCTTATTTCAGGAGGTAACAGCACATTTTTCATGGATAAGAGGGAAAAAATAGCTAGAACTCAGAGTTTGATGCTTTCCATGTTGGGGTCGAATCAACTGAATCTCTGTTTACTTAAGAACTGTCCGTTTCATTAGGGGACATCACTAACCTGCGTGGGAAGCTTACAAGTATTGACGCAAATCCCGACGCACTTGCTCTCCTCCAAATACTTGCATCTCTCCACAAAGACCTGTATTGCATATCATTGCATCATAATGTGGATCCACAGCACCCATTTCTGGGCCACTGCTCTTAGATACATTCTTCATGGTTTTAGAGACAGGTAAAGGCGTACTACGTATTACCCCACTTTGACAAGAGGCACCATCAGGAAGGTCGACAGAATTGACCGTGCATTTTCCCATGAGCCATTGACAAGTGAGTGCAGTCACTCTTGCTTGAGGACGACACACGCATCAAAACAGAACTCCATTAGCTCCAAAGAAACACTGTCGTTTAACACAAGCAGGAAGACTTACCAACCATCATTGCAGCTAGCTTTCCTTCTCCTACTGGCGCGACGAGCAATTGGTAAAGCTCCAGCAGGAACGGAGGGAACAGCGATCGTAAAATCCGAACCTGTTGCCAGCACCAGAAGTTGTAGATGATTCCGAAATCAACGATCGGTTTCAAAGTCATTCCTTCTCATCATCAACCATCGAAATGAAATGCCTCATAGCCATTACACATTGGAGCCGAACAAAAATGCACAGGGAAGAGAGAGCAAACCACAAAAAGATGCAGGCTTTGCTCTTCCAAGCACAAATTAAGCATGTCCTCACACACACCCTTTACATTTTATAGATAAAAGCAAGCAACATATATCAGGAAAAGCCATTCGATTGTCCAATTTCTGCTGATTTTTAGAAGAAAAACCAAGGCGGTGCAAAAGGCGGGTATACCGCTGCATCTCTGGTGTCGGAGTTATTGGAGCCCTTCATCATGAGGCGGTGGGCGACTTCGATCAGTCCGTCGTATCCCGGCTTCTCCGAATCCCATCCGACCTCCTGTTAACAGCAGCCCTTGAAAGCAAACACACCACGACCATCACCACCCCAACAAAAACCAGCGACAACAAACAACGCATTGAAATAGCTGCTTGGACTTGCTATCCCTGCTTTTGTTTTCTCTTTCGTTTCCTTAATTCGGTGTGGGAATCGAGCTGACCTTGACCATCCTGCTGCGGAACAGATTGAGGAGCAGATCATCGAACGCGCCAGGCTTGTATTCAGCCCTCGAAGCCGCATCACCTGCGGCAATCTGATGAACACGACCCCATCGGCATCATAGCCACAAAGAGAGAGAGAGAGAGATGAAGCAGCGCACCGTCTCGGAGTGGAGAGAGAGACGGGTGGTGGGGAATCCGGGGCTCGCTCTGCGCGGCGGGGGATGGCGGAGAGAGAAGGGAGACGCGGGGACGGGAGAGAGAAGAACCAGTGGCTTCATCCTCAGAATTCGAGAAATCGATTTGGGTCATTTCGCCGGAGCTGTCGGGTCATCCCCGGCCGGAGTTTCGCTTTGCACGGTCAATTCCCGACTCGAACTTTAACCATGTTAGAATTTCGAAGACGACAACAAACGACTCCTACGGTGAAATCCCATCTTCCATTGGGAAGCTCGTCCAATTCTTCCATTTGGATCTTAGCGCACCAATATCAAACTCTCTCGGGAAATTCCCGCCGCCAATTAATCGGCCAAATTCCAGCTGAGATCTAACAAATTAATTGGCTGAATTCCTGAAGACATCTCTTGACCTCGGAAAATCTTACTGCTCTCGACTTGCAATCAAACAACCTGGATGGCACTTTGCGAGTGGGACTGCTACTCAAAACTTCAATATTTAACGATGTTGCTACTCTTGTGATTATTGAACGCTAGCCTGTCCATCGTTGGGCTTGGCTACTAGCAACTTGAGTGAGCTCCACATCTTCTTGTCATACCATAGTAGGTTGCAATGGTTGGACATATCCCAAAATAGCATTTATGGGCCGACACCACCATGTGAATGGAGGGGATAAGCAACGCCCCGCTTTACTATTTTATAAGTCATTCATGAAAAAATATTTTTAACGGAAAATGAATAATTTGTAAAATATTCTCTTTAAAATAACTGTTTATATCGCTCGCAAAAATAAACTAATGAAGAATATTTTTGTCGTTCATGAATATATTTTGACATACATTATTACCGATAATAAAAATATTTTACATTGACTAATTATTTCAAGCGATACAAACGATTAATTTTTAAGGAACTTTTTTTAAAAATATTCATTTTTCGCGTAACAAACGGAGCTTCGGTTTATCGCACGTTTTTGCTAAACGAATCTTCAAATGTTTCGAACTTTGCTGAGAGAGACACTTCATTTGATAATTTAAACCCCTGATTTGTAGGTTTATGCACATTCATAGTTAAAAAAAATAAAATAAGACATTAGTATCGCCGCCTCGTCTTCCAGAAAATGCATAACGCGCCGTATTTCTTATTTGCGGTTTTTTTTTTATCCATTTTCAAACCCTATTTAATGTTCCCATTGGGGTCTCAATAAATCTGAATCGTCCATTCATGAAGTCCAAAAATTTCATAATTATCCCTTTTTACACAGCTTATGATCTGAATGGACAGGACATGAATGATATTCTCTATTCTTACCAGGATTTCGTCGGATCCCGTCCGTTTTCTTCGAGAAAACGATGTTGTTGGTGAAATTACATGAAGCCGAATGAATATGCATGCGGGGCTCACTCCCAAACCCTCGCTAAACCGCCGCCGACGGGCGGTATCCATCGGCGAATAAGGCGAACCCTACACGACGTGTTGCCTCCTGATTCACGAGGCCGAGGTGGCTGGCATGGCATCGAAGGAGGCGAGGCCGCTACGGATTTGCGAGCTGGAGACACCGATGCATCCCTGAAGCGCTCGGTGACAATTAAGAGATTTTAGCTTGAATTTTTACCATGGTTCATTTATAAGCATGGGCTGGATTGCACTTTCATGATAACTTTTAACAAGTTGACAATTATTCTTTGATCTTTTGAAGGGGTTCCAAAACACGGTGTATTTTTCGGGTTTCAAAACGACAAAACGGTTCATGAGCAGGACTTCACTAAACGACATGCCTGGCAGTTTGAGATGAAACGGTGCGTTTTCAAGGCTAGCTCAGCTTTTCGTCGTATGCCACTCTCGGTTCTCTAAACCCTCACAAAACCACAGCCCCCCCACCACAAACAACCGTCGGAGTGGCGCTGATCGGCGAAGAAAATGAATCCCAGCCGACGTATAGCCTCCCGATTGACGCACCTGAGGCGGCTGTCCGCGGTGGCCGAGGCTCCGAAGCCGGCCGCCGCGGCGCCGCCGCCGGAGGCGAGGCCGGTGCGGATTTACCGGAGGCTGTCTCCTCTGGCGGGTTTCGGCGGGAGCGTGCCGAAGACGCTGAACGAGTACATCATGGAGGGACGCAAGCTGAGCAAGCTCGACCTGGTGAGGTGCGCCAAGGAGCTGCGCAAGTACCGCCGCTACGAGCACGCTCTCGAGGTTCGTCCGATTCTAGCCCGAATAAAATGAATACCTCTCGCGATTTCAATCCCTCCGTCGAAGCCTGGTGCAGTCGCGGTGATGCGGATTTGTTGGATTGCTATAGTCCTTGTGATGTAGGTGAAAGTGGAAACCTTCTGATGCTCGAGATATGTCTGAGTGATAATGTGCATATGCCGTTCGATTTTTGGTCAATAGTTCAGTCGGCGTTCATGGTTTTTCCCCTTGATCAGCTGTTGATCAGGGGTTTGATAGAATTCCCGGCTTCTCGGCGAAGCCTTTCGAAATTGACAGACAAGGAGAGACCGGCGGAGGGAGATAGAAGAAGAGAAACGAATGATGAGCTTGAGAGAAGAGATGGAAACTGATTAGGGATTTGCTCATTGAATCGGGGTGTTGTGCTCGAATAATTACGGCTGCCTCAACAGTGCAGTAAAAGCTTTTTAACCGAGCGATCGCCGTAGGCACGTTGGGCTCCGTGGCTTTCTTTAGCTTCCCTTGCATCTCAGGAGTCAATTGCATTGAATTCTAGCTTCCAGGCCCTATGCTCATTTGTCTGGGGTGATAGAGACATACATAGATCTATTCTCAACGTAGAAGATCATCTACCGGTTTATGTGAATTTTTTGTTTCTTTTGTGTGGGTGTGAGATCTGACAATCTATAGATCATGTGTTCCTTTTTTGGCTATCAGGGTTCACGGATTAAACTTAGTTACATGCTTGACAGCAGGGAATTAAGATGTAGAAGATCGTAAGAGAGCATTTTATGAAGGTTTAGAGTTTGATATGTGCCCCTTTGATTTTCTTTTCGTTTTCCCTTTCAATCGGTCTGATACAGGCACCTTGGCCAGGAAGGATGAAAATCTAATGAAAGCCATAGGAGAGAGGGAGAGTTTCATATCGTATGGTGGAATTTAGAGTCCATGAGGAAATTTATGTTGAAATACAGACTCCAATGTTCCATTTGTCAGAGTCGATTACCTTTGATTTTTTCCTTGTGACACAAATATCGGAAATAAATTTCCTTGTGACGGTTGTGTCAACATACTCAATTCTTTTGGATCCCAGGTAAACTGATGCTACATATTTCCTCCATGGTGCATGAAAGCTTTTGTTTCCTTTTTAATAAAATTTACTATGATGTGCACCTTTGATTTGGTTCCGAGTTAATTTCATGAGGATCAATCATCATCATTTCTTTTTATGTGCATTGGCACACTTAATTGAGTATGTTGATGTAATCGTGTACCCATCAATGTCTTCCTGCCTCAATTGCAGGTAATGCAATGGATGGAGAAAAGAAATATCAATTTCGCATATGCAGACCATGCGCTGAACTTGGACCTGATATCAAAGGTCAAAGGGGTAGATGCAGCTGAGAATTACTTTAATAGCCTCCCAGAATCTGCCAAAAATTTAGTTACTTATGGAACTCTTTTAAACTGCTACTGTAAGGAAGCTAATGAAGACAAGGCATTGGCCCTCTTCAATAAAATGGATGAACTAAACTTCTCCTCCACTAGGTTGGCTTTCGGCAATCTTATGACATTGTACTTGAGATTGGGCAAGCCTGAGATGGTCCCTTCACTTGTAGCAAAAATGAAGGAGAGAAAAATTTCCTTGGACAGTTATGCCTACGTATTATGGATGCAGAGTTATGCAAGTTTAGATGATATTGAGGGAGTAGAAATGGTCTGGCAAGAGAGATTGAATGATTCAAGTCAGTGTGACGATTGGACCGTGTACAGCAACCTAGCCGCGATCTATGTCAAGGCCGGACTATTTGAGAAAGCTGAGTCAGCTCTGAGGAATCTGGAAACTTTCATGAAACCCCAAAGCCGTGAGCCGTACCACTTTCTGATCAGCCTGTATGCAGGCACTTCTAATCTGAAGGAGGTGAATCGGGTATGGGAGTCCTTAAAGGTGGCTTTTAAAATGCCGACCAACTTCAGCTATCTTATAATGCTGCAGGCGCTTCATAGACTGAAGGATGTAGAGGGTTTACTAAAATGTTTCAAGGAGTGGGAGTCGGGTTGCTGCAGTTACGATGAAAGGTTAGCGAAAGTCGCGGTAAGTGCATGCCTAGAGCATGATATGCTAGAAGAGGCTTCAAGACTATTCGATGAGGCCATTAGGAGGAGCAATAGACCATTTTTCAAGGGCAGGGAGGTATTTATGCTCTACTTCTTGAAAAAAGGTGAGGTAGATTTGGCTATGGAGCACTTGGCTGCAGTTATTGCCAGAGCAGAAGGTGAAGGGTGGCGTCCTGATGCAGTTATCACGGATGCATTCCTGAAACACTTCGAGGAAACTAAAGACACCGACTCCGCTGAAAAGTTCTACGAGCTTTTGAAGAATGAAGAGGGTGTCAAGGTGATTGCCTCCAAGGTGTTGCTCAAAACTTATATAGCAGCTGGCAGAACGGCTCCAGAGATTCGTGAAATGCTGGAAAGAGATGACATAATAATGGACGACGAGCTCTATAATTTGTGCGAAAAGGTGTGTGCCTCATGACTACTGCGCCGGGAGCATTACTGTGGGCACGGATCAGTTTGACGTATGCAATTAGACAATCTTTGCGCAATTCGAAGTTCACAAGAGCTCTTAGTCGTCGTCGCTGGCATGCATTTGTTTGCTGTATGCATGGGCCCGAAACATTTACTGAGATCTTCTGTTGATTGGGCACCGGGAAGTGTCGGCCTAACGGTCATCGTTGCTCACTCTGTTAGCAGAGAGCACTTTGATGTGAAAGTATATGTCGAAGTGGCCCATAATACAGGCTGTATCAGAACATTTATTTTGAATTAATTTGTAGTGAGCTGTTCTGCAACTGCCATATTTCTTGGAAGTTCCTCGTCCCAAAGCATGGCAAGTCATTCGAACGGGTCTGTTCACTAGAATCATGTAAGCATTCCCAGTAAAAGCAATTTTTGCCTCCAGGTGTACACGAGCCCAATGGATCTCATCCTTTTGGATCGCATGGGTTTCACGTAGGGTTCAATATTCAATGATCGAGATATAGGGCAAAAGTTTGAAAGAAAGAAAAGAGTTACAGTATGATAGACAAAAATATATATATATTCACTTTTTCTAATTATAAAGAGTATTAAAAAACTACATGAAGACACAATCTCAACCAAGCCAAACTATAATATACTTTCATATCAACAAGATGACCAGATACATGATGTTCATTGTGTATTGTGAACATTGAATTATACTAACTGAAGATCAAATGTCAACACGAAAAATTTGTGTGGTAGCGAAGCTGATCAATTCTGTGGAAGGATTAATGACCTCGACTGTCAAACGATATTGCCAACACTAAAACAAGATGATTATTCCATAGATACTTCCATGGGAGAAAACTGGAAACTTTTAGGTCTCAAAATGCGGTAGATGGCGAAAATCGACAGGCACAAAGCGATCACAGACAATAGGAAGGAGAACACGCTTGCCACATCCCAGGAACTTGTCGATGTTGACTTGGTAAGCGTCGATCTGGCTGAAGCAATATCCAAGGACACCCAGTCACAATTAATCGCGAAGTGCCCCGATCCGTGCCATGGAGTCCCATCGACAGGATACCAGAATGCCGCTGATATTTTGCTCGATTCACCAATAGTGAACTGAACATCCTGCAGACATCACAATTCAATAATCATTCAAAACTCTGTTCACTGCATAATTGTCATAATTTGCAAGAGAGGGACTTTCAAATCGGTATATGCATAATACAACCAGGACAGCAGGGCACTAAAAGATTGCATTCTATCTAAAAGTTGGTCTAAACACACTGCTGGAAAAAAAATCCGAAAACGGTTCCATCCATTTCTTATGTACCCATGTATAGACTGAGATTGTTATTGAAGACCATAACACATTGGAGATGACGATCTTCCTACTCTAGCTGGACCAAAGTATCTCATGGTCACAATTTACCCAATTGTAACAGCTAAGACAAAAGGATACGAGAAAGGTAAAATGAGTAAATTACATTACACGTCAAAATTTATCATGGTACATTGCACTGACTTGGTAAACAGGACAAACTATGTTCTAGTCATTCCAAGTCTTGTTTTCTTAAGCAGCTGATTAGAAGTAACGTGCAGTAGAAAAATGCCATCAAATTCACTATGACAATGATGACCTGCTCTTAACCTTAAATAATGCCATGACAACCTAATTTCCCTCATTTGCTTTAACATAACCTGATTCCGCTCATCTGCTTTAACAATGTAGAAATAAGAAAGACCTTCTTTCTGATTTAAAACGTTATAGTAGAACACGGCGCCGCGGCCTATATCCTCTGACTGTATGGCAAAAAGTAAGAAAGCTACCAAACCTGCTGAAGGCGATCCATCGTTCTCAAAGGCCTTGAAAATTCAAAGTAATATGTGCCCTTTCGACCATCTGATCCATATGGACTGTCCTCTTGGACAAAACCTAATATAAGCGTATATCATTTATTATTGATAAATAAATTGAGCAAGAATCAGTCATTCATTAAATGACAAATCAAACAAGCACAGTACATAATTTTATCATCTTGGTGAAAAGCTAGTGAGATGTTGAAATGTTACGGTAGAGTTATAGAGAAATATGGTTATGCCAAAGACTTACGGGCAACTGAAAATGCCTTTACTTACTGGGTGTCAGTTGGGTTCTCCGCTCCAACTACTCAGAACAGGACCAATGTAACTAACTATGGATTGGTCACTAGCTAGAGCACCAAGAACAAAAGCTAAAGGTTTTAATTAATCAGCATTCCATGCAGTGATATGACCATGGGAGGGTAAAGAATGGAATATACAGGAGCTGAGTCACAGAGGACCGGTGCATGAAACTTTATATTCCTATATCCCTTCCGTGTTATATAAGGGAGATTATCACTCAGTCATTTAGTAGGAGCTTTGACATGGGCAACCTATAGTCTAAATATACAGTCACGTTTGCATTCCAAACCCATGAATAAGCAGAAAAGACAGGCAAGCACACAGAATTAAGCATGTCATGCACAGGCATATATGTAAAAAATGTCGAAGTAACTTTATATATTCATGGGATTGCAAGCAGTAAAGTACCAGACTCAACAGACAAGCTGCTGTGCCACCATGCACCTCTCCAGTTGTTCTGCGCACTGGAATCATTTCCTGAAGAGGGCAGACAGACAATTGAAACATTAGTGCTCATCTCTCCATCTGGGGTTTAAACTCTCTCTCACTCTCTCTATCTGGGGGTGGGGGTGCATGGAGGAAGGGGCGGAGTTAAGAAGTATGAACACTTAATGGTATAGCCATGAAACAAGGAGCATTTCAAGCCCAATTTGACATCTCACTCTATAAAACAGCACCAGACACCATCATGACAAACTATAAAATGGAACCAGCCAACAAAATGCCTCAGTTAAGCCAAGGTTCAATGGGTCGAGAAAACACAGTTTCTATCAGGCCATCCCATGCCTAACTGGAAGAACTAAATTCTCTTTCATTTCAGGCAAGCGCAAGGCAGACATGGGAAATTCATCATCCTTATCATCAATTATAGTTTGACAAATTATATCATAAGCAGCTTATCAGAAAAAAATAGTAAATGGCCATCCGGCTGATTCCCTGCAAGAGGCAAGGCACCTATTCGTACATGACAGGAGCACTAATTATGAGGAATCGTGCAGATTATATTCTGTAGTTTTCTTATGATGATCAATTGCCTTTTCAATCAGCAAGCTAGATTACTCTAATCTGTTCGTTGACTAGGATAGAGCACAGATTTTCTCCAGCTAGGAGTAATCAAAGGTCTATATGTTTCCTTGACATCTAGAACAGAGAGTACTGCATCGAAATGTCATAGGTGGCAATATCCTAGCATTGCATGGTGCACAATGCTCTGCTTATGTGATTTCTAATAACTGTCAATTATTGTTGCAATTTAGATTATAAAGCAGGTAGATAGACTTGGGTAAAGTTAATCAGCAATTAAAAGAGAAACAGAGCTGGAACTTAACAAGGGAAATCTCTTATCATGAGAGAGGGTATATGAAGGTACAATGCAGGCACAGTTGAAGTACAAAATCATGACCTGCCACCTCAGTACATGGAAATTGACTTGGGAAGATGCAGATATCAAGTAGAGTTGGAGAAAGCACAATATAGACAAGAAGACCCATCTTTGATTAAACAGTTAAGAGTATAAGCACAGGATCTGCAGATAACAATTTTTCTAAACCCTCTGTCAATATAGCAACTTCAAGGGGATTATCGGAAAAATGTGACAATTGAACTTTAATGTACTTTATGACTTCTGTGCCACATTTGTTTTGCCATCACCTTCTTTTGCACTTTATCCTCATTTTTCCCGTTTATGGTTAGTGTTACCTCCTCTCAGCATAAAAAATTGATAAAGAAACTGTATATCTAAGGAAAAGAATTAAGAATCTCTTAGACCATGAAAATACCTGAAGGGCCAGTTCCATCGAGATATCTGCAGTGTGGGGTCCAAGCATAAAGATCAACCAAATGGCCAAACCTGTTTGCAGGAACTTAAATGTTAGATATGGGAATTTAGCAAGTATCCTCATAGCAAACATCAGTCTAATTCCTGGAAGGTCAAAGAGATGAGTCACCTGTCACCACCGTTTCCTTCGGCATTATCAATAGGATTTCCACCATAGAGTCTTCCCGGTATGGCATTTCCAATTGAAAAGTGCATTATGTCAACTTCATGGCCTTTACATGTCTTGCTGGTGCAAGTATCTGTTCCTTCCTTACACCCGCCCATCTATTAATAACAGATATTATTCTGAGACTAGAAGGAAACGAAAACTTCGATCGACATGCTGTGGACTGACGAAAAAAAGCAAACACACAAGAGAACAAAGCGACAGAAATTTGAGAGCTTACATCGTGATAGGTAGCACTTTGACCAATTTGGAACATGAGAGCAACCGAGGGGCATTTGTTACTGTTGCTGCATAAAGAAAGGAAAAAGAACAAAGAAAAGAACATGATTTTTGCCGTAATTTCATCGCCCTTAAGAAGCGGGGGCTAAAGATGCAACCCAGTTAAGAAATGAATCATATGCATGATACAACTTGCCGGGTAGGACTAACGCAACCGCAACCGGCCGTGACTCGTCTAAATCAAACTCTAGTTACTTAGAACTCTACCGGCAATGACAAGAATGGAGCAAACTTTGAGCCTAATCATGACGATCAAACTAAGGTCTATGCCAGCAGCATATTTCCCTCCCTCAAAACCGTTACAGAGCCTACGTAGGAGACAAAGTGAATCCACCCTCAGTTCCATTCTGAACTCAGTTCATATAAGCAAACTTAACCATCAAATTCAGAACGCGCTAATTCAGTCGAGCAAATCAAATTACATCCACCCGAGTCCGTCGGTTTCGGCTCCATTTCTTAAATGCAAGCTCGAGCACTCGAGAGCTTACCCAGGAGAGTACACATAGTCGCTATCCACTTGCAACAAGAAGAATACGTCGCTGCCGTCGTGAAGAGCCTGCAACAATTCCAATTTCGCCGCACCTGATTATTTCTTGCCGCAGCATGAAAACGCTTCCTACCCGAAAACACGCCTTCTACGTTCTTTAAGCCAAAAACGAAAAAAAAACTTTCCAAAATTCGTATCCGGAAGCGCGCACCTTAACGGTCATCTTCCCGCCACTGTACTCCTTGTCGGCGTCGGGGTCGAGCGCGGGGAGGAGCGCGAACTCGGACCCGTCGAAGGCGTCCCAGTCGCCGGGGCGGCCGTCGACGGCGACGGCCCCGGGCCTGAACTCCGCCTGCAGCCGGATCTCCGCCGAGTCGGACTCGCACCTCCACTCGCCCGGCTCCTCGTGCGAGCCGACCCGCGCGGCGGCGAGCAGCAGCGCGACGCCGAGGAGGAGGAGGCGGAGGAGGGGCGGCGGCGGGAGACGAGGCATTGCGAAGAGGAAGAAGATGATGAGCGGGTGGCGGGCGTGCGACGGCGAGCTCGGACTTACCGAGGAGAAAAGTCAAACGTTTGACTTCGCTCCTGCTCTCTCGGTGGCTCCGCGAAATGGGGAGGCGATGGCAAATTTTTCTTTTTCTGCCATTATCGTTTTTTTTAGCTTTTTATACTTTATTTATGATGTGAGAAATTAGTACGATGTTCTTTTCGGGCGGAAGAGAACTTCAGTACGATGTTTAGTACACGAATGTTCGGATATGAGTACGACGATTGCAATCCCAGGAAAATTAGTACGTGAGCTGCTTTATGCAATCGGATGGGATTAAAAAAATTCGAAGAGATAAATTAGTATAATCAAAATTTGTATTTATTCGGGCATAATCTTCTTTTCTTGGAAAAAGGACGCCGCAAGTGTCATAACTTTCGTACGGATCTCACTTGAGTGCCATAATTTTTTTCCGAATACTTATAACTTTTTTAGAGTATTCACAACAGGTGCTATATGACGTCGAATTTTTTGTACTTGGGTGAACATTTTTTAAAAGTTATGGCACTCAAAGTGAACATTTTTTTGAAAGTCATAACGCTGCAAATTACGTAGATAATTTAAGCAAACACGTTGATAACGACAAAAATTTGTTGAAATAATTTTTAGAAATTTTTTCGAGTGGTCGAAAAGAAAGGAATGGGGCGATGGATGGCGGCCACGGGGGGGGAGGGGGGGGGGGGGGGAAAAGGGCGGCCGGGCGGGAGATGGTGGTTGGTGGACGTGAGGGGAGGTGGGATGGGCGGGAAAATTATGACACGACATCAGTGATATCTTTATCCCGATCAATCTTAATAGCGTGGTATGTTTTATTTTCTCCCGAATCATATTTGAGAAAAGTTACGTGATATGGTTCGAGAAATAGTAATCGTGATTTCGACATAATCAGCTACAAAAATTATGCTTATAAATAGATCACATAAGCTGGCGATTAATACTTTAGGATGTAAAGTGTAAGACATGCGACATAGCCAATTCGAAAAGTTCATAGAAGCAAAAATGTTAAGCATACATGTTGGTAGTGTAAAAGTACGGCCCAAATGTTAAGATTAGATTCGATTTAAGGTATAAGTCGAGAAGAAGGAATAAAAGGCAAGAGTCAAATTACATCGAGTTCAATCTCTATCGGAGTTTTTCCAACCAAAAGAAAAAAACCTCTATCGGAGTTCATCAAGCCTAACCTTGGCTTTTTGGTCTTGATCTGAGATGTATTGAGGTCACTTCGACCAACGTAGGAGTTAGAGCTCCTTGGTTTACCGGAGTTAAGAAGGGAAGTAGTTGCAAAATATACTTAGTTCGTGAGAGAGGAAAAAGTTATTGCAAGACATACGATTACTCGAGGAAGTTATCGAAATCATGGAAGTGAAGATCATGGAAATGTGGAGTAAGAGTTTGAAAAGGGATTTCACGTGAATTCTAATAGTTGCCGAAGGAAATTTTGGGAGTACAGAAGGAAAGAGCGTAAGGAAAATGTTAAATTTTTCTTTGAATATGTTTTCGCTCTTGAAACGAGTTTTCGCGCTTTACTTCTCCAATAGACTCATCCTAATAATTTAGATTGAAGTACAATTTTTTTAATTTTCTTTCCTAATTACCCGTTTATCAGATTAGCCTGGATCAAGTTTTTTGTGTTTTTCTTGGTCTATATCTACGCACGATTATGCGGTATTCCATGGTATCCGATAATGAGTGTATAATCTGGAACTACTAATCCGAGCTTATATTTTATGAATGAGACTTTTACATGGTTAATGTTCCATATTCTTAGTGTGTCTAAATATAAGTTATGGTCAGTGCATTATAACAGCAAATGACTGTTATTAAAGGTAATGATTCAATGCAATTCGTTTAATTAATAATACAGGTGGATACTAGGTAGACCATGAAATTGACCTTGGAACTTGTGGCATGGTGGCTTCTAAGTTTCAATGTATGCATGGTAGGTTCCAGGTTCCCAAAAATGAAAAATCTATTCTAATGAGTAGGTTCCAAGTAAAACCTGTATGGAATATGGAACCGCTCACCTCTATCGAACACTACTCAGGAAGAGCTCAATGAGGAGATCTACACGAGGTACCAATTCTCGTACCGCATTTGTAAATGATGAGATGACATACCCAACACGAGAGCAAATCCTTTAAAAGCTTCAACCTTGCTCAGGAATGCAGGAAGAGTCAATCTACTATATATATATATTTATGAACCTTAACAACGGATTAAAGTTATTAAAAGGAAAATGACACAAATGATCTTTGAACTTTAACCAATGTATAATGTGATTCTTGAACTTTTAATTTTTTTAATGTCATCTTTGAACTTTAGTCCAATGTGCAATATGGTCCCTAAAATTTCAATTTGTTCAATATAATCTATGAACTTTTGGTACATGTTTAGTGCTTATATTATATGAAAATATTCAATGTAGTCCTTGAAGATCAAGGACTACATTGAATATTTTCATATAATTTAGAAACTAAATTGAACATATACCAAAAGTTCAAGGACCATATTAAAGATTACGTTAAAGTTCAGGGACCACATTACACATTAGATCAAAGTTCATGAATTATTTGTGTCATTATCTCGTTATTAAATTTTACTAGAAATAATTAACTATTTTCAAAATAATTTAACAAAGTGTATTAATCATTAATTCTTATTTGAGCCAACACCAACGTCCATTTGACTATTTTGAAATTATCTATCGTTTCAATAATTTAAAGGGCAAAAGCCACAAAAAACCATAAATTATGCACACTATGGCACATTAACCTCCCAAATTTTTAGGTTTGATGGTTTTCCAATCCCGGAACTTCGTGTTTACTCTTGTTTTGGAAAACCCAGTTTCGGATCCTTTGTACCCCTTTGTTTTGTTATTTTTGAGGAGACTTTTATGATCCGAATTTCAGAATACTTCCTTCTTGAAAGTTGTTCCAAAAATCTTGAAGATTTACATAATTTAATTTCAGAATTTTTGGAGTTGATATGAAGTGGTACGATTTTCGGACCGGTAAAATGTTACATATTTTAAGGCTGAAATTCATATCAATTAACACTTTAAAAAAGAATCTGTTCCAATGAACTGTTTTAGTCTGTATTGACTACTAAAAATTTTAAAATTTAGTATTCTCATGAAAAATGTTTTTAAGATCTTTTTATGACATATATTTGAGAATTTTAAACATTTATATATTTTAACAATATTATATTTGACTTGGGTCTTAGTATTTAAATAAGTTAAAACCCAGAAATTTACTAAAATTTATTCATCATTACTCCATTAATGCTAGCCTTATTTTCCACAAGCCTTATGAAGCCATTAAAGTCTGACCATCAATTTGACCAAAAGGAAACACCAGGCGCCCCACAGCGCCATAAAAGAGTCAAAAAAAAAAAAAGAAGAGGTCGATACATAATTCAAAGTTTTTTTGGTGACTTTTTTCCTAATTCAAAATTTTTTTTTTATTACCAGATTCGACAGTTTTACCTTCGCCAATTTACAGAAATGTCCTGCCTCGCGGTTTTTATGTCACAACAAAAAGTCTAGAGTAAATATGTCACCATGGGCACATAAAAAACGTTTCAGAGTAAGTGCGTCACCGTGGACATAATTCAAAGTTTTTTTGGTGACTTTTTTCCTAATTCAAAATTTTTTTATTACCAGATTCAGTTTTACCTTCGCCAATTTACAGAAATGTCTGCCTGCGGAACACTCGACTCGTCCGCGACCACAGCGTCGCGTTCCGCACGGGACCGAGTCGAGCGCGAGCGAGCCACGGCTTCCCGCGACTGCACCTAAACCCATAAAAAGAGGCGAAAGCATTAAACCCTCGGTCGCGCTCTAGATCCAATCAAACATCCGCAGCTCCGCGAAGCTCGAGCTCGAGGGGAAGGAGGATAGAATCCCCAAATGCGCATCGCGCTTCCCGATCGATCCATGCCCGCCTGAGAAAATCGCACCCAAAAATCCCCCGCTCGCTCTCGTCCCCCGATGACGACGTCGTCTCGCGCCGTGCTCTGCCTTCTGGTCGCGATCTCCGCCGCCGCCGCCTCCTCCGCCCTCGCCGACGCCATCCACGGCTGCGGCGGATTCGTCGAGGTAGGGGATTGGGGAGCTTCCCCTGTCGATTCGTATAGGGGCGAGATGAATCGTGTGGATCGGAATAGGGCGACGTCTCGTCCGGCGTCGTGCTAAGTTGAGTTGAACTTTGCTCAGTGTGACTGGGGGTTTGATCCTCTGCTTGTGGTTTGTAGGCGAGTCCGTCTCTGATCAAGTCGAGGAAGCCGAGCGACGGGAAGTTGGATTACTCCGAAATCGCGGTAATGGAACTGCATCGCGTGCTCTTCTTGATTGGTTTCTTTCTGTTCTGCAATGATCCTAGTGATGAAGCAAGGCTTAGAGGTCTTTGTAGTTAGTGGTTTCGTGATGGGGATTGATTAATTTATGTACTTTATAATGTGGCAAGGCCGGACGGTTGGGCTTGAAGCTCACAAGAACTTTCCCTGTTTTTTATACGTATCGAGTCTAAATAAGCTTTCGAATGTATCTCAGTGGTAATCTGATCCTTCTGGTGTTTGCTGCGCTGCTATGGTAATTTTGGGCTAGGTGGTTGAGCTCAGTGGAATGCTCTTTTCCTCCCATGCTTCCTCCGCAAGATGAGCTGGGGATGTTCCTGACTAGGTTGCAATTGGAGATGAATTGAGCTACTTCGAGCTTGAGTTCAAGTCGTTGTCTTAGCCTTACTGCAGCTCATATGAGAAATGACTTTGGCGAATTAAGTTGAGTTGAGTAGAGCTCGAGTATATTGAGTACTTGATTGACTCAAGCTCCAGCTTGAAACTTATTGAGCGTTGACTTTTTCACTTGAGTTTGAGTGGTGAACTATGTGGGCTCGACATTGCTCTCTCATGCTCCATTCTTCGATTAGTTTTGTAGTAATCTCATATTTTAGACCAAACGTCAGTGTGCGAAATCTCATGTATCCATCATCCAGTTTGTTTGACATCCCATCTCCTTGGTAGCATGAGATGTCACTTATCCTGGAAAAAAGTAGTGCATTAGCCTGGATATTCCTTTGGTGCTAGACTAGAATTCGAAAAACAAACTTTTTGCGTGACCAACTTTTGTAGGGTCTTGATGTGGATGGTTGATGTTCTGGTGAGTGACCTTGACAAGGAAGAATTCCACTTTAAGACCAATCAAAATAGTTCATACATCGGCTTCTCTGCATCATCTTGCAGAGATGTATGGTGTTATGGTTGTCGCATGTACGCCTACAAGATGACTCTGTCGTTTTGTGCCATGTTAAGTTTTAGGCATTATTTATGTCAATATTTATGCTCAAAAGTCTTGTCATACCAAATCACAGGTTGAACTTCGCACTGTAGATGGATTGGTAAAAGACAGAACTCAATGTGCTCCCAATGGTTATTACTTCATTCCGGTTTATGACAAGGTATATTTCTTTCTTTTGCTTTTTCTTTTTTCTGAAGTTGTTGCCCTCCGATGATGATTATATCATTTGTAGTCGTGCTTTGGAAATTTTTTATGCTTTCCTTTTGTTTTTGGCTCATTAACTTTGACACATTTATTTAAAGCTTATGACATGCTTGGTTTCATTATCAATTTCATTCAAATTGTAGCACAAAGGGAGGCATGCAAAACTGAAAGTGCCAGAAAGAACGAGTTAAGGTGGGAAAAAAATGAGAGAACACTTAAACTTATAGGAATTCGATGTCATGATTTTGAAAAATCCTTCAGTTTCTTAATAAACTGAGGTTTTGTTTTGATCTTCTCTCATTTCTTTCGAGCAAATTAGGCATTGGCTGTAAAGATTTTTGTCTATGTCTAATAACTTGCATTGCCCATGGTGAAGCATCCTCTGATTCACACACCCAAAAAGTAGAGCTGAAAACGAGGAGTTGATCGAAACTCTCCCTGAAGTAGCAGATTGGTCAATTAATTCCACTGCCTTCATTTGCTTGAAAAAAAAGCCACTGCTTCATATTCCCGCGCCACCAGTTCCCAAATTTGCTCTCTGGAAAATCAAATTGGAGTCAACTGTCAGAACTCTATGGCAAGTTAGGTGGAAATTGAATTTTTTGAAAGGTTCCATACGAGTGAATCAGACACGTGAACCTTTCTTTTACTTGAATAACTTACTATGGAACAAAACGAGGCTCTATAATGTCTAAACATTGGCATCCTTGACAAAGAATTAATTCTACTGTAAATTCTTTGAGCATGGTACTTTTTCCCTGCATTCTTGTCATCTAAGCTAAGGATACTTGCAGGGTTCTTTTGAACTCAGAGTTAGTGGACCTGAAGGATGGTCATGGCTTCCAGATAAGGTCAGTTAATTTCGCTGGTATTTAAGTAGAGTTTCTCTGTTGTTTTTCTAGTTTCTTTCCTCTGCTCGTGCAAAATATTCTGCTTTCTGACAATTATGCATGTTCTGAAATATGTTTTCCCTTACTTTTTTTCTTTATGCTGAAGGTCCCTGTTGTGATAGACGCTGCCGGTTGCAACAACAACAATGATATTAATTTCCAGTTCACCGGGTTTGTCTGATCTAATCTTTTAATTTCTTCATTTTGTGTGTAAAGTTTTCGTCATCAAGCTGTCTGCTCATGATTGTTGCACATTGGTGCAATTCTCCATATGATAGGTTCACAGTCTCAGGAAGGGTTGTTGGAGCTGTTGGTGGGGAGAGCTGTTCTCGTAAGAATGAAGGTCCTTCAAATGTAAATGTTAACCTTCTATCTTCTACTGGCGATATTGTCTCTTCTGTTTCTACGTCATCTGAGGGAAGCTACAAGTTCATAAACATCACTCCAGGTATAGACAATTTCATTTACTAGTTAAAGGATTCTTGTAGTTTTTAACTGGTATTTTATGGGATAATATGTTTGTTTACAACTATTGCTAACATCTTTAACTCCTGTTCCAATAGCTTAAACAATGAACTTCTGTACTGCATAATATGTATGTGTTTAACATGATACACTACAATATTTCAGTTGCCAAGCAAAACTACTATGTCAGATGTTTGCCGCATTATGTGCTGTCAATGCCATACTCATTGTGAATTTCTTGAATTGTGTTTCTTGGAAGACAGGGAGATACAGTTTACATGCTTCTCATCCAGATTTGAATGTTGAAGTCAGAGGCTCAACTGAGGTTGGATACTTTTGGATTTGATGACTTTGTCATTTCTGTTCAATTTTTTTCTCTGTGTGTACTTTACAAGGATCTATACTCGTCCAAACCAAAATATTGCAATTGAAGGAAACTCCAAAGCAATAATCAGTTTTAGAAACCAATCATTATTGTGCTTCTGATGACCGTGTATACCTTGCTGCTTGTCCATATCTCTTTTACTCTACTGACCATTGACTTGAATTGTTTCCATCTGCAGATAGAACTGGGATTTGGGAATGGCATTGCCAATGACATTTTTTTTGTCTCAGGGTATGACATCCGTGGATCTGTTGTTGCCCAGGTAAATTTAGGCATGCATTAGGGTTGCATGAAATTGCATCCTCCACATTTTGTTTGAAACTTTCTCTGACAGCTGAATCATAAATCAGAAATCTCTCATGGAGAAAAAACATGAACTATGAAAGCTTTTACTGAACTCCTTAGATTATTCGTGTGGTAAAGTCTTACCTTTCTCACTATTTGAAAGCACTTCTTGTTGATCTATAACTGAACTGTCCATTTGTCCTTTTCTTTTCCTTTTTAAAGTTGGTGAATGTATTTTTGTGGCACAGAGGATTCCAAATATTGTTTATTCAAAAGAAATTTATAGAATAGCTCCAGTTAATATTTACTGCAAGACTTATGCCAACCCTATTTTTTCATGTATTTGATGACACAGCCCTATTCATTATTTTACTTACTTCTTATACCTTGTGCACATGCTATTTTCTCTTTCCATGGGCTACATTAATATGTATTTACAGTTGGCCTCACCATGTTAAGGTGTTATTGTTTTGCTAGTGGTTCCGATCTTACAATAAGAGATAACTTTTTAATGTTTTGGCAGGGTAATCCAATATTGGGAGTTCACATTTACCTATTCTCGGATGATGTTGTTGAGGTGGACTGTCCGCAAGTTGATGATCATGTGATTCTGCCTGTACAGAGAAAAGCTCTCTGTCATACCGTATCTGATGCTGATGGAAAATTCATGTTTAAATCCATCCCCTGTGGTACTGCTTTTGTCCTTTCATGTGACATATCTCACTCTTGGTCTCTCCTCCCTGTCCCATCGTTGTCTTCTATGCTTATTCAGCGTCATGGGCCTGCAAATGTCTAAATTTTGGAATATGGTATGGGGTTAAACGCATCCTGAAAATTATGCAGACATATCAGTAATTGAAATCGACTTTACCTACATAGACTAAGTTCTGCTTCTGTATAATGGAACTTTTGAAAAGATGCAAGAGTAATGAGATCTATGTTCCCTCCATGCTTTTCTTCTATTTTCAGTTCTGTACCGATTTCCGATTTTTGCCCCATAAAGTATTGGAACATGTTCCCTTGATCATGTCTCTCTGATGTTTCCTTTTGTGGTTAGTGAGATCCTCATGGTCTGACAATTGCAATTTGTCTCTTTCTTCAGAGCAGTTGTCAATGTATATTAAGCATTTAAACATTGTTAAGGCTTTCAAGCTGGAAAAATACATTGAAATAGGATTTTATATTTTTGATTTGCCTTAGTTTCAGAGCACCATTCAGAGTTTTGAGTTTTGACTGACTAAATATTGAGGCCTCTAGGAGCACGCGCCACGCTTTACTTCCTCCATCAATGTTTTGGGCTGGGCATTAGTCTTAGATACTTGGAGATGCTCGAGCCTTTGGAAATCAAATTGATGCATGTCAATGATGTTCATGTTTGGTCAGACTTGCTTAGCTTTATGAAAAACCTTGCAGGAACTTATGAGCTCAGACCTTACTACAAGGGTGAAAATACTGTATTTGATGTTTCACCTCCAGTCTTATCCATTTCCGTTGAGCATCAGCATGTTATGATTCCCCAAAAGTTTCAGGTAACAGTTATGCAAAAAGTTTCAGGCAAGATAAGCCTCTTCATTTTATCTGTTACCATGTGGACTAGGATTTTGGGGTCTACTGTTACAAATAAAGATATCAAGCTCCTTATAAATTGATTTGATTTCACTTAATGCACGAGCATGTCATCTCATATGCGCGCGTGCGCGAGTATTCATTACAGTGCTCTCCTTACCCTGACAAATGGTCATGAAAACTTGAGATGCTTGATTAGCCAATGTTTGATACTTTATTATCTGCCAATTACTCACTTATTGTAAGTATCAGGTATAAGAATTCTAGATGTGTCACGAACAGATTCAGTCTCCCTCTTTTCCTTTTTGTTGTCAGAGGATCCTGATAATAATCTTGCATAGCTTATTCTATGATGGGATGTGTGCATTCTAAGTTTGCCTTTTTTTCCCGGAAATTGTTGCCAATGCTTTAGGGTATTCTAAATGCCATCTTTATATTCTCTTAATCAATATCTTTTTCCTTTGATATGCTGACAACTTGTAATAGGTCCCATGAGAGTAAAGTGTAGATTCTTCATATAGTCTTTAGAACTGATTGATGTGTGTCTATCAAATAATTCTCTATAATTAAAGATCTTGGCAATCATCAAGCTTCTGATTCAGTTGCTAGATCATATGTAGGCTTTGTCTAGTCTTTTCCAATGCCTAGTTGTAGCACTAGCGGCTTATTGGTATGGATCGGTTATTTTCGCCTTCAAAATGACTCTTCCGTCGCACTTTTCAAGTTTCTACAAGGCAGGAGTATGCTTTCGTTCTTTTGTGCATGTATTGCATGACAACATGTACATTTGTGACATAACATGGTGCACACAGAGTAAAATTCTGCTTGTGGAATGATTTTTTAATGAATAATAGTGACCTATGTATTGTCGCTCAGGTTCTGATATTAGATAATACATACTATCATAATTCACTACTCTTAAATTAGGTCACTGGATTTTCTATTGGCGGTCGAGTTGTTGATGGGAATGACGTTGGAGTCGAGGGCGTTAAGATTGCAGTTGATGGTCATGAAAGGTCTATCACCGACAAGCAAGGACGGTACAAGCTTGACCAGGTATTGTTTCCTTAGTGGGCTTTTCCTGACATGTGTGGTTCTACTTAGTTAAGATTTACCCTAAGCAAGACTCCACCTGCTCTTTACATTGTATTTTCTCATATATTTGATTACACCAGCTTCCAAAATGTATTAGAAGGCATATCCAGGGTCGAATTTGTAAGATAATTTTCTACATATCCAAGTGGGAACTCATAAGCGAATGCTTGTTAGAATGTACTATATTGCTTAGCAATAACTGATCTTCTAGTCTTTCAGAATCTGTAGAGACTAAAGGTCTACTCTCACAAGTATACGCATATGGATCTGTTCAATGAGTAAAAGAAAAAGAGTTTGAAATAAGTGGTCATATGGTTCGCTTTCATCACCTGCAGACTTCCCAAACCAGCAGCTTCTATTAATATTGCAATGTGATAATTTGTACTAGGTACAAGTTACTAGACTTTGTCTGTGAGTAGCTGGCCTGAAACAGAGTGCATGCTATACTTAATGTCAAGTATCTGTGCTTGAAGTCCTCCTGAAGCTTTCGCTGTGTTTTTATTTGTTGATTCTTAAAATGAAAACTTTCTTTCCTCAAGAAACAGAACTAAGATTTTCCCTATGGCAGTAAGTTCCTGTAGATCTATTTACTGTAGCTTGAACACAAGCTTGGTTAGTTCTTTCTTTCAATGTGTCAGTTTGTTCTCCTGTTCTGCATTAGGATTCATTAATCATGACTCCCATCATGTTCTTTACTATAAAATAAGCTTGTGTAATTGATGTGATGTGTGCATGGGTTATCTTTTATATATATATCTATATATATATATATATATATAAATATATCTATCCGGTTTAAAGCTTGCGTAAATTATGTAATTTCATTTGCGTCCTCCTGATGTCTCCAAATTTAGAACCTTTATGGCAGAATATTAGGAGTATGTTAGGGTAGGGTAGTTCGAATTGATGAAATATTATTTAATCTTGATTTTTTGTCTGTAAATGATTGCAGGTGACATCTAATCGTTATACAATAGAAGCTGTAAAGGAGCATTACAAGTTCAAAACATTGAAGGATTATTTGGTATGTGATATCATTGAACTTGTGAATGCATTTCGACTGATAATGTTGTTTTTGGTCTTTATACTGCTCGCAATATAATATAGGTACCAACTAATAGTCGTATTATATTTGCTAATTGTCGTTTGAGGCTGGCGTTTTTTCCTGACTGACCGCTTCTCTTTTCTTTCAATGTCCATTCAGGTGCTGCCTAACATGGCTTCAGTTGCAGATATCGAAGCAATTTCTTATGATGTGTGTGGTGTGGTTCGTATGGTCCATTCTACCCATAAAGCAAAGGTATTAGATACGATTTATTCTTTGTTTAGAATGATTCTATCCTGGATGATAATAGGATTATAGTTTCATTCACCAGGTAGCTTTGACTCATGGTCCTGAGAACGTGAAACCTCAAATGAAGCAGACAGATGGAAGCGGAAGTTTCTGCTTTGAGGTATATTCATTTGTTCTTTGCATGTTACTGTATGATAGAATTTTTGTATTTGGAATAGCACATGAATTGGACGAAAAAGCTGTCAAGTCAGGGCCTGTTTAATTCAAAGTTTTTTTTAGTAATTTGGGATATTTTTTCCAACAAGTATGTTTCGTTTATGGAATTTATAGTCTCTCTCTCTCTCTCTCTCTGTGCTTTTCGTTTAGCGGTTCTCGAAAACACATTTTAGATACTAAAACCTCATGGCCTAATGAAATTGATTCATTGTTTGAATTCATGGCTCCGGAAATTTGCTGCAGGATCAACCAGAGTTTTTAGAAACTAAAACCTCATGGCCTAATGAAATTGATTCGTTGTTTGAATTCATGGCTCCGGAAATTTGTTGCAGGACCAACCAGAGTTGGGTTGCTGTTTTGTATATTTTGCCAATGTGACTTAGTATTTCGTTGGCTTGGTTTCAGATGACAATAAGCCTAAGAGTTATTATTTCTGAGCCTGATGCTGTAGAGTTATGTAGATGAGCAGTAGAAATACTGAAAAAGTTTGTGCAAATCAGAACTGATACACTGGTAGAATGTAGAACTATTTAAATAAAGAGGATGTCCAAGTTCGATCTATTCTCAATCGGCCTCATATGTAAATGTACTGATTTTGCATTGGTATCTACACCTCTGTTGATCTAATGGAGAAGTAGATGATAGCTAAGTTAGACTTTGGTCTTTGCTTTTTGTGTTTTTTTCTGTTCATAATCTCTCGTATCCGTTGATCCAAGATCACTTATCCTCGCCTCTATCAGCTACATCTTTCTCTTCTCCAATGTCATTTAGGTTCCGCCCGGTGAATATCGCCTCTCTGCTCTGGCTGCTACTCCAGAGACTGCTTCTGGACTTCTTTTTGTGCCACCTTATACTGATGTTTCTGTTAAAAGTCCAATGTTAAATGTTGAATTTTCTCAGGTACTGTTTCTTATTACCGAACTTGCTTTTTCAATTAATTTTATCTTTTTTCTTGTGTCTTTGCTGAGACTCTTTGAATTCTATAATTTTATTTAAAGGATTTGGAATCAGTAATTGACTCCATTGAATTAGGAGTTGTTTGAATTGTGAGTTGATAAGGTCTTTTGCCATCTTTCCTTTTTCCTTTTTCCTTTTTTCCACCTAATGGTAAAGCTTGCAGAAATTGCATCATGTTTCTCACTTGGAGTCTCTTGATAATGCCTGAAAATGTGCATTTTGTAAGGTTGTCTTATTTGAACCATGCTGTCAATGTAGAAATATATGGATCTCTATTTGTTATTTTGGATTTTGGAACCTAACCCTTTTTTCCCCTTTTAATTCTTGACCTAAGGCATTAGTAAACCTATACGGTCATGTTGAATGCAAAGAGAAATGTGGCCCATCTGTTTCAATTACTCTTACGAGAATGGCTGGTAAACGTGATGAAGAGAAGAAGACAGTTAGTTTGACTGACGATAACAGTGAATTCCTCTTTGCAAATGTTTTCCCTGGGAAGTACAAGCTTGAGGTAAAGTGCCTAGTCCTTAATCTCCTTCCATAGGTAGTTATCAATCTCCTAGTTCGCTTTTTTATAGCTATAGTCATGTTTTGATGCAAGCACATCGGATGACTAGTTTCTCTGGGGTTGCTATAGCGAATACTGGGAGTTAAGAAATACCATCTGAATTTCACTCCATTTGTTTTATTTTTCATTCAGGTGAGGCATGATTCGCTAAAATCGAAGGCTGGAGAAGATAATTGGTGCTGGGAGCACAGCTTCATTTATCTTGACATTGGTTCTGAGGATGTAAAGGGAATTGTATTTGTTCAAAAAGGTTATTGGGTCAATGTCGTATCCACCCATGATGTGAATGCTGTTATGACTCAACCAGATGGTTCATCACTAAAGTTGAAAATAAAGGTCATTTGCTGGAAACCGAAGTTTAGATTTGAATAATGTTTAAGTAATGCCACATGTCTAAGTGAATTCATTTTTCATGTTGGGAAACTGCAGGAAGGTTCCCAACGTATATGCGTGAGATTTCCTGGCGTCCATGAACTACACTTTGAGGACTCATGTATATTCTTTGGAAGTTCTTCTGTGAAGATTGATACATCAGATCCTTCAGTATGATACTTAAACAACTTTCTCTCATCTTTGTTGAAAGAGCAATTGATTTCCAGTACCTACTTTCACTATTTGATTGCATGTTTATTTTGCAGCCTATTTATCTAAAAGGAGAGAAATATCTTCTCAAGGGACTTATTAATGTTGATTCAAGCTTGCTTCAATTACCAGAAGACATCACTGTGGATGTGATAAGTGGTGAGGGTAATGCTTTTGAGGTTACTAGGGGAAGTCTTATATCTGATGGAGATGAACAGACAAAGACTGCTGCATACCAGTATTCTGTGTGGGGGAACATCGGAGATAAATTAACCTTCATTCCTCGAGACTCCAGGTACATATGCTTAATGGCTTTTGTGTTGTTTGCACCACTATCATTATTCTTATTTGTTTAAAAGCAGTATTTTAAATAGTGGTGGCGGCGGGAATCAAATTCAGACCAAGCGCTATTGCGGCAATAGTGCACATTGCGGCCACTAGTGTGGCGAAAGCGCGAATCTGGTCTGTCATCTGTGTGTTTTGGTCTGTCTGTGTCTGCTGGTTTGGAAGAAGAAGAAGTTGACGACACTTGGGTTGAGGGGGTAGTGCAACCTCTTGAGCCGCGTGCTTGATGTCTCCTGTCTTTATTTTATTGGTTTCTCTATTTTTCTGTCTCCTTTCTATCATGGCAAAACTATTAAGTATAGTACTAAGTGGACAGATGAATTGAAAGACATTGCCCCAAAGCAGATAAAAAGAGGGTCCAAATAGTAATCTATATTTCTTCTTCCCAACTGTTAAATCCATTGGTAGGATCATATAATTTAGGTATTTATGCCCTTAGATGCCCGAAAAAGCACTCTAATGCTATGATAATAACACAAATGTACATTAATTCCAGACACAGAGGTCGATTTATGAATTTCATGTATGTTGAGTGAATATTTTGAAAACTTACGCCTCTTAGAACCGCTATCCGCAATTTGGTGGCCATTATGCCTGCATCGGCGACTATTGCAGTGAAACTGCGGACCGCAATTTAAAGCCTTGTTTAAAAGTGATCATCCTTTTCTCCTTTATCATGTAAATTGGCCCTTTATCTTTTTTCTCGAATAACATTCTTTTCACTTTTTTTGCAGTCTAATGTTGTATTAAAAAAGTTTTACATTTTCCAAATGGTTGATTGTGCTCTTTCTTCTCTCTGGAAATATTGATGCTCCGTGCCATTCCTCTACTATCTGCAACTGTAGTTTACATTAAATCGAGTGTTTGCAAAATGCATTCTTCTTTGATTCCAATAAGTTTCTGGATATGGGCTGTGCTTACTCTGTTTCCTGAATGAAATTATGATTGTCTGGTTGAGTTTGTCTGTGATTTCTAAAGTGTGAAATACAATACCAGGAATTTTCCAAAATTGATATAGAGATACTGGGAGGGGATTTCAGTTGTCACTAAACATAAAAAGAGGTTAAAATTGATTACAATCTATAAATTTGTTTAAATCCAGATTCTGGAACATGTGCATGCTTGTCGCCGCACCCACGCAGGACTAGAGATTTTCTTTACAAAATGATCATGTGAAGACCAAAATCAATCTGAGCTAGAGAGATATTAAGAAAAGAAATAGATGTGAGCATTGCATTATTTCTGTTTCTATATTAGTAGTGGTAAGTTCATTTTTGTCAAACTAGCTGATACATATCGGTGAGCTTTTGGTGGGAAGCTTTCTAGAACTTGTCATACTAATGATTTTTGTCCTGTATTTCATCCTTCCAATCAAACTTTCATCATATCCGCCTGAGTAGCTACAGCTTGCAGCTCTCCTCACTCTTTTTTGGCATAGTGTTTTGTTAATGAAATGCCTACGTGGCGATGGCCAGAATGCTTGTTTCCCCTGCTATTGTTGCTAACGTTCCTTGAGGCATTGATTGTTTATTCTTCAACGATAATGTATTGCAGGGATGAAGGCAAAAAGAAGATCTTGTTCTATCCAAGGCAGCATCAGGTAATCATTAATGGGCTCTCTTTCATTTCAACTCCTCTCTATGAGCTCTCTAATTATATCCGATAAAACATTACCTGTACTACTTAAATTTTCTCTTGAAAGCTAAGTGACTGATTTCCCTACTTGCTTGATAGATTTTGGTAACAAATGACGGCTGTCAATCCTCAATTGCTCCATTCTCTGGTCGACTTGGGTTATACATTGAAGGATCAGTCTCGCCCCCTATTTCTGGTGTTGATGTTAAGGTTATAGCTGCAGGAGACAGCGAGAATGCTCCACTAAGGAAAGGTGAAGCAGCCCTTAGAACTACCACAGGCTCAGATGGTTCGTTTGTTGGAGGACCTCTATATGATGATATTACTTACAATATTGAGGTTTCAAAGGTATGCCTCCCTCGTATTCTTCATTTTTCCTTGGCACGTGTAAAACTCATTTAATTTACCTGAACATATTTCTGAATCTCATTTGTGTTTGGCCCAAAAAAACTGATTTGTTGATATGGCATTTGTGCTTTTATTTAATTTTCTGTTCCCTAATAAAGGAGTGATGTGACATGAGTTTTGATACTCTCACATCTCACATAATAAAATAAGAACTTTGAGTATGGTTGCACAGAAATCACATGAAAGAGGCATTGTCTTATGCTTTGCTTGGAAGCATGCACTCTCCGGAGGCCTCCGTGTCGGTGTCCGACATGAGTCCAACACGCTCCAACCCGTTCCGACACGTGGTCAACACTCCCGACACACCTCCGACATGTAAGTCGGAGCATCTCGACACGCACGGGGTCAATTTTAAACATTTTCAATAAATTAGGGGTCAAAATGTAAATCTATGAAAAAAAAAACAGAGAGAAAAGGGAGAAAGAAGAAATCCTAGTCTTCAACGTGTGGATTTGAATCAAATTAAACGTTTTCATTCTAGGCTCTTTTTTTATTATTATTTATTTGTGTATTTGAATCAAATTAATTTGATTGATATAATCATAAAAATGATAATTTATCATGTATATATAAATATATACATTTAATATACGTGTCGGAATTCTCTATTTTTTGAGAAATGACGTGTCAGTGTGTCGTGTCATGTTGTGTCACGTGTCGGTGTCGGTGTCGGTGCTACTTAGATGCTTTGTTTGGGAGATGGAGACAGGAGAGGAATATGTTACAATTGAGAGCACTTCCAGAGTGAGCATCCAGCCACTTCATGAGGGTTCATTTTATCCTAATTTCTTTCTTCTTGTCTTTCTAAAGATGCAGTAGTCAATCAACACAAACAGTCAATTTAGGCTATCAATTCAACATATTGGCCATTAATTTTTTTTCTTGTTTTATCCCTTGCTGCATTTCCTTCCTAGTACTAGAAAGGGTAAGGAGACTCTGGGTGCTTTTCTTGCTCTTTGCTTAGTTTTGTGTCTTGATCTGTGAGAAAATATATATCAGTTTTGGTTGACACTATTGGTTCCTATTTTGGCCAATGGTAGTTACATAGCTGAATTCTTTATGTTGGCCCTAAATTCATTTTCTCATGCAGCCTGGTTATCATCTAAAGAGAGTTGGGCCTTATTCATTTTCCTGTCAAAAGCTTGGTCAAATATTTGTTCATGTCCATTCCAAAGATGATGCTAAAGAGCCCATCCCTTCGGTGCTACTATCGTTGAGCGGTGATGATGGTTACAGAAACAACTCGGTATCTGGGGCTGGAGGAACATTCCTCTTTGATAACTTATTCCCTGGGAGTTTCTATTTGCGTCCTCTTCTTAAGGTATCGAAATGTGGAAATTTGATTTATGTTTTCTTTTCTAACTTTGTCTGCTTTCTAGTACCGTCTATCTACCTTGTTTGAAGCATGACGAAATTCATATATGTTATTATCATGGGATGCTTGATCACGAATCGTTGAAATCTGAAGTGAAGCATGTGGCTTTTCAAGCCTTTTAGATGTATTTTATCTGTGGAGATGTTTCTCTGCAGCAACCAGAGTTGGAGTGTCATTGATTCCTCTTAACTTATTTCACCCCAGCCACCATGCCCGTCCACTAGGCTGCACACTCATTCACAGTGCAAGATTTTGTTTTAATGTTGGATGTAGCTAAGTTTAATTTTCACCCCTCAACTAAGAGATTAATTGTGCGATTTCTTGCAGGAGTATGCCTTCTCACCTGCAGTACAGGCAATAGAACTTGGTTCTGGGGAGTCTAGTGAAATTGTGTTTCAGGCAACCCGAGTTGCTTACAGGTTCATATTTCCTCCATTAATGCTCAGTTATATTTATAGCTTACATGTATTGGTAAAAGCTGATTCAATGTATTGATGCATGTTTTTTTGTGTTAAACTCACTGCAGAGTTAGCACGGTGATGAAAATTTAGAGTCCCATGTAGCTTAATGTTTTTATGAGATTTGTTTTACTTTGACGATTTTGTGTTCTCCTTAGATGACTTTTCTTTGCCTCCCCTTTTGTCCCCCGACTACATATTTTTGGTCCTATTATATTCACACTTGCTCTAGCTTTAGATTTGGAAGTAATAAGGCAATAATTGTTTATTTCTGGATCTTTTCCCTAAAGCTTGAACAGTTGTCCACTTGTCCTACTAGAAACCTAATTGGATCCAGAATTTTGGACTATCCCCTTCATGATGTGATTGTTAACTGCTTAGTTACTAATGAAAAAATGCAGTTCGTCACAGGATTTACTAAAAATGTCTTCTAATAATACATCATTCAAGTTGTATATTCCATATATTGCAAAATGTAGCACTCGTGTTTGACGACGGTCTGTTGTTTGCATTGTCATTCTGTTAATTAATTAAGCAGAGAAGGGAATTGAAAAATAGAACTGTCAAGTCCTTGAGACGCTGCTATGGGAGCATTTTTGTCGCAAAGATTTTGGTTAGTCGAGACATGTCATTGAGATTTCTTAAACTTCTGTACAGTGCTACAGGCGTTGTCACTCTTTTATCCGGCCAGCCAAAAGAAGGCGTTTCTGTTGAAGCTCGTTCTGATTCAGGATTCTATGAGCAGTCATTGACAGATTCGTCTGGAACTTACCGTTTGAGAGGACTTCTTCCTGGCACAACATACACGATCAGAGTAGCAAGGAAGGATGGCCTAGGAAGTTCTATGATTGAGCGAGCATCTCCAGATTCTGTTACTGTTCAGGTATTTCCATTATTAATGCTTATTATTGAGGATGTGTGCTTTGTACTTAATGTTTTTCTTCTTATTCTTGTTTAACTGAATTTGATTTCACGTCCAAGTCCTGAGATAGCGTGTTTCTTGTTATGCCTACCTGTGTCCCCAGTAGGATCTTGTTCACTCGTGAATCTCGAGGCACTTCTTTTTTGGGTTTCCAACAAAACAATCTGCTACACTATTATTTGGCAAACATGTCTTGATGTTAAGAGTAAAAAGTTAGATGTACTTTACCGGAATGTCATTGCAGGCTCTGATTTGTCGATCTTGCTCGATATGTGCAGGTCCAAACTGAGGATATTAAAGGAATGGATTTCGTGGTCTTTGAACAGCCGGAAAAAACCATTTTGAGTTGCCATATTGAAGGACAAAAATTGTGGGAATCGCACTCAAATCTCCTGGTCGAGATAAGATCGGCCGTTGACCCATCTAAGATTGAATCAGTCTTCCCACTCCCTCTCTCCAACTTCTTCCAGGTGAAGGATTTGCCTAAGAGCAAACACCTCATTCAGATCCGATCTGAAGTTGCTACAAACGCGTACAAGTTTGAGTCCGACGTTATTGAGGTTGACCTACAAAAGATGTCTCAGATCCACGTCGGTCCTCTCAGATACAGAGTTATTGAGAATTACCACAAACAGGTTGGTGCGACTTCCCCGTCACTCTTCTCGATATCCGCAAGGAAAATAAGAAATAAATGAAAGCAAAATGAAAGGAGATAATGTTTTCATAAGTCACGGTGGTGCAAAACTCATAGAAACAGTGCAGACCTTTCTCTGAAGTGCTGTCTAAATTATTTCACTGGATGGCTTTTTTCCCTGGTAATGATTCTTTCCGTGCATGTGGCTACTCCATGTCTAAATCGCTTTCATGCTTTGCAGGATTTAACTCCTGCACCTGTATATCCTCTAATTGCCGGAGTCTCCGTGATAGCTTTGTTCGCCAGCATGCCGAGGTAATTCAAAACTCGAATAGCATAGCGGATATATGCTTTTACCTATCTCCATTTGTTACACATTAATATTTGTTGTCAATAGACCTAATCTTCTTACGCTGCGTATGTTCAAATGTGAAGGTTGAAGGACTTATATGAAACCACAGTCGGAGCATCGGCACCTGGATTTAACGGAGCTGCTAAAAAGGAAGTGAGAAAACCAGTAGTTAGAAGGAAGACATACTGAGGACCCGCTTTTTGTCCGTCCCACTAGATTCCATCTTCTGATTACATTCTAGTTCTGACGGTCCATGAGGTAGCAGCATTAGAAGCACCGTAGTTGACTCGGTCAGTTTTAAAGCTCCTTTGTGAGAGAGCACATGTCCGAGAGCGAAGTCAAACGGACAATTGGCGGGACGTGCTTCGAGTTTGTACTTTGTTCACAATCCTCAGTTTCATTGTGCCACTCTCTCCATGGGAGTCGTGCAATCGGACCTCACAACGGAAGTTGAAGATCGACATTGATCTTAGTCCTCTTAGCCTTTTTTCGTTAACTGATGTTAGTAGTTATGTTGAGTCCTCGAGCGAGTTTTACAGCGATCGAATCGTCTTCTTTCCTAGTTTTTCAAGTCTCAAGAAATTCGAAATTTTGGTATACGAATTTTACTTTCTTCTCTACGAATTTTGAGTTGCTGTCTCTCTTTCAGTTTTGCTCATACTATGGTCATTCTTGTTTTTTCTTATTACTTTGCCTGGGCGTGCATAGTGAGCAAAGCTGTTCTTATCCACGTGTCGAATCCGGATTGGGATGCTCTCGTGAAGGAGGTCCCTTGAGTCTTGCATGACGTGGCGGGTCTCCATTGGCGGGAGGAAGAACAATTGAATACTCTGATGTATGCAGGAATATAAATGAAGAATATTCCCATGCAATCCTTCTTCCCATAGATAGATACGCTCAATCTGCGAAAAGCTAGTCAACGAATCTGGTCTATCGGCAGTAATCCAGTTCTGTCTGGCCAAGGGGTAATCCTGAAGTTCGATAATTTACCACTATTTTTACTTCCCACTCTTTTCAAAGTTCCTAGAAAATGTAAAGATTGTATAAAATCTCACGCGTCAATATTTTACGGATATTTTGTGCTGTATAATAGGATCTCTGTTAGTAGTATATATCGCCATTTTCCTTAAAAGTAAGTCGGTACTAAGATGGTATCGCAAAATGTTGTTATTATGATTTTACGTCAATTGTATTATAAACAAGAAAAACTTGCATGTTATATAAGAGACTACTCGATTTACAAGATTTTTATAATAATAAAGAGAAACTTATTTAATGACTAAATTGCATCACTAAATCGTGCTATTCAATGAGAAGGCGCAAGAATTTTATGTTTATTTAGGTGAATATAAAATACCGTAATCATACTTCCGGCATGTTACATCATTAATTGACTTAAGGAAGATTTGAAATATGTTCATAATTGAAGTGGAAGATTGTGATTCAATGGGTCCATTGGACCCCTAGATCTAGGCAAGAAATTTTCGAATAGATACGATTTCATTCATCTATACTATTATATAAACAAAGAGAATCTCCAACTTTTAATGTATCTCAACCGTTTCCCCCCAAATACTCTTAATTATTTATTTTACGAACATCATGTCTATTGACAAATGCGTAAATTCATAGTTTTTATTTTTTATTTTCGTGTGCAATTTCTAATTTTATTTTGTCTCTTGTGTATTTCAATATTAAAATTTGGATACGATTTCATTCATCTATACTATTATATAAACAAAGAGAATCTCCAACTTTTAATGTATCTCAACCGTTTCCCCCCAAATACTCTTAATTATTTATTTTACGAACATCATGTCTATTGACAAATGCGTAAATTCATAGTTTTTATTTTTTATTTTCGTGTGCAATTTCTAATTTTATTTTGTCTCTCGTGTATTTCAATATATAAAATCTGGATATGTTCGATATGATAAAAGGCTTATTATATTATTCTTTTTCCACGTATGTTTATACATATTTTTTTGGGTTATTCTGTACATTTATCAATATTATTTTTCTATTGCTAGATGAAACATATATTTCGCAACTAAATTATTTCATTTAATCATTCAAATGCCAGTTTCTCGCACAAAAGAGGCGTGTGGGCACATTTGCTTGCCCTTTTCTTACACACGGAGGAAGATTTCTAATCAAATAAACCCAATTGGCTCAAATCTCTTTACATTGCTCCCAAATTCTCACGTTTTCGTTTCGTTCATATTCATCTGCTCAAGAACACATTTAATTTCTCCTAATCAAGTAAATCCAGCTGCCAGAACAACCGGATTCCCAAAATCGGAGAACAAAATCAATAAAAAGAGCAATCACATAATATACCTTATTTGGAACAAAAAAAAATACCTTATATTGAGATGCTTCTGAAATACCAGATCGAATGCTCTCACTTACCAAATAAACAAACTGATTCCCCAATTACCATCTAATTCTTGTCTAATCACTCCGTTTTTGTAAAGTAATTCGAGGACGAGCTAAAGATGGTAAAAGCCACGCATATTCTAGTTGGCTTCGCAAATTAGATTAAATTACTTGATATGCCGGATTGTTATCCCAAGCCATAAATTAATTTCTAATCAAACCCCGATTTCTTTCCTTTTCTGACAAAATAAACCTCTTTTTTAATTCCTTTTTTTTTCCTTCCTTCTTTTTGTTTTCTGGGGAAACGTAGTCTTGCTCACCAAGAAAGGAAACTCAATAATCTATGCTCACTTCCCAAACGAAGCGGGAAAACCTTATCCAGCAACCGAGGGAACACACAGCTCACCTCTGCCTGTCCCCCGCCCCCCATATTTTTATGCAGGACAATCGAACGCCGCACGATCCTCCCAAGTCCCAATCGCCCTCCACCTAATCTCAACGGCCCGCGACGCCGAGCCCACACCGCCAGCGGTGGTCCCGCGGAGCACCCGATCGAAACGACGCGTCGCTCTTGCCATGAAGGCCCCCCCCCGAAACGACACAGGACACACCACACCAGCAAGCCTCGCCGTACATAATCAGAGACATTTTAATCCCCCCCGTCCCACCCTCCTAAAAAATCGCAAAAAAAAATTTGAAAAAGTCCGGCGTGACTCCCAATGTCCGAATTCCCATTTTTTAATCCCGAAAAATTCTAAAAAGAATAAATAAAAACTATAAATTTACGTACTTACTACCACTAGTCAGCTGAAATTCCAGTCATTCACTCAATCTCTCTCTCTCTCTCTCTATATCTCGTTCCTTATCTTTCTCTCTCTATGATCTCCTCCGCCATATCCAATGGCCTCTTCCCCTCCTCTTCCTCCTCCTCTTCCTCTCCCACACCCTTCTTCCTCGCCTTCCACCAAACCCCGCCAAAGCCCTCTTTGACCTTCTCCTCCCGTCGCTGCTGAGCCCCCGTCCTTGCAATCTCGAAAGCCCCCCCTCCCCCTCCCCCCCCCCCCAGACGGGCGGAGCAGAGAGCGTGTACGCGCGAGATAAAGATCGATCTTTTCGGGGCGGAGCAATTTGGACCCGCGAATGGCTTCGTCGACGCCGCCGCACTGCTCCCTCACCGCGTCGAAGCCGTACCAGAACCACCCTTACCCCCAGAAGAACCAGCGCCAGAACCCCAACCAGCACCGCCACCCCCACCCCCACCAGCACCAGCAGCACAGCCGGAGCAACCCCAGGTGGACCGCCGCGCACAAGGTCGCCCTCGCCAAGCCCCCGCTGCCGTCGCCGCACAGCCCGGCCGCCCAGCCGCCCTCCGCCACCGCCGCGGCCACCGCGGCCGCGACCGCCAACGCCGCCGAAGACCCTTCCTTTCCCTCCCTGTCCCCTCTGAATGCCCCGAAATCGGATCTTGGGCCGGAGTTCTCGGGCCGCCGGTCGACCCGGTTCGTGTCGAAGATGCCCGTCGGCCGCCCCAAGACTGTCGTCGGCGCCCGCCGCACCTCCGTCGCTGACGAGGCCCTTCAGCACGCCATTCGGTATGGTAAGGATGAGAAGGGTCTCGAGAATGTGTTGCTTACCTTTGAGTCTAAGCTGCGTGGGGCCGATGATTATACTTTCTTGCTGCGGGAATTCGGCAATAGAGGTGAGCATTTGAAGGTTCTTCAGTGTTTCCAGTTTGCGGTGCGGAGAGAGAGGCGTAAGAATGAGCAGGGGAAATTGGCTAGTTCTGCGATAAGTATTCTTGGTAGGCTTGGGAAGGTTGACCTCGCGAGGAGTGTGTTTGACACAGCTTTCAGGGAAGGGTATGGTAATACCGTTTATGCATATTCTGCTCTGATTAGCGCGATTGGCCGTAATGGGTATTGCGGTGAGGCGATTAAGGTTTTCGAGACAATGAAGAACAATGGGTTGAAGCCGAATTTGGTCACTTTCAATGCAGTGATCGATGCATGTGGTAAAGGGGGTGTGGAGTTAGACAAGGTATTGTGTATTTTTGATGAGATGTTGAAGAATGGGGTACAGCCCGACAGGATAACTTATAACTCTCTTCTTGCGGTTTGCAGCCGTGGGGGTTATTGGGAGGCGGCAAATAATTGGTTCAATGAGATGGTGGATAGAGGGCTTGACCAGGATATTGTCACGTATAATACGTATCTGGATGCTTTATGCAAAGGTGGTCAGATGGAATCAGCTTTGGAGATCATGGCGCAGATGCCCGCAAAGAATATCATGCCCAATGTAGTCACTTACAGTACGATGGTCGATGGGTACGCAAAGGCTGGGAGGTGTGATGAGGCATTGAGTATCTTTAATGATATGAGGTTTTTAGGTATTGATTTGGATCGGGTATCATATAATACTTTGCTCACGACATATTCGAAGCTCGGTAATTTTCCGGAGGTTGTGGATATTTGTAGGGAAATGGATTATTGTGGCGTTGAGAAGGACGTTGTAACTTATAATGCACTCTTGGGAGGGTATGGCAAGCAGGGAAAGTATGATGATATGACGAGAGTGTATAAGGAGATGAAAGCAGCTCGAGTGTGCCCGAATCTGTTGACCTACTCGACCCTGATTGATATGTACTCAAAAGGTGGCTTGTACAGGGAGGCCATGGATGCTTTTAAAGAGCTTAAGCAGACTGGGTTGAAGCCTGATGTTGTCCTTTATAGTGCACTAATTGATGCCCTGTGCAAGAATGCATTGGTTGAATCTGCTGTTTCTTTACTTCATGAGATGACAAGGGAGGGTATAAACCCTAATGTTGTCACCTACAATTCTATAATTGATGCTTTTGGTAGATACATGACTGCTGAAGCTGAATTTGATGGCAATGGACCTTCATATCCATTGCTTATCGAGGATCTTACAGAGAACAAAACAGCAGATGCGAAAGGAGATAGCCGAATCATGAAGTATTTTGGGCAGCTGGCATCTGAGAGGGCGGGCTCATCGAAGAAAGACAGCAGAGGCAGTCAGGAAATTCTTTGCATTCTGGGAGTGTTTAAGAAGATGCACGAGCTAGAGATCAAACCTAATGTCGTCACTTTTTCTGCTATTCTGAATGCATGCAGGTATTCCTTGTCTCTCATCTGTCAAATTCTTATAAGTTTCTGTATCTTGTCCATGCTGGGAATATTGTGGTGGATAAATAGTCATTTTTGCAAATTTAAGTCTAGCGGCTAAATATGATGAGATTAATAGGCGGGGATGCCTTTGAAGATGAGGGTTTGCTTTTAGTGCCTTGAATGTCCTGTTGACTGCTCTTAATTTAAAGTCGAGTTGGTCTGACAATCAAAATCAAACTTCTAATCAGGATATGGTTCTTTTATGGTACTGCAAAACAGGCTTCTTGAAGGAAAATTGACTTCCTGAATGAAGGGGAGAGTAGATACTTAAGTAGTATGCTATTATGATTTCCAGGGGTACTACTTGGCCACATGCTCATATTAGTCATCCATCTAGTTTATGTTGTCTCTTAGTGCGGCAATTCTAAACATTTGAAGAGAACTTTTCTCTATGTTTTGTTTGTACTTTCTTTTAGCCACATTATCCATTTCCTGGAATAGTTTCTGCTACATGCCAACTGATCAATGTTGTCTGAATAATTTCCCTAGTTTCTTCCATGGAGGTTCCCTATTTAATCGGGAAATAACTAGTTTTTGCCATCTTGATCTAGTAAACAAGTTGATCCTATCATTCATGATTCCTTCATATAGTCTTGACCCATTTCTCTCACTTTCAATGTTTGGATGCAGCCGATGTAATTCCTTTGAAGATGCTTCTATGCTTTTGGAGGAACTTCGCATGTTTGACAATCAAGTCTATGGTGTGGCGCATGGACTTCTGATGGGCTACCGGGAGACTGTCTGGGCTCAAGCCCAATCCCTTTTTGATGAAGTGAAACACATGGACACTGCAACTGCATCTGCCTTTTATAATGCTCTCACCGATATGCTTTGGCACTTTGGTCAGGTCTGTAGAGCAGCACTGTGCCTAAGATATGTAATTTGCTTTGTCAAGAAATTGATCACACATCTTTTTTAGACTTGATTAAAATTTTGGTCGTTCTTTTTTCAGAGACATGGTGCCCAATTGGTTGTACTTGAAGGCAGACGTCACCAAGTGTGGGATAATGTCTGGTCAGATTCTTGCCTAGATTTGCACCTGATGTCTTCGGGGGCTGCTCGGGCCATGGTTCATGCATGGTTGCTGAACATACGGTCTATTGTATATGAAGGTTATGAGCTGCCTAAACTGCTGAGGTAAGAAAGTTGAGCGTGTGTCTAGGATCCTTATCCAATTTGAGAACAGTTTTGATCTTAGAGAACAGTGAAATTTTTATCTTGCTAATTCGTTACAAGAACAAATTCTGTTTTAAAAGGTACCACGATAGTATTATCAGGTATTTTCTCTTAGCAGATTCTGTAAAACTTGAGAAACCGCTTGCGGATATATTCCACTAGTAAAATTCTGGAGAAATTGAATTGTTCTGAAAGCCTTTAATGTTACATTCTGCTATGCACATTCTTTTTAGGTTAAAAACATCTAAGTTGTTTCTTTTCTTGTTTTTGGAACAATATCTGGGAACACTCCCCATTGCCTGCCTAAAGTTGCCTTTTTTTTTTTTGCAGCATTTTGACGGGATGGGGCAAGCACAGTAAAATAGTGGGCGACGGTGCACTTAGACGAGCCATCGAGGCCCTCCTAACTGGCATGGGCGCACCCTTTCGGCTAGCCAAGTGCAACATAGGTAGGTTCATATCGACGGGTTCTGTAGTGGCTGCTTGGCTGAGAGAGTCTGGCGCACTTAAGGTTCTTGTACTTCAGGATGACAGAAGTCATCCCGCAAGTGGCCGGATTCATAAAATCTCGGATTTGCAAACGCTGCCCTTGTAGCCTATCTGTATTATCTGACCTTTCGGTGTTAGTTGTTAATAATCCTTGTAAATTATGAACTTGAGCGACTTCTCCAACTTCAATTCTCCTTGAACCTGTGCTGGCGTTCGGAACACTGTCGGTTTCTGGAGTTTAAAACAGTTTCTGTAGTTAAATTGCTGTCTTAATAAGTTGAAACTTCTGAGTGTAGATTATATTTTTTGGTTGGATTCTTTAATTAGAATCATTTGCCTTTCATTGAGGTCAAGCAAAAAGGTACGCGTTTCATTTGGAAGAATTCTTCTCAGTAAATTTGTGCTGATCATTGCATTAAATAGGGCGATCGAATCTTCATCATGATTGAAATATGATTTTTGGAGTCGGGGTGCGGCTTTTTTGGTTATGAAGAAACAAATCACTTTTCTAGGATAATTTTATTTTCCCTACGAATTCAATACATTTAATTCGGTCACACGTGAAGTAAAACATCAAGGCTTCGTCTATGCACAGCTTGATGCGGTGGACCATACATTTTTTCGATTATGATGGGTTGAGATCCTCTACCTCAGGGTGAACTGCATCGAATACTAATGGGCCTCGCAACACAGGATTTGCAGGTGCAGGGGATCATTCATAAACGAAGAGGGTTATGATTAGGACTCAATTTTGCAAAACAATTTGGTTTTCACAAGATCATTATTAAAGTCGACCCAAAGTCATATGTAAACTTGTTAGTTCAGAACTTATTGTAGATAATGATGGCCTTGTTTTGCTTAAAATTTTCATAAGACTATTAATCTCTTATTTTGAGTTCAAAGTGCAATATAATTTTTGAAAATCGAAATCGTCCTAGTGACTCACTAGCCAATCTTGGAATCGATAGGCGCCTAGACACTAATTTCTATCCGCAGCCTCCTAGAGAGTTATCTTATGTTTTATTAAGTGATAAGTTAGGGGTTAGATATTAATTTTATATTCGATTTTATCCCTTTTCATATTATTAAAAATCCGGTCTTCACCAAATTTTGGAGGGAAATGAACACTATAGGTCCAAGTTTGTGCCTTGTGTGGCATGTACATTTATAAGGCCCGTTGTAGGTGCTTTTTCGAAAAATTATCAAAAAGTCATAAACCCATTGCACTAATACCAATTCAATTATGAACCTTTCGATTTGACCAATTTAGTCCTAAACCTTTTGACGATTTGTCAATTCAGTCATAAATCTTTCAATTGTACCAAGTTAATCCAAAACTTTTGACGATTTGTCAATTTAGTCCTCCCGGCCAATTTGGCCTATAAATTGCTGAGGTGGCAATCTAGTTAGCGCCGGCCATCCCACGTGGTACGACCGATACTAACATGGACAATTTTTTAATTATTATAAGTTTTTTTCTGATTTTTTAATTTTATTTTAATTTTTTCTTTTATCTTTCCTTTATTTTTCTAACCCTCAATAGGCAACCCTTGCCTAGTTTGGGTGAGGGCATCGCAACCGTTGCCCATTGGCCAGCAAGGGTGTCGTAGCCCTCACCTAAATTTGGGCCAAGGTCTATGTCCTTGCCGGCCTAGGGTTAGGAAAAAAAGAAAAGAATAAAGAATAAATTAAAAAAATTAAAAATTACGTATGTCCGGCCAAAATTGGCCAGGGTGATTAAATTGACAAATTGTCAAAATGTTCATGACTAAATCATCAAAAGCATCATGATTAAATTGACACAATTAAAATATTTAGAACTGAATTGGTATAAGTGTAATAAATTTATGACTTTTTTTGTAATTTTCTAATGCTTTTTCCCCCCTTTATATTAATGGTGGTCTGTTTTTACCTTTTCGGTTCAAATTCAATGATTTGATAAGCTGTTTTTATTTCAGTTATTTTCTGGGAAAAAGACAAAATAGTTCTTTTTTTTTTTTTGTATTCAGATTAATTTCGTGAGAATGTTTATTTGCAGTAAGCTAATTTTTACTTGGATCCTTATCAAATTTACTGAATCGTGTAAGTCTTCAGCAAATCTATTGCAATATACTTAGGAATTAGTCTTTTTACCTTGTCTAGTGTTATTTTCTAGTTTTCTACTAGGAGGAATGTAGAAATGGGCAAGAGAAAATGAATTTTGATGTATGTTGAGTATTGTGGCGTAAACTTTCACTAAGAAAAGAAAAGAAAAAAATAAGTGGGGTTCCTTAAAAAAATAATTAGACATAAAATTCAATTCTATTACTTTTTATGTGTAGCTAATTGATTCCTGCGTCAACAACAGCTTATATTACATTATTTTACAAGGGTTTGATGTCCGCTGTTTTCACAAGACTAGATTAATTACAGTTGAGTGTCGATAGATCGTCATCTAATTTAGGATGGTCAATAGCATTAATGCATGTCAAAATCTTGCCGCCGCTGTTTATTAATCGAGTGCAAGATGTCAGACACGAGATGTTTATTTTATGATACACTAAAAGGTTTATATTATGTTTTGGCGTAGCCAATCAAAGAACGTTGTATAATTCAGGTTTTTAATAGCATGACATTGTCCACGTGTTTGCTTCATTTAATCTTATTCAAGTTCACAAGGTCCATATTGCCCATCGAAACTAAGAAGCAAAACGTCTTAAAATAATCTTTATACATAACGGTGTCACGTTGTTTAGTTGTAACCAAGTGCAGATGTGATTTCTTTACGTGCTTTTAAATATCTTAAAAGACTTACGGCGTTTTTGCCATAAGCAAATGCAAAATTTTGTAAAATACTATCTTTTATAATTTATGCCATCGTGATATTTCATAATATTGAAAAAAAGTGCTAATTTTTTTTTAAATTTTATCGTCGGGTTTGTCTTAACTATATTGAAAATGACATAAAGCAAAAGTGAAAAATTCTATAGTACCATAAAAATCCCATTTTCTAATTCCACAAACTCTTTCGGTTGCCCATTCTTTTAAAAGGAGTTTGCCGTATTGCAATAGCACAGTTGTCGATTGGAAATATCACTACCGTCTTCCTAACAAGGCTCTTTTTATAATTTGATTATTTGTTGACGTACCGCTTATTTGATACCGCGTCAATTTTACATGTCTATTCCTTTTGCCCCCGTCACGAACCTCATGCGAAACCCATTAATGTCCAGCACAAAGATTAATGTTTAATTGTGCCAAAAATCTATTATAAAAATCAATATGTCGAGCGATATAATATCATTTTTGGGAATTTAAACGTTGGAGTCCTTTAAAAAAGACAATTTCCTCGTACCGGAGGTCATCTCTTGTAAGAAGATCTTCACGACTAGAAGTATCTTGTGACCTGTCGAACACACGAAAGTCGAGAAGGGTTTCCTTCACAAGCACGCATTCACTAAGCCGAAGATCATCCTGCTAAGTGGGCGTAAGATTAGCTGTATCCTTCCCCACTATTTAGTGGAATATAAAGGCTACATACGTGTATATTTATGTCGATATCAACGCCATATAGTCAAAAGTGACATTGACAGCGACTCATCATCTTCCTAGCTTCTAAGTTTCGAGCATGCATGACTCGACGTGACTGCACTACCAACTCGAGAAAATTTAACTGGAAATCCCTCACCAGAAATAACCCACAAAAAAAGAATAAAAAGAGCTCAACCGTGGCAAAATTAATCTCCAAAAAAGGATCGATTTGAACAATTTCAAGTGCAGATCCAAGGACCACCTTATATTTTGCTGGAAGTATTTGTTTTTTCTATGAATATGTCACATAGATTGCTCATCGAATAAAACATATATTTCACCATGCATTTGTGGCAACTTTATCCCCAACTCTAGCCTTTAGGCACGTATGAGAATCCACTAAGAGCATGGTGAGTATTAATGCAGTGAGATCTAGATTGTTAAAGGAACTTCACATGAACACGATGATTATAGTGAGCTGACACGTTTACAAATCATCGTAATTCTACACGAAAATGATCGCGGAGCAAGAATTGCAAAAAATGAAAGGTTGCTAGAATTGGGACGCATGTCAAAGCAGGTTGGGTGATGATTTTTCGAGGCTCAACATGAAGCCACTGAGAGCTTAGTGGTGTTACGTCATGATTACCATACTTAGTTTCCTTTGGGGTCGTCCCCTATAAATACCTAGCTACTTGCAAGTATTTGCATGCAATCTAAACAAGCATAACGTTTTAATTTGCTGATTCTGTGATCTAGTCTGTGTGTGTAAACGATGAGTAAGTTTTCAGGTAATGTTGTGAGAGTCACCGTTGCCACATTCTTGATCGCAGTGGTCGTTGTGTGCGTGACGGAAGCGAGACGCTTTGAAAACGCAGCCATTGTTGTAGAAAAGAGTAGTAGGCAAGGGGACGTGGTAATATGTGAGGCCTTGGAAGGTGGGCAAGTTCGTAAGGGTAGCAGCACAGCTGGCTGCTACGCTAGTGGCCGTGGTAAAGAAAGTGAAGGTGGCGGGGCAGGAGGTGGAGTTGGTGGAGGTATTGGCGGTGGAACCGGTGGCAGTGTTGGTGGTGGCGCTAGTGGCGGTGGAGGAGGTCTTGGCGGAGGTGCTGGAGGTGGTGGTAAAGGTGGGGGTGGCGGCGGCGGCGATAAAGGTGGTGGTGGAGGTAGTGGTGGTGGAGTTGGAGGAGGAGCGGGTGGAGGTATTGGAGGTGGCATTGGCGGTGGTGTAGGTGGAGGTGGTGTAGGTGGAGGTGGAGGTGTAGGTAGTGGAGGTGGTGGAGTCGGAGGAGGAGCGGGTGGAGGTATAGGAGGTGGTGTAGGTGGAGGTGCTGGAGGAGGAAGTGGTGGAGGTGGGGTTGGTGGAGGTGGCGGTAAAGGTGGGGGTGGTGGGCGGTAAAGGTGGTGGAGGAGGTAGGGGAGGTGGGAGTGGTGGTGGAGTCGGAGGAGTCGGAGGAGGAGCGGGTGGAGGTATAGGAGGTGGCGTTGGCGGTGGTGTAGGTGGAGGTGCTGGAGGAGGTGGAGGTGGTGGGAGTGGTGGTGGAGTCGGAGGAGGAGCGGGTGGAGGTATAGGAGGTGGCGTTGGCGGTGGTGTAGGTGGAGGTGCTGGAGGAGGAAGTGGTGGAGGTGCCGGAGGTGGGGTTGGTGGAGGTGGCGGTAAAGGTGGGGGTGGTGGTGGCGGTAAAGGTGGTGGTGGAGGTAGTGGAGGTGGGAGTGGTGGTGGAGTCGGAGGAGGAGCGGGTGGAGGTATAGGAGGTGGCGTTGGCGGTGGTGTAGGTGGAGGTGCCGGAGGAGGTGGAGGTGTAGGTAGTGGTGGTGGGAGTGGTGGTGGAGTCGGAGGAGCAGGTGGAGGTATAGGAGGTGGCGTTGGTGGTGGTGTAGGTGGAGGTGCTGGAGGAGGAAGTGGTGGAGGTGCCGGAGGTGGGGTTGGTGGAGGTGGCGGTAAAGGTGGTGGTGGAGGTGGTGGTGGTGGTGGAGGAGGAGGAGGAGCGGGTGGAGGTATTGGAGGTGGCATTGGCGGTGGTGTAGGTGGAGGTGCTGGAGGAAGTGGTGGTGGAGGCGGTGTTGGAGGAAGTGGAGGTGGTGGTGCAGGAGGTGGAATTGGTGGTGGAGTAGGAGGTGTTGGAGGCGGCATTCGTGGTGGTGTAGGTGGAGGTGTAGGAGGAGGAGGAGGAAGTGGAGGCGGTGGTGTAGGAGGCGGGGTTGGCGGCGGCACCGGAGGTGGAGTAGGGGGAGGAATTGGTGGAGGTATTGGAGGTGGCGTTGGTGGTGGGATAGGTGGAGGTGCTGGAAGAGGTGGTGGCGGCAGCGGCGGCGGCAGTGGCGTTGGAAGAGGTGGAGGTTGAGGAAGGGGAGGCTTACCGTAGTGGCGTTGGTGTGTAGCTAGGGGTATGGGTGAAGAATGATTCTAAATGCCCCATTTATAAAATTTCTCGCGTGCTTGTATGTTATAGTCAAATAATAACGTATAAATGCGATTGTGTAGCTAGGCTACCAGATTATTAATCGTGTGATTTGATTTTTACTCTCATGTAATATAAAGTGTAACGAAATAAAGAGATTATATATTGTCTCTATTAGTAATTAAACGATTGTGCACCTCCCTCTTCATGTATGTTATCCATAGAGTTTGGAATGCTATGCAATGTGTGTAACATAATCTTAGGATCGGTGTAGTCGATTGGGGTGTCGGGAGATTTTTAATTCATGAATTGAAGGTCACCTATTCAAATCTCACTAATTGTGTATAAATTGGTCCGGATTAAAATCATTTGTACAAATTTAATGTCTAAATTTAATTGGTTCATGATGTTGACAAGACGTTGCACGAACCTCTAGATAATTCATCTACACTTGTTACCTTGAATTACAAAAAAAAATTAATTCACATCTATCTTGAAATAAACTAGAAATGGCTGGAACCCAAAATCATGATCTCTAGTGCAACAGACAATTTTGATTAGACGCATATCTCAATCTTAAAATTATCGCTTTTATTTACAAAATCTAAATGCAAATATAAGGATTGTACGTGTTTTCATATCAAATGAACTATTGCTCGAGCATGAGTTAAATCAAAAATAATTTTTTGGTTTCCATTCATTTTCTTACTCAGCTGGAAAAGTTACTAACTTAATACTAATACATTGAGTCACTCAACTCGAACAAGCTAAAACACCATATCGATACTCCGAAAAGAGAGGTTGGACACTTCTGTGTCGTGCTCTAACAAATTCATATTTTAGAAGACGATTGCATACTCGATTTCAAGGTTTAGACTTGAACTCAAAGCTACTGTTTTACTTTAACAGATCTGAGTGAGGGTCTATGAGTCCTCACTCTGGCCGGCGAGGACCTGGGTGAGGAGGGTGGCAAAGCCCTCACCTATGTTTGGTGAGGGGTATGCTGGCGAGGACTCTCCCAATCCTTACTTATGTTCGGCGACCTCCACTTGCCATCATCGCAGCCCTGATGACTGGCGGAGGGAAATAGGAAAAAAAGAAAAAAAGTAGAAAAAAAGAGAGAAAAGAATCAGAAAATTTAAAGAAAATGGCATGTTCATGGAATGTTCCAGAGACCAATCAGAGAATCACTAAGCTCTACGCCTGTGGCCAGTCGCCGTGTCCCTCGTCCGTGGCCGGTTGCCGACAAACACTCCTCAATTCAGCAAACCTCTCCCCCTTTTGCTGAGTGGGTGTAGGATTAGCAGTAAGATCCGCATAATTGTTAATGCTCTTTAACCAAGTATAGTGGGATATCAAAGCTCTATACGAGTATTACCTTGTGGCGATCATGACCATAGTGGGGGGATAGCATTCGCACCAGGAATTTACGTACGTTACTCATATTTGATTCATCCTCTTTTGTCATCATACCATCCATGTATTTACATCTTGAAGCTGGACTTACCATGCATGCATGACTCAACGTGTGTCCAATGTCCCCAACTGAGGAGAAATGATGCAAGTTTGCCTTTCAAAAAATAACAACAGAAATGCACAGATCAGGTACATATATACATGAATGCAGAGATCCAAGGTCTTACTCTTTCTCTTTTAACAACTGGAACGTTTTTTCTTTCCCTTGTGATATTGTACATCGCTCCTTTGTCCTAGAAAGAAAGCTTCAAGAGAGAGATAATTATTACGCCATCGGGATTGTCGAAAAAGATAACGTTTTGCAACCTTGAGCAGCTTGCATGTACTCGGTGAATCTGAATCCTACTTCATTTCTCCGTTTGTGGCAACTTTATCCAAAACTCAACTTCAAGCTGGGCACACGTATTATATAACCCACTGAGTAATATCGATGTCAGAAATTTGCAGGGAGAAATATAAATTTTCTGCGGAAGTTCATCAATCATCTTACCTCAACCACGACGAATTAGACTTATTTCTTGAGCTGACTAGTGTGTTGTTTTTCACGAAAATGAACTAAATGGGGAAAGAGTCATCCTGAGGGTTTTTTATGCGAATGACGGCATGCTACGATTTGGACGCATGTCAAAGCATGGTGATGAGTTTTCAGGCCACATAAAGCCACCAAGAACTTGGTGGTTTCACGTCATGATTACTAGACTTTAATTTCCTTCGAATCGTTCCCTATATATACCCAGCCTATATGCATTTCATTTATATGCAAGAGTTACTGTTGCCACATTGTCGATCGGAGTGGTTTTTGTGTGTGTGACAGAAGCAAGGCGTGTTGAAAACAAAGCCAATGCCGTGGAGAAGAGTAGAGGACAAGGAGATGTTCGGGTTTGTGTGAGCCAAAAAGATGGCCAAGTTCACAAGGGCAGCAGCACAGCTAGCTGCTATGGTGGTGGCAGTGGTGTCGGAGTAGGACCTTGCGGTGATGGTGGCGGTGGAAGTGTAGGAGGTGGAGGTGGAGGTGGTGCAGGTGCTAGAACTGGTGGCGGTAGAGGAAGTGGAGGCTGCGGAGCAGGTGGTGGTGCAGGAGGTGGAGCCGTAGGCAGAGTTGGTGGAGTTATCAAAGGTGGAGTTGAAGCTGGAATTGGAGGAGGTATTAGTGATGGTGCCGGAGGTGGAAGCAGTGCAAGTGCTGGTAGAGGTGGAGGTGGTGCTGGCACTAGCGCAGGAGCGGGAGGCGGTGTCGGAGGTGGTGTAGGAGCCGGCATTGGTGATGTTGTAGGTGCAGGTGTTGTAGGTGGCGGCAGCATAGGCTGGCGGAGGCGTCGGTGGCAGGTGCCGGCAGAGGAATCGGAAGCGAAAAACATGTTGGGCCAAGAAAAGGTGGAGAAGAAGGCTTTTGAATCCGCCTCTCTCAGTAGATCTCATACGGAGCTTATTGTAAACGGTGTATGATTGCAACTGGATAGCAATTCATCATATAGTAGCTCACCACGTTGTAATAATGTATCGAAATAAAGAGATTATCAAATCTTTCCTAGCAAGCAATGATGCACACTCTCCTTCTCTCTTTCTACTTCAATGGTTGTTATCACTAGGTATGCATCCTTTTCCCGTCTGTCGTATCAATATTTCGGATCAAATTGAGACAGGACATCCACACTAAGTTAATTTCCCCAGTCAATGAACACCTTACGGATCCTTTAATCCAAAAATAACTTTGTAAATCGTAATTGGTAATCCACTATTATGTTTGTGTACTAAATTACGAACTTGCGAGCCCAAATTCTTCTTATAATCTCTTTGTACTAAAGTTGGTTGGGCCACCAAGCAGGCTCCTCATGGTACTCGAACAATCTCACTAGCCCAGCCCCATGATGCCTAATCGTGGCCCAAATTCTGGCTCTCTCCGTCTCTCATTAAAATTTGGAATGTGATTTTTAAAATCTTAAAGTTGACGATACTACCGATTTCTTGTCAAAGGGTTAGGACTGCGATAAAAGTTGTATGATTATATTATCCTAAAATTATGGAACGATGTCGATAATGTTGAAATAGCAAGCATAGGGATGGAATCTTGTCAAAGCGTTTCATCTTGGGCTTAGTCAAAGAATGAGAATAGTTTGAGGTATCGAGAAAGAGAGAGATTTTGGTTAGGAACAGGAAAAGAGATGCGTAGGATTTACTCCATTCATCTTTGATTCTTGCGATCGCAAGATCTTAGATTTGGTCTTCCACGATCTAGGATAGACCTCGATGGACGGCAAAGATGATGGAAAACATGTCATGGCTGCAATCCGGACGTTGATAGGAATGTTCACATTTGATTTCTATGCCTTTTTAGGTGCTTGTTATGTTATCTAGATCGTAACTTCGTAAGTTTAATCGTTAGTTAATGTTATCTTTGAAGGTGTGCACTATAGATCCAATAAGTAGTTGGGTCTCTGTCTATATTGCCTTCCTTTCGCTTTTCGCTTGGCAAAATCCACAAGTTTATGAATTTATTAAAGTTGCTAATAATAGAACTAATTGCGTTCTCATATAACTCATTCGGTATCTACGATGATATCATGACATATTTTCTAATTTCCTCTGACGATATGGTAAGTATTGTGATCTTATAATATGGTCCGATCTTAGGGTCAGAATTAGTTTCATAAACCTCACAATGATCTTAGAAACAATATTTTAAACCTACTCTCTCTTTCTCTTTCTCCCCACATTTGGAAGTCGGTTTATTTAATTTGAAGAGCAGAGATTGAAGGGCGTTGCGCTCTTAGTTCAACCGTCGAGCCACACATCATAATGATAGGGATGATCAAAGACGGTACTAGAAGTCCAAGCAATTTTGAAGAATCGTTTTTTTTTCTTTTTGCGTTCTTTTACCCAAAAACTTAAAATTAATTTTCCACTTAAGCGTGAATTTCGCGCACCATAGACCCTTAAAATCAAAAGGCCAAAAGTCCTTTAGAAAAGAAAAAGAGGAGAGAAGAGATTATCTATGTCGTCAAGGCAGTTAAACTTTGTGAGGGATTATGCAGGAAAGATCGTTTTGGTCGGCCCAATAGAAATCAAAAGCTTAAGACGCGTTGGACCCGTAACTGTAACCTCCACAACCGCCACTAACTACCGGACATAACCGTTCCTTCTTCTTTTTTTCTTTTTTTAATTGAAGAGATAAACCGGAGTCAAACGTAAGAACGTGTCCGATGTTTCTTCTTTGACGAAGTGAAATTAGTGTCGGTGAACTTCCGTCCATCGCGTCCTGGAGGCAGCTTCGCTACGTGTTGAGCCCACTTTTTAAAAGGGGAAATAATGTTCAAGGATTTGGTTTGATTTTATGAAATGAGGAAATTTCGACTTACCAAATACAACAAAAAGAATTAAATATAATTTTGATTAGGGTTGGAGACTTAAAAAATAGGATTTTATTAAAAAAAGTACCTTGAAGGCACATGCTAAACATCTCACTAAATAAAATTTGTCGATTTCGATGCACAGTCTTTCTCGTATTATGTGTGATTGGTGCACTAAAATTAAAAACATTTATTTATTAAATACAGTAAATAAGTGAAATAATGAACGAAGATTTGAAGTATTGCGGATTAGTTTACTTTTGGGGAAATTTTAAAAAAAATGTCTTAAACATATTGCAATTGTACCAATTTAGTCCTAAACCTTTTGCATTTGTGTCAATTCAATCCATCTAGCCAATTTTAGCCAGCCGGCGCTGACATAAACGCCGACCGATGCTAACGTGGTAATTTTTAAATAATTTTTTAAGGATAATTTTCCTTTCTTTTTCTTCCTTTTTTTCTTTTTTTTTTCCCCATAGTGGTCGGCGAGGCTCGCTAGCTACTGGGCGAGGGCCACTAAAGCTCTCACCAGCCGCCGGAGAGGGTCGCGGCCCTCGCTCAACCTCGCCCAGGCCCGCCTTGCCATGGCCACGCCGGCCATTGTGGGGGACAAAAAAGAAAAGAAGGAAGAAAAAGAAAAATATATAATAAAAAAATAAATAAAATTTGCCATGTCAGCGTTGGCCGAATGAACTGAATTGACACAAATGCAAAAGGTTTAGGACTGAATTTGCACGATTACAATAGGTTTATGACTTTTTTAGTAATTTTTCCTTTACTTTTGCATTACAATATATTATAGATTATGATTCACCAAAGGTTCTCCATGAGTTCAATGGTAAAAATCTGAGGTCAAAATCTTTCTTTGAGTTCTTTTATTTATGTAATAAAGATATATGGCTAATATACGCGTGGTTCTAGAATACCCATGTTAAATAACTCATCCACACTCCATATGGAGACATATATATGCATCAAACCCTAATTACCAAAAAGAACTGAACCTCAAACCTCTCTCGCTTCCTCTATCAAGACGAGCATCGGGTTTCGAATGGAAGGTCTTGCTAAAGTTACACAATTTTCGAACCATCTTGAATTTCCCCACATGTATATTCCGTGCCTTGAATAACATTATACTCGTGAGACGGCTATTTTTCACAAATATAGTATGGGATGTGGACGTACTCGCACCAAATAGATTACCCTCGCTTTAGTATGCACATAAAAAAAAAGTATATCCCCTCAAAATTGCTAACCATACATTGTCCATTTCAATATGGTGCATGTTACAGAACTCCTGAAGAGCTAGGTCGTATATGTAAATTCAAGTGAAGGATAAGGAAAATACCTTTTCCTCTACTTTATACCTTCTTATTTGCACTTGTTACTTTTCAATTGGGTGAAAATAAAAAAAGTGACATACTTTATTCCATCGAGCAAAGAAGCTTGGCTGCCAATAAAAAAATAAAAAAAAAAAGCTTGGCGTCTTCTTTGAACACGAAGAATATTCATGAACATTATTGCATCCACTGAATTCGGGAGATGGCAATATTTTATGCATTTCCAAAAAGAAGAAGAAGAAGGTGCGTTGCCGGGGCCGGACTCATCAATCAATGTTATACGGAATAAATGGAACAAAGGCAGATCCAAGAATTACAGCTTTTGAAAAGAAAACGGATCATACCCGGAGATTGTGCTCCAACCATAAGGCTTACTTTTATACGGAATAGATGCATCATACCTTGGCCATCGCCGAGGCCCGAACAAGAAAATTAAAAGTAGAATAAGGGAAAAAAAGGAAATTTTAATTTTTTTTTTAAAAATCGTCTACGTCAACGCTTGTCGTGCCACATAGACGGCCACGTCAACGTTTTCTAATTCAAAATTGGTTCGGTTGGATTACATTAGAAAATCATCAAAAGATTTAGGACTAAGTTGGTCAAATTAAAAAGTTGAGGACTGAATTGGTCATTGCAAATAAATTTTGGACAATTTTTCCGGTGGCAATGAGAGCTTGCAACTAACTTTTTCTTTTTTATATTTTTTTGGTCTTTTTTTTTTTTGTTAATACCACGAAAAACTCCAAACTGGTACAGCTGTGACGATTTTACCCTGAACTATTTTTTTGACCACAAAAAACCCAAAACTAGTACACCTGTGACAAATTTACCCCAAACTATTTTTTTGACTATCAAAAATCCCAAACCGGTATACTTGCGACAATTTTACTCCGAACTCATTTTTTAATATTATATTATATTTTTTCGAATTTTTTCGAATTTTTTTATTACTTTTTTTTTATTTTTTCTTTTCTTTTCTTTCCTTCATCTTCTTCATCTTCAACCTTTGGCCGGCGAGGCCGCCCTGCCGGTCTTTGGCGAGATCGACCCCTTGCCGGCCACAGCAGGGCCAACCTCGTCGGCGACCAGGCCAAAGGTTGAAGACGAAGAAGATGAAGGAAAGAAAAAGAAAAGAAAAGAAAAAAATTAAAAAAATTCGAAAAAAATAAAAAATATTATTAAAAAATGAGTTCGGGGTAAAATTGTTATAAGTATACTAGTTTGGGGTTTTTGGTGATCAAACAAATAGTTCTGGGTAAATTTGGCACAAGTGTACCAGTTTGGGATTTTTTATAGTCAAAAAAATAGTTTAGGGTAAAATTGTCACAACTATACCAGTTTTGGGTTTTTCGTGGTATTAACTTTTTTTTTTTTCACTTTTAGTAAACACAATATTATAGTGCATAAACATTACATGACCAATATCATTTAGCCATGGTATCATACCCTTTCAATAACGAGCGTGACTAAACAACAAATAGATAATTCTGGGATTAATTATTTATCATATGGTCATGCCTAGCTAAAGGGTAGATAAAAGAATTGTATGATGGAGTTGGGTAAGATGATTCAGATCGAAGGATTATCAATGTGGCTACTCTCAATCAGGTCAAATCTTGGGTCGATCCCCTAAGTTTGCGGATTGTCTCTCGTCTCAATAGGTGCGACTTATGATCGTGGTGCACATAAACTAGTCCGGACATTATCATAAAATGGTAAGACATACAAGAAATGTTATTTCAAAGTTTTGCACAGGATCAATGTGGTTCAATGGAAAATCCAATCCAAAAGCTAAAAATTGATAAGTAGAGAGAGATCACATTGTCAAGTGATGTGCGATACTTCAACAATCGTTATGACTATAAGAGGGAAGCATCGGTTAGCTGTGAAATTTGTCGTCACGTGTATTCTTTGGGTCCAAGAATTTATACCATACGTGTAGAATATGAATGTTTTTGGTGGGTAGGGAAAAAGGTTGAGCGGGAATAAGAGGAAAAGGACGGTGGGAGAGTAACATTACTTAACTGAAAAGGAAACTTCTATTGTGTTTTTTCAACATAATATTGCAAAATTGGTCGAATGAAACCTTAAGGTTTTCGAGGAATCGTTTGTTCGAGAGACTTCAGATTTTTTTTAGTTAAAAATATATAATGCAAGCTTTTACATAGCAGTCTAGTCCGAAGCAGCTATACGTAGCTACTTTGTCAACCAATCACGTATTAACACGTTGCAAACCTAAAGCTCTAAATAGTTAAATTCTTGCCGTGTAGAACCGTCAATAATCCAAGAAAAGATCCAATTTTTAATTTGGTCAAAATCTAGTTTCGATTTATGCATAGCCTAATCTCACTTTCGGAACTTTCCGGTGTGTATCCCGTGCTTCTATCCTATTACCCTTCTCTGTATGTCAGGTCCCCATCAGCTCCTTCGATACCAACGTGCGGAACAGAAACATCATCCAGAAAATTCGACCCGACCATAATTGAACTTAGAAGGGGAAAGAACATAGATAGAAGGACAGCGACGTGCATGTAAGGTCGATACGTGGTGCGGTTCTTTCTGGTTCATCTCCTTGCCTCTAATCTCTGATCGCATGCATTTCCGGAGCGAGGACACATCATCTTCCTCTGACGAAGGTGGGCGTTTTGTTTGCATTCGAAGAGTTCCTCTCTAAGAACTACAGAGAGCAAGAGGAGGAGGAGGAGGAGGAGGAGCAGGAGTAGAGGCAGAGCATAAAGCCACCAAAGAGACCGCCAGTCGCTATCCAATCCGCGACCGCCCAAGATTCTAATCCTCAGGACGCTTTTTCTCGATTCTGTATCTCCTCCTTTTCAACCCCCGGTCGCGTTGTTTTTTAAGGAAAAGAAATTCCACGGTCCTCTCCTTACCACTTTATCCAACCCCACCTTTTTCCCCCTCGGAATTTCTATAAGTATGCGCCCTCGATCTCAACATTGGTCCATGCAATCGGTGAAGACGGTCTTCCTCTCTCTCTCTCTCTCTGTCTCTCTCTTTCTGACATCGATCTTTAATCTCCTCGCACTTGCCATTTCCTCATCTTCTTGCCCTCTGTTCGATATCCCTCCTATATTTGTCAAGCGTATCAAATCACCCACCCGCACAGATTCCCATTTTCTTCCTCTGTAAATTTGCAGAAGATTTTGATTAATCTTCACTCCAACTTCACAAAACTTTCCCTCCGGAAAGAAGATAAGAAAGCTTCCATAATCAGTGACCCCCTCTGTGTTTATATATACCAACCTCCTTTCGCTTCTTCTGCAGAGATTCGCGCGAACTCTGTCATTGTCCTAGCCCTGCAAGCTTTGTTCTGTTCATCTCTTCCGTCGAATTGTTCTCCGTTTTCATTGTCCGCTGATAATGGCGCCACCGAACGACCCAGCCAAGCCGCTCTCCAGTGTCCTCCGGACCAACGCCCAGCAGAACCACTTCGACCTCTCCGAAGGCAAGCTGTCGGTCGACGGAGTCCCCGTCCTCACCGAAGTCCCCAGCAACGTCTCGCTGACCCACTTCTCCTCCACGCGCCGCTCCTCCGACGCCCCCCTCCCCCTGCTCCTGCGCGTGGACTCCACCGCCAACCGCGGCTGCTTCCTCGGGTTCGCCCAGGACAAGCCCTCCGACCGGCTCGTGAACTCCCTCGGCAAGTTCTCCGGCCGGGAGTTCCTCAGCATCTTCCGCTTCAAGACGTGGTGGTCGACCATGTGGGTCGGGTCTTCCGGGTCGGACCTCCAGATGGAGACCCAGTGGGTCCTCCTCAACGTCCCCGAGGCCTCGTCCTACGTCCTGATCGTCCCGATCATCGAGGGGGCCTTCCGGTCGGCCCTCCACCCGGGGCGGGACGGGCATTTCACGATATGCGCGGAGAGCGGGTCGACGCGGGCGACCGCCTCCTCCTTCGAGGCGATGGCCTACGTCCACGTGTCCGACAACCCGTATAACGTGATGAGGGAGGCCTACAGGGCCATCAGGGTGCACCTCAATACCTTCAAGCTGCTGGAGGAAAAGACTGTCCCGACGCTCGTGGACAAGTTCGGGTGGTGCACCTGGGACGCCTTCTACCTCACCGTGGACCCGGCTGGGGTCTGGCACGGGGTCCAGGACTTCGCCGAAGGAGGCGTGCCACCGAGGTTCGTTATCATCGACGATGGCTGGCAAAGCATCAACTTCGATGGGCAGGACCCGAAGGCGGACGCCAAGAACTTGGTCCTCGGCGGCACCCAGATGACCGGCAGGCTCCACAGGCTGGAGGAGTGCGACAAGTTCAGGAACTACCGAGCCGGGTCTATGCTCGGGCCCAGCACGACCCCCTTCGACACGAAGAAGCCCAGGATGCTGATCGACAAGGGTATCGAGATCGAGCACGCAGAGAAGGAACGGGACAGGGCGGTCCAGTCCGGGGCCAAAGATCTGGCCGAGCTCGAGTCGAGGATCAAGAAGCTCAAGAAAGAGCTCGATGAAATGTTCGGAGGGCAGGAAAACGGCGAAGATTATAGCGCAGGAGGGTGCGGGAAATGTGCCTGCAAGAGTGGGAGCTACGGGTTCAAGGCCTTCACTAAGGACTTGAGGGCAAAGTTCCCGGGCCTGGACGACATATATGTGTGGCACGCGCTATGCGGTGCTTGGGGCGGGGTTCGACCCGGGGCCACCCATCTGAAGTCGAAGCTTGTCCCCACCAAGCTCTCCCCGGGGCTCGACGGGACCATGTCCGACCTAGCTGTGGTGAAGATCATCGAGGGCGGGATCGGGCTCGTCGATCCGAGCCAAGCCGGAGATCTCTACGACTCCATGCACTCCTACCTCGCTGACTCCGGCATCACCGGAGTCAAGGTGGACGTCATCCATGTAAGCGATCTCCCTGTACATCCTTTATGCATTAATTTGCTTCTTTATTTTCGCATTCTACGAACATGTTTGAGCTGTTTCATCTTTGGTAATTTACTTATCTGTGGGGATCAACAACTCCCAAAATGCAGACTCTTGAGTACGTTAGTGAGGAATATGGAGGCAGGGTTGAGCTCGCAAAGGCGTATTACAAGGGCCTGAGCAATTCGCTCGCCAAGAACTTCAAGGGAACTGGGCTCATCGCGAGCATGCAACAATGCAATGACTTCTTCTTCCTCGGGACTCGACAGATCTCCATTGGAAGAGTAGGTAAGCGAAAGAAACACCAGATCACGCGCTAGAATGTCCAAATGAACTATGCCTTTGTTCGAATTTGTTAATAAGTTCGGTTAATCGGTGCTCGACAGGCGACGATTTCTGGTTCCAGGACCCAAACGGCGACCCGATGGGGAAGTACTGGCTACAAGGCGTGCACATGATCCACTGCGCCTACAACAGCATGTGGATGGGGCAGATCATCCAGCCCGACTGGGACATGTTCCAGTCGGACCACGAGTGCGCCAAGTTCCACGCGGGGTCGCGGGCCATCTGCGGCGGCCCGGTCTACGTGAGCGACAAGGTGGGCGGCCACGACTTCGGGCTCATCAAGCAGCTCGTGTACCCGGACGGGACCATCCCGAAGTGTCAGCACTTTGCCCTGCCCACCAGGGACTGCCTCTTCAGGAACCCCCTCTTCGACAACAAGACCATCTTGAAGATTTGGAACTTCAATAAGGTAGCTACGCTGCTAAGCAAAATTCGTGCAATCTTACCACTTCTTACAATGATTTTGTCTGTGATCGTTTCATTTGAGACTAAGTTGTACGTAACATCCTATCAATAAAATTTGTGCTTGCTCTGCTGCAGTATGGTGGTGTGCTCGGGGCATTCAACTGCCAAGGCGCTGGCTGGGACCCCAAGGAGCGGAGGATCAAGGGGCACTCCGAGTGCTACAAGCCGATGTCCGGGTCGGTCCACGTCGCGGACATCGAATGGGACCAGACCAAGGGCACGACCCAAATGGGCACGGCCCGTGAATTCGCGGTCTATCTTGGCCAAGCCGATCAGCTCATCCTGACCACCCCGAGCTCTGACCCGATCAGCATCACCATCCAGCCATCTTGCTTCGAGATCTACAGCTTTGTGCCCGTCATGCACCTTGGACCCAGTAGCACCAAATTCGCACCCATCGGGCTCACCAACATGTTCAATTGTGGGGGCACGATTCAAGATTTGGAGTACCCTGATTTCGGGGCTATCGTCAAGGTCAAGGGCGGGGGCGTGTTCTTGGCGTACTCGAGCAGGGCTCCCGAGAAGTGCATGGTGAACGGCGCCGAGGCCACGTTCTGGTGGTCATCGGAGGACGGCAAGCTGACCGTGGATCTCCCTTGGGTCGAGCAACTGGGTGGCGTCTCGACCGTGGCTTTCCTCTTCTGAATCAATCCAAGCACGTCTCGCAAATAACAATGTCATTAGTTATATCTATGTCGAGGGTGGTTTAATTCAAGTCAAACGTTTTTAAATTCTATGTTCTTGCGAGTCTTTTGGATCAATGATGTAATTCAGAGAGTATATGGGTGTAAATATCATCCATGGAACTCTTCCATATCAATTAAGGTTTACTTTGTATTTTCCTTCCTAATTTGACATGATCTTTTGTACTTCTTGTTCTTTTTGCACTTTTGGATTTGATTGGATAAAGATGTGAAACGACATGGGAAAACTTCCATTTGGCTCGTCTTTCTAATGCGCCACGGCTATCCAAAAGAGATAAGTGGATAATTCCCGAGCAACATGCTAGAAACATCCCAACGAGAAGTCTCTTAAGGATCTTACACGAACTTAGCAATAAATCAAACCCGATTTGATTAGAGATAATCCAATTACCAAAACTCAACTCGAAAAAAATTTAGTGTTGCGTTAATTCTAATCGGGACTTAATACACACGACATAAGCTGTTGAAAATCCCGTTACCGTCTCATTTTTTCTTGATTTTTTTTCAAATTGCTTGCGTGGAATATACTGCTGATTTAATTAATTGGATATGACTTTATTGAGCTTGCGTAATCCGCAACGCGAAGACTTGCGAGGAAGACAGGTGTTGCCATGTAGTCAGAAAAAGGTCGTCTCGTCAATTCCACGTGTCGATGGCTCAGAGCCAACAGAAAAATCCAAAAAGCCTAGGTGAAGTGGTCCCACCTATGCACGCAGCCGCAGGTAAAGTTCTCGTGCCTCCCACGTGGGGTGACGATCGAGATTGATCCATTATGGATTGAATACGACTTTCATTAGTAGCACCCAAATATCTCTCGTTAAATAAGTCGGTCCGCCACGCAAGGGAAAATATGATAACGATGTATAAGCACATCATGTAAATTTTTGAGGTTGAAGTACATACCATCATCAAAATATCATTAAGAGGAAATTTTTATAATGCAATAATGTATGGCACGGTTCAATATCTATTTCTACGATACTTCTGCACACTTATTTGCGATGAATCGTTGTAAAACAATTTTACAATGTTTTTATACTTAACTACGACGACATATGGTCATGTTATAGGTTATATTCGTTATATTGTGAAAGTGTCCGATCATAAAGTGTCGTCGACGGTAAGAATCGAATTATGAGACGACTGATTTGATAATATCATTTAAGTACGTTAGGTAGTATCAATATCATAGGATATATTACGCAATGTTGACTGCAAAAATTGACCCTTGTATCAGGTTTTAAATTTACACTCTAAAGATAGATGTAGAACACATATTATCGATCGTTTTCATGATCAAAATCAAGTTCGAGAGATGCGGATGCATGTCGCCTAAAATGCGACATGATAAGAACATCGAGGGCCGAGGATATTGCACATCGTCACATGAATCCTTTGAGCCTTCGTGGGAGACGTCTCTGTTAGTAAAATACATAAACGAAAATAATAGGATCTTAGGATACAATGAACATAAAACATTTGAAAAACATGGAAAAAAAAAAGATAGAGAGGACCTAAAGCCGATATCATCATGAGTTTGCACAAATATGTTTTAATCGAAGAGAAGGTACATGCTAAACTACCATCATATAAATCAGAAAAGGATATTGGTACTGAATAACAAGTAATCAAGAGAGCATATGTTCATCTATATGATTTCAATGTAATTTCATTATAAGTTGTTGTATGGACGATATACGACACATTACATTGTCACTAAACTCGAGAAGATGTATCGTAAATGAGTTATAAGTCACGACCCTCTAAAGTTTATACAAATATAACATTATATGTGGTTCGTACACGTAAAAACCTTTGTGGCAAATTCAGAAAAATGAATGAAAAACGAAAGATCTTATCGAAAGGGTTTGTATTAACAGGTGTCCTCGAGACGCTTGTTAAGCCATAATTTCAAGGCACCATGGAAATCCAAGAGATATACAGTAGAGGCTAATTGCTTTAAATAGACGATATTGATGTTTTTCCTAAAGTATGTTTAGTTAAGATTTAACAAGTTAGTACGCTTTTTCAACTAACGTTCCATGCAAAGAGAAGCGGTAATGAAGTTAGGTGAGTTGATGAGCGAGAGACCGAGTAGGTTGCTTGTGAAGACGCGTTTCTGGAGCATGTTAAGCAAAATGCCAAAATGGGATTATCCACAAATTTGTGGTCGGTCCAATTAAGAATAAAACATATAAAAAGAAGAATTTCTGCTTTGTTTTGTTTTGGGCCGTGAACACTAATCTGCGGACAAAAACGCGATGGAGTTGTCGCGAGGAAGGCCGTCGTCGAAGACGACAAAGACAGATGCATGGGAAGTTGCGGGGTTAGACCACCAACTTTCAAGAAAAAGAGAGAGAGGGAGAGGGATTCAACCAAAACTTACCTAAATTAACCGCCTTTAACGTGGGACAAAGGAGGGATGTCTGGTTAGTGTCGGCGTTGGGCTTTTGACGGTGCTGTCTTGTCTTCCTGTTTATCGGAGAAGGCGTGTGCGCATGCCTCCAATCCATGTATTCATTCGCGTGTACATGCTCTAAAGATCGTTACTGCCCAAGATTTCAAACCGATAGATCAGTATTGCAACAAAAATATCCCCAACCAATCCATCTGTGCCATAATCTGCCGACAGAAATGAGGAATTTTTGTGGATTTTCGAAACGCGGGGAAGCTTTCCGGGCAAAATCAGCAGATTTCCCAACCTCGATTCCTTTTCTTCCGATCTGGTTTCCCCAGAACCAACGTCGTTTAGAAGAACCATTTCCGTGTTTGGACCCAAGTCACGCGTCCATCGTTCGAGTTGTTTGCCACTTGTGTTTTCTCGTCGGCAATTTAACAGGATATTAACAGAAGCTAACGGAGGGCGGATTTGTCACAGGTATACCGGACTTTGTTATTTGTGTTTCCTCATCAGTAAGTTAACGAGATATTGATGGAAGCTAACGGAAATAGATTTGTCACGAGTATACCGATTTGAAATATTTGGTGATATGGAAATTAGTTTGTGGTAACTGTAGTACCGATATACCAGTTTGTGATGTTTGGGGTATTGTCCCAATTGTGAAAGTGTTTCGGTGCAATGTTAGGGCCCAAGCTGTTCAGCTTCTTTTCTCTTTCTTTTGCTGGGGAAGAAGATGAGATCCACAACTTCATGGCCCAACCTTCATTGATCCAGCAAAGCAACATCACTGTCGTGTTTTTTTTAGCATTCATGTCCAGCAATTTTATGGCCCAAACAAAACCCTTTTTTTTTTTTTTTTTTTGTCCTGCCCAAACCCAACCTTCAAAGACCCCAAAAAAGGGCAAAATCATTAGCATTTTCTATTGGGCTTTTTCAACAACTTGTACAGAATAATCTTAACTTTGGGAGAAAGAGATTCAAATAAAGCACGCCAACCGTCTAAAGGTGCGTTTGGTTCAGTATTCCCAAGAGGTTTTGGAGGAATGCAAATATCTTTAACTTAAAGCCTCTTGGAGAAATGTAAATTGCATTTGGTAAAAAATCCATTGTGAAGTTACTTTGGCCCAAGTAAAGTTTGGCAAATCTTATTTTGCAAAAGGCTTTGCGTTTTTTTTATTTAAAAAAAAAAACTTAACCTTCACTGGAGGTGGCGATGGGCTACTACCGCCGGCGACCCCGAATCTAGTGCTAGCGGCCGTCACCCAAGGTCAGGCGACCCTAGGTGACGGCCACCTAAGGTCGGGCGACCCTCGGTGGCCGTCATCGGGGTCGCACAACTTTGCCGACCCCTTGCCGGCCGCCCTCAGCCCAAAGAAAATGAACAGTCATGAGGGGCAAAATTGAAATATTGAAGAATTAGTGAGGGTAGTTTGAAAAGAAAAAAATTGGTTGGGTTTCGGTCAAAAGCTCATTGGAAATACTCGCCAAACACCTCTGCATTTACCCAAGGGGCTTTTGTGGGAATGCTAAATCAAATGCACCCTAAATATAGGCTTTTGCATATATATATATATATATAATGTATATACACAGACGAAACACTTAATTGACTTGCTTTTCAATCCTTCAAAAAAATATCTTTCGTAAAATAATTATAATAATAAATAATGATTGGTCCTATTCACGATTAGATCTAGCAAAATTGGTTATAAACATACTTCTTAACTCATATTTAATAGGCTAAGTTATTTTATGGGTTAATTACTTAGTAAATGTGTCATAAATGAGTTTTAATAATATTTGTGTTAAATGGGTTAACAACTTACTTTGATCAAATCCATCTCTATGACTTTCTCTTCACTCTTTCTTGCCCTCACTCGATTTTGCGTTCACTTGTCTTGTGCTCGAACTCAGTTTAAATATGAGCTTTCCTAAATTTGGTTAAACGTGTTTTAGCAATATGAATTGGATTGAGTATGAGTTGAATCATATATGGATCACTAGATTTATATTATATGGAAATTGGTCATAAGAAGTTAAATCGAGCCAATTTGGATCGAACTATTTTCGATCGGACCCGACTCGTGCGTTTGATGGGTCCATTCACGACCCAAATACCCACTTGCTCTACTCATATAAACAAAAGATAGCTACCCATTTTATTATTTTATTTCTAACATATTTATTCAACTCTGGTATGCATGTATGTATGTATATGTATATGTATATGAATATGTATATGTATAAAGTGGAAAAAAAAAATCATTATGAGCATGTGTCCAGGTCATCGGGCACATGAAGATTTGGACACGAAGGGGGAAAAGCCCTCCCCCATCCCATCATCCCCCACGCTCTCATCAGCCACAGGAAGGTGTGGACATCCAAAACCCTACTTTCTTGCGCCACGTGTGCATCCACCGCTGTCCAGCTCTACCCCCACCTGTCCTCAAAAAGTACCTGACAAGGCCACGACAGGTCACCACCCAAAATCAAAAAAATAAAAAACAAAAGAATCAAATCAAATTAAATTAAATGCATGGAAAAAAAAAATTGAATTTATACATAGAGAACAGGAAATTTAAAGGCTTGATAAGCCACTTCCTTGTGCACATGGAGAACATGGCTACCATTCGATTCCCCGCGCCAATATGGGGCCATATTTGCACTATAATTAGGTGTTTTTATCATCCCCCCTCCCCTCCTAATTGATGAGTTTAGGTTCTAATTACACGTGCTACTGGACCCCCTCGATCGAAAGTAGCTCAACCATATAATTTCTTGGGGCACACTCGATCATGATTAGTGATCCTAAACCTAATCTCGGATTGGAGGGTTATGCAGCTCGACAGAATTAAATCGCAAGAATTTGGTAGCACTTCGTAATTGCCGTTGCACTCTGTGAATCTATCTAGGTTGTTCTTGGGGAAATATAAAAGATATGCCTTGTTTCTGATCGAATGACTACTTACGTGCTGTTATGAATATCATTCACTTTCTTCCGGACAAAATCCCATATGGGATACCAAATTCCCTTCCTTGCAAATTTTGATCACCCAAATTCTGTCACAAATCATAACTTCAAGCACCCACAACCCCCATCCACCACCCACCATCGTATGCGACCGTCCACCCAACCTCGCCACCTCGGTCAACACTATCCACCACTGTCCCTACCTCTGCCGTCGCCCTCCTCCCCCACCTCTCTCTCTCTCTCTCTCTCTCTCTCTCTCTCTCTCTCTCTCTCTAAATATATATATGCTGAATAGACCTGCAAGGATGATATTCATGACAATGGCCATGGTTAGCAACTCTGTTTGAGGTAGGTTAAAGCTGTTAGTTCACCAAGGTTCGAGGTTAGAGTCATCCCGAGTGACCTCGACCAGGGTCACCCACGTTCGTGACAGGGCCCTTGACCTTGGACCACCATGGACAACCTCGACGAGGCTGGCGGCCTTGGATGAAAGTTGGCATTGCCACAACCCGACTTTGGCAAGTAGTATCACGATGTCAATGGCGAGCAATAGCCAGCCAGAAAGTGATGAGCGCGGCAGCTGCGGTTGAGTTTATGGTTTGAGTGGTTTGATTTTTAGTTGGTTTCGGATGGTTTGAGTGGGTGTGAGAATTTAAGAATTCGAAATCCACATTTCTGGAAAGAAAATGTCATTTTGGTGATTAGTTCTTAGTAATGTCCGCAAATACTTAAATAACATGTCTTTAAAGACACACATGTCACCAAGAACTCTGAATGTTGAATTGCGTCTCCCGAAGGGGAAGAATAATTTGGAGCTAACCGTATTGAGTGTCATATGCTCATTGTGAACTACAATCTGGCCAGAGAAGAAGCCCAACGTAAATTTGCACGAAATATCTCTTGCAAGAACAATCACTCCAAGGTCTAAGACTAAAGACGAACCGAAAAGGGTGGGACAAAATATAAATCAAATGAAGCAACTTGTCATATACATGATGCATATCGAAAGTGGTGGCATACCAGAAAAGATGTGTCCATCATAGATCATCCGCAGGGGGACAAATTAGATGCCCTAACAAGAGCCACCATAACCTAGCTAGAACTAGCTAGAACAACCCCCAATAATTGCACCCCACGCCTATGGAAACATCAAACGAGAAAAAAAAGATCCACAAGATAGAAATACAAAAGACGCAATACACAATAATGCAGAAGGAAAAGAGCTACATGAGCTATGTGGTCTGATTGAGCCGTGCATGTGCAACAGCCGTCATTTGTAAGAGAGGCAAAAAGAAACAAAAAAGTTGTAGCGGTATCATCGCACAACTCACCATTAGCCAACGAAAGAGGACACGTCTTCTTGTTGTAGAATACAAGCAAAAGAATAAAAAGAATTTAAAAGGAAAAAAAAAAAGAGACACAAAGATAAGGAATAAAAGGCCACCATTGTTGGCTTCGAAGGAGGGTTTTGCAATATACGAGTTGAGATCGCATCGCACAGAAATTGCCATGGTCACATGGATACAGCCATACATTCTACGCGCTACCTTTTCGTGTACCCTTTCGATGTATTCGATCAATTAATATCTTATGGCCGAAAAGAAATTAATTAATTCATTGATTAGCATTAAACCAGAAACCCACGTTTCTGGTTCATGTGCAGAGGCTTCTCTCTTGCTTATCCAAACAGGTGAAAGCGTGGAAACAATTATGATTAAGCTAGATGGGGGTAAATTATGTACCTTCTTAGTATAACCTAATGAAAATGATAGACAAATGGTAGTGACAGTGATGAGGAGGCAAATAATAAAAATTCGAAAGTTAATTAATCTTGAGAAGAAACAGCTAGTGATGATATTAGCTAGTTATGCGGCCAAAACATTACAAAAAGAGAGAGAGGAAGATATAGCTTTCTTTTTGCTAGGTATAATATGAAAATAAATCAGCTAATTTTCTTGAATAAATGTAAATCAGCTGAAGTGAACTTACCAATCAATATAAGAAAAATGGGTTAAAAGTATCTCCTTTTTTTTTACCCATTTTCAACAACAAAGAAGTGCTAAATATACCAACATTAATTTTTAGAAAAGAGGAGTCTATATAACTCTTTCTATAGTATATCTTTAATTCCTGTTGCCTCCTATTAAAAGATAATGAAACATGTCGAAAATCATGCGTATTATCACATTTACTACTATTAAAAGAAAATAACAAGAAAAAATAGGAATCGTCTTATCTCTTTAGGGACTGTCCGGGAATCTATTATGTCGAATCAATTAACGTGTCAAAAAAGAAAAAAATCGAGCTATAATTCAGAGAGGAGATTCTAAGTATTGAGCGTGTGAACATGGGTCATGTGTATCAAATTGGCGAAAAGATGCATTGCATCTTTGTCTACCTACAAAAAGATTTGCCATATAGCAGATCGAACTTCTTCACAAGCTTGTACTTGATATTGGAACATGTTAGAACATGATCTTGTGATTTTAGATAACAATCTTACAAAAGAAAAAACCACCCATCATCGTCACATGATCGAAAATGGGTGCATGAATGTCAGAAGCTGAAACAAAAAGGGGAAAGGAAAACATACCTTATCCAACATCAATGATCTCCGTTGTCCACCGTTCTTAAAACAAAATTTTGACAGGTAACCCACCATGGTTTTGCACTTCTTTATTGTTTAATGAATGGGGTTTCCCATGAGGAAACATGGGCTAACCACTTAAGAATCCCGTAAAAGGGTCGCGAAACATGCATTCACGCTTCATTGAGCTGGAAGTTTTAGGCCACAAAGGGTCGCACCACAGTGCATTGAATTTGGAAAGAGTTAGGGCTGAAGAATAATCCAGCTTGGTTTGATGAGGTAATATTGATGAATGGAGGTCGTGGTGGTGGTGGTGGTGGCGGTGGTGGACCGGTGGTGGTGGTTCAAGAGATTGGTGGTGGGTTGGGTCGTGGTGGCGATGAAGAGAGAATAATCATGTGGGTACATGTGCAGCTTTTGCGTTGGGTGCGAGAACATGCTCAAAGTAATAATAATTAGCATAAGAGAGTTAGACAATAATAACAATAATGATACGACGCTCTCTCTACGCTTAGCTAGGCGTATGTACACTTGGCATTTTCCCATTGAGCTATCCCCATTCTCTCGGAAGCCGTTGCGGGTTGAGCTGGGCTGTGGTCCCCCGCCGCAACTTTTCTTGCTTTTCTTGCAGCGATTATAATTAAATCGCATTATCCTCTGAATTACCACCAAACCCTTGTTCCACAAGCATCGTCACGCCCATATAAAATGCCCTCCTGTCGTGCCATTTTCACGTCACAAACACAACGCGAAGGTCTCTCTTCTCTCTCTCTCTCTCTGTCGAGGAATCAATAAGAGAGAGCTTCGTCAGTCATATTCGAATACAGTCTCGCACAATGGGGGCCGATTCTCCAAAACATTGTTTCATTGTATCCCTCGGCTTGAAGGGTCTTGATTCTGATGACTCAAACGGGTCTTCGAGGGGTAAACCGGTCGCGAGCAAGAGAAGGTTTCAGGCTAAGAGGAGGCTAAGGATCATCAGGAGAAGAGGGGCGAACAACATCGAGAAGAGGAACAACAAGGTGGGAGCCTCGAGGAGGAGTGTCGTCAGATGCTCGCGGAAGATTGAGCGGCGGGTCCGGACGTTGAAGACGCTGATCCCGAATGGCGAGTCGATGGGATTGGAAGGCCTGTTCCAGGAGACGGCTGAGTACATACTGTCCCTCGAGATGAGAGTGAAGATGATGCAAATGGTGGTTGACATGTTCTCAGGTTCTAGTGATCAGTAATTACTTAAAAACTACTACTCTGTAGAGAAGCCAAAACCACATTCTTTCCTACCCATTTTTTTCTTTTATATCTTTCTTCTCATTTTCCAGTTGTTATATGTGTTTAATTAATGCGATTCTTGGCCGGAGTTTGTTTGAGGTCAGATAAATTCGCAGCTACTGTTAGCACCCTTTTGATGTTGTCGTCCTCATTGTTTGACAGTAGATTGGTTGATTCATGAATTTGTCTGAAAGAGAGAGCATGATGGAGCTCTTCTTTTACAAATTTTTTTGATGTGCTGACCTGTATTATAGTTTGCTTTTATCGACCAGATCTTGAAGTGTTTATGGTTTTTGAAGTGGTTATTGTTGATTTGGCCTAGAAGAAGATTGAAGCAAAAAAAAAGTATTGCTCGGGAATTACAACATGAAAATATGCTAACCTAGGTTTCTAGGGATGCATCGCGCTCTTGAAATATACGAGAGAGAAATGACCTTTGGTATCCTGTCGGACGTGTTTGGAGGTTTTAACATGATGGATGAATTCAATCACAAGAAGAAAGGATATATGGGAGTGAGTTATTGTTTTCACAGTTCCGTGTGGATTATAATATTTGTGAAATATGATCGAGTTGACCTAATAGAATGAATCAACCTGATAACTACGTTTTGTTACATCGGATCGGTTCATAAACAACAGAAGTTGCTGATTATATATCCCAAGAAAAAGAAGAGCCCAGTTGACATATGGTAATGCTAATTAGCTACCCCACTTATTCAATAACGACATTATTCATAGATCGAGCTACACCGTATCAATGCAAGATCAATTATATATATAAAGCCTTTTACGTCGTCGGGCTCAATTATGTATCGATATTGTTTGTTAGATCTAACTGAATAATATCAACTCCGCTTTTCCGGTTTAGGAAAAAGTAGGCCATCAAATCAATTTGAAAAATGTATCTCATAAAGAATTCAATCAATACATATCTTCTTCTGTATATTTAAAGGGGAGAAACGTAGGGGTGGAATTTTTAAGCTTGGTAGAAGTCAATTTTGGACCTCCCACATCTTGGACTATCTCATTCTGACCATTGTATCGGGCCACATTTTTTAAAATGTATGTAAAGAGTGGGCCTAGGCCTAATGAATCGGCCCATCTGTTAGACTACGAAAATTTCGAATCTCCCCCAATTTGGACATTTCATTTGTCCCCCTTCCTCCTCTTCTTCTTTCTTAGCAATGTTTTTCTTATTTGTTAAGAAAAAAATTCTTGTCTTGGTACTTTTCCAAGGGATCGAACTCGGGTCTCGACCAGCCCCCACCGTCCCTTGCCATCGGGATCTGTTTACCATGGTTCAAACAGGATATATGTGGTATTCAAAATCAACTCTTTTGATAGAACATAAGCGAATCGACAAAAGCGAGCTTTGCGAATCGAAATCCAACTCGATCTTCATAGCGCAAAAGGGAGCACCAAACACGCATTTTAATCGAGGACCCTACTTTCTTTAGCATGTCAATGTTCCAGAACAACAATAGCAATACCCCATGCACACAAATTCCAGCTTTCCCTTTAAAATTTCTCTCTTCTTCTGCTTTTTGGGAAGTGGGAGCTGAATGGCGTGTCCATCATGTTCAATTAAAAATGTGAAATTCATGGGATTCGAAGTTAGACAAGACAAAAAACCGAAAAAGAGCACAAGGAATCGGAACGCAGCGACAAAAAGCACACAACGCCGTCGCTAGCGAACGAACCGTGTCCGGATCCGAGCGAAGCGGCTGTCGGCACATCACCGCGTTAAACTCATCATGCAAAGTAAAAAACGAGAATGTCCTTCTTTAGGTCTACCAGTTCAGACACCATGATTTTGTATTCCTCTCGTGGCAATTTCACACAAACAAAAGGAGGTTGCTTTTTGGGTAGAGAGACTCACGGGCGATTCGAACGATTGACATCGACATCGACATCAACATCGAATTCGACATCGACATCCACTCCTTTCCTTCATCGAATTCGTATTATGTAGGGTTCGTAGCGAGGGCAGCGGTTTCGTTTCACGCCCCTTCCCGAAGCTTCAAGGAAGCGAGCAAATCACGAAATTAATTACCTTACTAATCAAACGCTTAACAAAGCATGAAATTAAATGGGAAAAGACAATGCTTGTAGCAACGATACATTACTAGAATAGGTTAAATTAGGGCAAAATTAGTTTTGGATTCGTACGTGACATATGATCGAGACAAACTCTCTCTCTCTTTTGATGGGCACATGGGCCGTTGAATGTTAATTAGGGCAGGTGTCACCCTTCCTAATCTCTACGAATCGCTTCAAGATCATGATTATCATCTAAAACCCTTGATTAAGCATGTAACGTTATAATTAATTATGGTTTCTCGAGCTTTGTCGTTTTCCAGTTTGACTACCTTCCCACGAGCTCGTTTTAAAAAAATTTTGGGTGCAGAGATCAAGAATTTGTGGGATGGCCGAGTGGAGCCAGAGCGGTTTTGACTTCGAAATCCGCGGTCGCTCCTCGCGATATTCCCTTTGGAAAAACCAGCGCCTTGGGTTCACTGCCCCATTTGAAAAATCATCACGTAACATGTGTTTTAAAATTAGGGTTTATTCGGTTTTGACCTAAAGTTTTGTCACGGGAACAGATTCCCGAGCCGGTCCAACTTGATCGATGGTCGTAGATTGCTTGGTGAGATTAATAAGGAAAAGGGTTTTCAGATTTGAAATCCGATCACATTATTAGCGTACGAAACATGGTATTCGGTTCAAAGCGAAACTAAATCTGTGATCATGCCAAGGTTAAAACAATGTGCAACATATTAACTTAAATGAACGGCCTAGGACCGTTTCAACGTATTTTTCCCGTAAAGTATACATTCAAGAGTATGAAGTATCGAACGCGAGATCTAAACTCAGTTGCGTTCGCGACACGCGTGCACGTATGTTTTATATCTTTGGAGTTAGAGGAGACAAGGAGGGTCGGGTCAAAAATCCTACGAGATCCGATCTGCTCGCGTCTCTATCCTTGTACGTGAGAGACGTATGACTGTGCATGAAATCTAGAAGGATACATAGAAAAAAAAACGAGAATGAATTCGAAGAAGATAAGGTCCAAGTTGGGTGAGGGCAAACGAATTGAATTAAGGTGGGGTTAGGTGGAATGGTGGGGGAAATCTGTCTCCAACTAAATTAGCAGCTGCGGACATTGGTTTAGGAATCCCCATTCCGCGACAATTACATATGAAAAATTTAATCATTATTATTTGTACAAACCAAGTGAAAGAGACAAAAAAGAATTTCATTTAAATATAAGTACCCGCCCAAAACTGTCGTTGTTATAGTAATGCTTAGACAATGACCACTTTGCTGTGCCATCCAACTTATATTTCACAAGTTGGAATTATTTCACGTTGCAATCGCTATCATTCTCACCTTCATGCGGGCAGCTTAGGGCAAGAGTTTCATATGTTTTCCTAACCAGTGTGCCTGGTGAAAATTTCGATTTTAATACCGATGACCGAATTTGAAAATTTTGAAGTAATTTTGTTTGATCAGCGAAGCCTCTCTCTCTCGAGAGAGAGAGTTACAATTGCGACTCTCTCTCCTAATTTGGGCATGGTACGCACATGTCCCGGGCATGTTTATGATAAGAAAGCCAATTTATGCAACTAAAGTGAATTAAGCCAGGCCCACACAAAAGCCTGCCGCTAATAACTGGGTAAGACTCGAGTTAAAAAAAAGAAAAATCAGCCCGAGTCGACGAACCGGACAAGAAATCAGTCCGCATCAGGTGGGTGTGCAAGAAATTGTGCACCCCAATTTGATATTCGTTCTTTAACCATCGAGACAGCCTCGTCGCTAAAGCTTTCCTCAGCCTTCCATGAAAAGGACAAAGCGAAAAATTTAGCGCGATCTTCGATAAACGGCTATTGGCTTGTGATGAGCCTTGGAACGGAGAGATTGCAATCTAAAAGCATTATTTTACGATGTTGATTTGATACACCCTTTTCATGGTGTGTAGTTGCTATATAGCTAGATCTTAAAGGCAAATGGCCTGGTTAGGCCAAATTGCAATACCGCAGACAATGGGTCATTATTAAATTGGGTTTAGCGTTGGCGTAATCTTCACAAACATTGGGATAAGATAACGAGTACTGATTAGTAGAACAGCAACTTCCCTGTTTCAATTAGTGCTTCCCATCGTTGGCTAATCTTTTTCTTAAACTAAAAAAAGAGGCCCTTAATCAAACCGTGCATTTCTCAGCACCTCCCTTTCCGCGTAACCCGAGATCCACCGACGACGAATGGGTCGACGTGCTACACAAAAACGATTTGAAAAAGACAAGAGCGCAGTCGAGTTTTTCTCAAGAAAAGCTTGCTACCATAATCAAAGAGCGGTTGCAGTCATTGTTTATGTCCCAAATGTACTTATAATACTGCCCACAAGCTGCTCTTCTTTTGTCCGAAACGTTCGAAACCCTAGACATGCACAAACACTAAAACATTAGAGTAATACGAAACGGGAGACTCGTAACAATGGTCAAAAGCTGGGCACTAAACCCCAAGCCACGGTTCGGTAAACAGAAGGTGGTGACTAGATCAGAGATTAATCTTCTTTTCCTAATCTCGTCGTACTATTATTTAATCTTTTTGAGCTCCTAAACGTACGAAAGAAGCAAACTCCTTAGTCAAACGGCCACTCAGAATGGGCATTTCTCCCCCTCTTTTTTTTTCTCTTTTTTTTTCCTCAAATTTTGTATACAATCCCTGCCCACTACGAGCATGACGTTGACGTAAATGAGAAAAGTTTTCGATAGCAATTAATTAAGAAAAGATTAAGCAAAAATGGGCCTATAAGATTAAGGGGCGTATGTCGCAAGCAAACCCTAGGAAGGAATATACCGAAATGGCGTAAAACTTCGATCGCCCAATATAAGCCCTATAAAGCGTCCTCGGCTCCTAGAGAGATTCCTTTTCGAACTTCCATGTTCGGCATTTTAACTTACGCTAGTTAGCTTAAGTATTTCACCTTGAGCTCTCATATTTAGTATGGTTCAATTCATGACCCTTATCATGTAGCCTATTAGGGTTTCTCAGTCATTAATGTTTACGACGGTGTGACTTCTAAAGTTAAAAAAATTTACACGTAAATAGGCGATATGTAGGTAACACTCTTAACCCCGACTACACCATATGTTACGTGAAGTCTAGTATCTCGGCCTAAACCAACTTAAGATCAAGAGAAACAAAATTATAGTTGTAGCTGTTAAAGACGTGACCAGATAAACTTTTACTTTTTATCTTTCGCTTAATTTAAATTTTGCGACCAACACATTTTTGAAATTATTGTCAACTCAAAACTTTCATGACATATAAATGTTGGTAAGTTTATTCACATATTATTTTCCAATAACTTTTTTGAGACTAGGATAATATTTTTAATTTTACTTGAATCTAATGACGCTTTTTATTTTTATTTTTTTGGCCGGAAAGCTAGATAAAGCTAAGGCTTACATTTCGGCGTTTTATTTTTTCTGAACTAGTTTATTAGACTAATGTGGTTGCACATGCACAATTAACTAGTGCGATATCTTATTTTCTTTAATTTACGCATAGCTAGCTAGCTCCTTAGAAATGAATGTAAATCGCCTATTGTATACAAATAATGCAGCTAAACTTGGCGATGACGTGCGATGAATCTTATGAATAACATCGTGCCCTATCGACGTAATTCACTCGGCCACAAGAAACCCCTTTGCATTGAACAAGATAATCGATTTCGTCCATATTTTGCAAGCACGCTCTGTAATCATGTATAGATCCGACTCTGTGTGCATGTACCACGTACGCTACGCGCACGAATTTAATATGCGTATGACCCTAAATTATTGGCGCTGATTGAATTTCGTCACCATTTTGAACACTTTGTGTTTTTTTTTTTAAACTAATGAGAACACAAAATGACAAAAAGTTTAAGTTTAATTTAATCCTAAACGAACCAAATAATTGAACGGCAGAGAGAGAGAGAGAGAGAGAGGCGGTCTTACACGGAACTTCATGTAACTTGGGGCGAAATTTAAATGTCCTTTTCTTGTTTTTGGTCGTGGTAGGCCGCACGTGCATGAACTTTCGTCATCATACAATCGAGGGTTCCCACCTAAAGTGAAAGCAATCTCACGTCGATTCTCTTATTCTTTTTTTCCTTTTCTTTTGTGCCTTTTCCTTTTATAGGAATAAGTTAAAAATTACATCTATTTTTTTTTTTCGTTTTAGGGAAAAAAAAAAGAGAGAGACCGTCCTTCTACTATTATCCGAATTCAATTTTTAGTTTCGTTGCAGCTTTATTTTTTGGATTCATCTCCGGCGACAAATCGACGGTAGAACTCAATGTTTATGTCGTGGATGGAATACGTCAACTCGGCTCCAGGAAATCGAGGTGCAAATTAATTGGGGTTATTCCATATCGATTGTGGAAGGGACTAATAGGTAATTTATAAGTGTGAAGAAAAATCTCACACTTTAAGTTAACTTTTGTGATGAAAGAGGGTCAAAACCACGCAGCATCGATATCAAAACCTAAGTTACCGACAAGTTTGATTACACGGGAGATACAAATTGTTATTGCTATAATTCGAGTCCCGTTGTGTGAGGGAGAAATTGTTGTGATTCTCTCATATTGACTGTTGAAGGAGATGGTGGTCCGATTATAAGTGAGGGGCAAATCATCACTTTTTGAATTAATTGTTAGGGTGAGAGAAGCTCCGAACTATCCAATAATACTTCTGAAGAAATTACGCTTTCGATAATCGTACGTGGACGATTTTGTAATTTCGGTCTTCTGCTTTATGTCATTTCGGTCCGTGGGTATTTTCTCTTGCTGCAAAAGGAAGCAAAGCCCCACTGGGCATCGGGATCAACACCAGCGAAAAAGCGAACGGGTGCAGGTCCGAGTTCACACCACCAAAGATTCAGATGCCCCAATTTCGCAAAGGGAACAGGATGAATTTCGCGTCTTCGTGTTCCCACCATGGTCAGATTCTACGCTCCTTTCTTTTCCTCCTTCTTCTTTCCGATGCTGTGGTGCATAGGGACATCATAATAATTTTTTAACTTCTGTCGGGCACGTCTGGAATCGTCGTTCGTATTTGCAAATAAGTCTCGGTTGAAGTTGAAAACTACTGTGTCAGGTATTGCTGTCATTAGCCATTAAAAAGAAACTACATATAACCAATGGTGTATCATGTTTATGGTATTCGTTACTGGATCAATAGGAATGAGTTATGGAGTAATAGTATGGATCTAGTTATCCATTGTTGTCCATTATATTTGGAGTAACTTTTGTTTTCAATTTGTTTGTCGTGCGTTACACAAATCTCATGCCTCTCGCACTTTGACCCTTCTTTGGTGCGAAGCGCCTCAAAAGTTCCATGATAAGTTTTCTAATTTTAGGGGAAAAGGCGGGAGTAAAAATAAGGCATTTTAGAGTCTGTTTGGTTACGTTTCTGATCTCGGAAAAAAGTTCCGTTCAAAAATAGTTTTTTTCTTTTTCTATTCCCTGGATGAGTTTCTAAGCAGAAGAACGCGTTTGGTAACTGCGCAAAATTTATATTCCCGGAATAGAAAAAGAACAGAAATGCGTTTTGTTACAATCCTAAAAAAGTTTAGTCCCAATTTTTTCATTGAATTATGAAAATGTCAATGGAGACTTAAAAATTCATGTTTGAATAAAACTGGACTAGAAATAAAATCTTAAATTATTATGATATAAAATTGGATGACCTTAATACAATCATAAAGAAAATTGCTCCTTCTAGACAAAGTAAATATTCGATGGTAGTTGAGAAAATTACAGTTTAGGATTTAGGGTATGGGGTTAGAGTTTTAGGGTTTAAGGTTTTGGCGTTTTGGGTTTTGGTGTTTTAGGTTTTAGGAATTCGGGTTTGTGGTATAGGTATTCCAGTTTTTATGTTTAAGATTTAGGGTTCTGTGGTTTTATGATTTTAGCGTTAGGGTTTGGGATTTTGGGGATTTGGGATTTGGAGTTTTAGGGATTTGTATTTTGGGGTTTCGGGTTTAGGGTTAGGGTTAGGGTTTTACGGTATAGAGATTTAGGTTTTGTGGTTTACGATTTAGGGTTCGGGATTTATGATTTTAGAGTCGGGCATTTAATTTTTATCATATTACTTTTCCTCGCGGGTTTAGTCAACCCACAATATAATCGATCGTTTTTCTCAGACGGAATTAAAGATTATGATTTTTCTGTGGGTCAAAAAATCTACGAACTTTGATGGGTCCTCTTTTTTCGATTTCATTTTTTTCCAGACGGAACATATAAAGACCGGGGCAGACGATCCGGTTCGCACGCGCGCGAGGGGGTAGGACCGGGGAAGCGCGTGGGTTGCGGGCCGGGGGGAAGGGGAGGGGGGGAAGTGGGGCATCAATCATGCCGCAATCGCCTCACGTGCCATGCAATCTCGTTCACACCGGGCCAAGTTCGGCGGTCAACGTTCTCCCTACTATCGCTGTTAAAGAGATGCTGAATAATATTCCCGAAGGGAGGAGGGGGGGAGGGGCAGGGGGGGGGGGGGGACCGGCTACCGGCAAGGCCCAGGCGCCGCACGTGGCGCGGCCCCCCCTCCGTCCCGCCCCCTCGTCCACCGAACCTGACCGGCTCCCCGTCCGCTCCCCGTACGGTTCTTTGACCTACATTTGCCGGTCAACCTCTGTCGACAGCCTCGTGGGTATTGGTGGGTGTCGGTAGTGGTGGGGCCCGTGAGGGGGGGGGGGTGTTGATGATGTGGCCGTACCTCTTTTGCTCTCTCTCTCTCTCTCTCTCTGTCTGATCGGGAGAGCCCCTACGTTGCAGAAGGAGAATTGGAAGGAGGGCAGTACCCTCAAATTTCGAAATTTTTTCCTACCCTTTTCCTTCGCCTTACAGAAGAAAGAAAAAAATTTTGAATTTTTTTCCTACCCTTTTCCACTACTTAGGTATTTTACCACCACCCTCATTTATACTCGTCTCTCGCGAAACATGAAGTGGTGTTGGGATTTCGACACGAGCTGCTGTGCCTTGGTCTGAATCGAGTGATTTCGGCACGAGATCGATGCCATGATAAAGCGAGGAAAGATTAGAAGAGGTGCACGAGATATCGATCGGTAGATAATTGGATCGAATATTTTCATTTATCACCGGCCTTTCGATACGTCTCTGATTGATGGGTTACGAATAAAAGTATCACATTATCTTTAAATTTAAATAAATTTGGCATGCGGGTGATGTTCGGGCACATAGCCCAAAATAGCTTTTGTACGAAAAAATTTTTATCTAAGAAAATCTCATTTCTCTCTCTCTCTCTCTAAGCGCATACGTCTCTCTCTGTCTCTATAAACCCAGATCGAACCTGCCCTCTTCTCTCTCTCTCTCTCTCCTTCCACTAGGTGCAGAACTCAAAGAATTAACTCTCTCTCTCTCTTCTCTCTCAACTTCGAATATCGGTGTAAATCCTTGGTCAGAAGTTGCACCATAATCCCAGTCTCTAGGACTTTGATGAAAGAGCGAGTGATGATGGAGAACATCGACAAGTCCACATCGTTACTGTTCTCCGAATACTACGGACACGGAGGCCTGTCGGATTTCGTCACCTCCGAGGCCGAGAAGAGCACGATGCCGGGCTCGCTGGGCTTCATGGAGCTCCTGGGGCTCCACCAAGACTCCAGCCCTTCGCTGTTCGACGTGCTGCTCCAGCCTCCGATCAGTAATGCGATGGACTCGTCGTCGGAGGTCGTGAACCCGCCGGCGACGCCCAACTCCTCTTCCATATCCTCCGCGTCCAACGACGGGCTGGGCAACAACGACGATGAGCAGCAGGTCAAGGCGATGGTTGAAGACGAAGGAGTAGAGAAACAAGAGCAAGAAGAGCATCGGAAGACTAAAAAGCAGTGAGTTTTCTTGTGTTTCAGCTCGATCTCTTTTCTTTTTGTGCTCCTTCATAGTGCAAAGTGAGTTAGAGACTCCAGTGAGCGAGTGGATATTGGAAATGGGTCTTTTCGTTTTCTTTCTTCGTTATGTGGGTGTGCTTTGTTAGGGTTTTTGGTTCACTGGGTGCACCTGAACTCAACCCCTAGAAATCAGTGGGGATCGATTAAGGTGAAGCTACATAGGGGTATTTGGTGCGGTGCGTATTTAAGGCGAGAAAATCAGGTTTTTCCCATGAGTAAAATCAAGATTTTAGGGTCTTGTGTTTGTTTCTGATCGCTTCATTTGGGAGAGAGTTGTGTTCTGTAAATTAATCACCGCGTGGGCGTGTGTGTGTGTGAATTAGGTTGAAAGCGAAGAAGACGAACGAGAAGAGACAGAGGCAACCCAGAGTCGCGTTCATTACAAAAAGCGAGGTTGATCATCTGGAAGATGGTTACCGATGGCGAAAGTACGGCCAAAAAGCTGTCAAGAACAGCCCCTTTCCTAGGTACTGATCATTCTCATTTTGTATGTAATCAACAAGAAAGAAAAACGGGAAAAAGACCAGGAACAAAAAAAGGAGAGGGAGAGAGAGAGAGAGAACTTCTTTGAGTATTCAGAGAATTAAGACGACCCACATGTGTTGTTTAGCAGCTTGCGATAGAATATTCATTTCAAGAGAACCTATAAAGTCGCACCTCTCTCTGATTTTGTCCCCTCTTTTTGTGTTCTTGTTTAGCTTGGAGTGACTCGTTTGCATTGGATCATCATTGCAATGGTATTGTTGTGGGAGGTTTTGCCTTATTTTTCTGTTGGGTTGATTTTCAGGAGTTACTATCGTTGCACTAGTGCCTCATGCAATGTGAAGAAGCGAGTCGAGCGGTCGGTGAGCGACCCGAGCATCGTGGTGACCACCTACGAGGGCCAGCACAACCACCTGAGCCCGGTCATGCCCCGGTCGATCCTCGCTGGAGTGCCCCCTCCTCCCGCCGGTGCCGCTGCTGCCTTCTCCGTGCCCGCGATGCCAGGAGCGAATTTAACCCAACATCATGCTCATCACTATCAACAACACTACTATGCCAACAACTGGTCAACGAGCAACAACAATGCGGTGGTTCCAAGTTCAGGGTCAACAAATGCGGCTGTGTTCTTGAATAAGAGGCGTTTTTGCAGTCCGGGCCCCTCGAATTTTCTTGCAGACCACGGGCTCCTTCAAGACATGGTTCCTTCTCATGTCCTCAAGGAGGAAGAGTAGTAGTAGATATGACATATTGACAATACTATTCTTTTCTTTTCTTCACTGATGAATGACAGAAGATGAGAGAGGGAAGCGCGGGTGATGGACTTTCCATTGATCACTTACTGCGTTCATGACATGTATTGTAATGTTGCTCATGCAGAGAGTAATTTAGGCACTAATCCTGTAATGTGTAGTTCATGATCTTTTGTTCCTATACGGCTGTTCTGTTCTTCCTTAAGCTCCTAAACTATGGCACCCGGGTTCGCTCGCCGCTTCATACCCGTCTCGCGATAAGTTTGGTTTACACAGGCTACGTCTCTCTTGATGTGCATGGTGCTCGCGCGTTTCCATCAGAAGAGAGAAGTTCTATGAATGGCAAGATCTCTCACATTAACTCATCCTGATTCTACATCCCTTCTGTCCCGTGTTCTTCTGTTTGTCGGAGAATATGCATTGAATTTCGTTCCAAGTTGGGGGATTCGTAGCTATCTCTCTCTCGCGGTATTTAGTATGTTTCAGAAAGAAAACCACTCCATGCTGCAGAAGCTTCTCATCTGAAGTGTGTGTGTTGCCTTTCTCTCTCTCTCTCTCTCTCTCTCTCTCTCTCTCTTTTATGTCTGGAAACCTAAAATACTATTAATGGAAGAGTAGGTGCAGTAGATTTTGAGGATTTGTTGGGAAGAATAAAGTGCTCTATCGCCTCTCTTGATTCATGCATGGAAGTCCTCAAAGGGAAAAATAAATCAACCACATCCCACCGGCCCACATTGGATTGCTGAGTTTAGTGCCCCTCTCTTTCGCTTTTCCTTTTGCGCCTTGCGATGCCTTCTTCTTTTCTTTTTCGCATGCATGCAACTGTACATGCGAGCTCGCTCCATCTCGACCGTCAGATCACTTTGATCGTATGTGGAGCCCACGACATCGAATCGCTGAGACGAAGCGGATTGCGTACTCCGAGAACGTGCGAGAATGACCTTTTCTTTGGCCTTTGAGAAATGATTTTGTGATGAAATATTGACGATGGCTCCACGTTTGTCGAGTGCGCGTGCAAAGTATACCACATGCCAAAGGCGAAACCTTTCATGATTCTGACGAAGACATCACATCCTAAGTATATGCATCTAAGGTACAATCGCCTGATCTGATGATCCATTGGTCTCTCACAAGAAATAAATTTAAGACTTTCTTGGATTGGGACAATCAGCGGCTCGCCAATGAAAGTGTTCCATACAATCATGTTCAGCCTGGAACACCATTCCATTGAGAAAGTTCAATGCCTCAATATCTCATATATATGCACTTTCTCACGCGTACAGTCGCTTCACCTACTAAGATATACAAATGTGAACATAATTTTTAGGTGCACACTAACATACGCATCACATAATCCCAGTCTTGCATAGACAGCCTAAAATAATTGCAATTAACCTCGTCATAACATTGCAAATGATCATGTCATAGCAGCATTATCTCCAATCTGAACTTGCGCAGCACTGACTAATCGAAATTTTGTGCAAGATTCCGAAGAGAAACACATAACAGAGATCAGAAACCAAAAGGAGGCAGAAAATAAAAGACAAGAAGAATCTACAACACTATTGTACTCAACCGACTTTACCAACGTCTAGCTAGCTATCCCACGCTCTCATACCAAGGAACCGAAAGTATCCCTCATTAGACTGAAGGCCTCTTCATCTAGTGGAGTGATATCACATATCAGATGTGACTACTGCACCCTTTAGCTTCAGTTTCCAACCAATCCCCCATCTGTTTGCCCATTATCTTCCATCTGCACAAATATAGAATAGTTGGTGTAAGCGAGGAGTTGAGAGCAAGAGTGTACAATTAGACCATTGAATGGGAACAGGCAGATTGAGGAGGGAAAAAAACCTTAAATTTCAATCATTCAAAATAAAGATAAGTGGCCAAGTCAACAAAACCAAAATCTGGAAATATATCTAACTAATGGTACCAAAACAAGTATATTTCTTGTCATTAACTTCAAAAGCCATTGTACCTGTTATATGCATGTTGGATCATAGATTGGAGCTCCATCCTAATGTACCTTTTCCTGCAAAATAAAAGCGGGTCGGGGACTAAGGAATTTGTTTCCAATCAACAAAACGCAAAAGTGGTCTTGTTAACGAGAAACGGTGCATTGAAAATGACAATCTTTCTTTATTTAGGTGTTTAACAATTGCGCCCAGGCACTTGTTAACAAACGCCATATAAAAATACCAGAAGATGGGACTCAAACAACATTCCTGGAAAAAAGCACTCATAATAAAGGACATCCACATATGTACAATGCAGATAATATAGTTACATCAATTATATATCAAACAAGAGAAACATTCGTCAGTAGAACTATTCAACTAGCTTTCTCATCTAAGTCATGTGGTAAATATATATATAGCACATGAATGAAGCAAGTCACGCCAATAACAATCTGGAAATCAGGCTTTTGGATTGCTTATTAGCTTTGAGTAAACTGCAGAATTTTGGCAGCTAGTGTTCTGATCAAAGAGGTGCTTCTGCTTAATCAGCATGCCGAATCCAGGAAGAGAGTAAGAAAAAAGAATGTCTTAAAAAGCTAAATCAATCTCTCGTAAAACCAATCAGATTAATTAAGTTACATCAGCTTAATTTGACTCTCTGCAGCTCACAAAAATGTACATGCACTAACAACATAAAAATGGACCAAGGAGTTGCCAATAGATTTTATGGATAGATAGGACCTTACATTTTCTAGCACTAGATGTTCAAGAGAGAAGCAATCATTCTTCGAGCATAACAATATTAGAAACGAAGCAGCAGACTCGTAAATGGACAAGTATGATCAAATGAAGCAGCAACCTAATCTGTGCAGTAATTATCTGGTACCATGATTAATCAACTCCCAATAGCAACTACAACAAAAGAAGATGTTCTAGAGTTGGAAGATCAAGTCAAAATGTTCCACGAACCAGGGCAGATACATGATGTTTCAGTTCCTGAGAGAGGAGAGTATTCTGAAGCGATGGGGATTGTCCTTGAGCAATTTGTTGGGTAGAACAATCTGGTGCGATGGGAGTAAAATCTTTGCCATCACTTTGCTGCTTTCGCCTCTTCTCCAATTCTTGTTCATATCTTGCAAACTCATCCGGCTTATCCCACTGCAACCAACTTAAACAAATACAAATCACCTCCACTGCAAGCACTCGTAAACTATGAGCAGTCACAGCTCAGGGGCATAATACTTACTGTGCTTTCCAATGAAACACAATTATAGTAATACTTGTTTCCATCAGGGCAGACATGTTGACTCCAATCACACTCTAAATCTTCCATCTCAATAAATGAAGGAGACAAACCAGAAGTGCTAGGAACTGCCTGAGGATTGTCTCTAGACCGAGGAGACTACAGTAGAACAAACTAGATAAACAGTTACAGCAGATAATAAAGATTTGAATAAAAGAAATGAAAACACCAAGGATACAATTTCCAGTACAATAGTAACAGCGGCGGGTAAATTCCCACGATCGATATAGTCTAATAGATGCTTTTAGCAACAAAACAGTACCTCCTGCCTGGTACTTTGAGAACTATGCCGCTGCTCGGAAGTTTGAGTTGATTGCGGGAGCACATGTGGTTGCTTCTGTGCCTGGGGGGCAGAAGGTTGTGATGATCCAGTAACCTCTGGAGTTTGTGCTGTCTGCACATACTTCCGAGATACCTCTAAAGATGCCGGCTGCACCAAAGGAAAAGGATTTTGCGTCATGCCGCCATCTGCAGCACTTCGGTCTGCAATCTGAGAAACAGCTACCGGCTGTGAATGTGTGGAAATCTGCTGCTTGGTAATTGGTGTGCTAGGAGCTACAGATCCTCCAATTGGCTCACCAAAGTTCCGTGTGGGCCTATGAGTCATAAGCCAACAAATTTTGTATAGTTCCAAAAGAAAAGGGGAAAGGAGATGAAGGAGAAGTGTCAATGGCAGCCAGCACAAGATGAGCAACTGTTCCTTGGTCATGGTAGAGACAATCTAGACCTATACCGCTGTAATTTGATAAAAGGAAAAACTAAAAAGAAGTGGAAAAAAAAGATCAAGCTTCAGGAACCCATAGAGTAATTTCCCTTACTGAATCCTTCCACACCAGAAAAACAGTTAGTTCTTACGTATGATATGACCTTGGTACCACTTAGGTCCCGACGTAACCCTCAAATTGTCTTAGTAGGAAAGGAACACAATAAATTTAATACTTTGGAAAACTGCTAGACCATGTTATTCAGCTTACATATATGAAAAGTCATTAGCAGATATTCCAAGGTAAAACAACGATAGAAGGTATTGACTATGGAAGTTGAAATAGACTCTACAATCTCTCGCATCAATTCCTACGGGTATTAATCCAAGATTTTGTGGCCGCACAAGGAGAACTAGTTGAATGCCAAATGAAAATTCCAGAAAAGAGTTCTAAACAAGAAATACCTTGGTTCTCCACTCCGAGGTTTCTTAGGATCCGCAAAACGAACAATTAATGGCAGGTCACAACCCTGGAGCAAACAAATAAAGAACATAGTTAATCAACATCCACAAAGCAGGAAGCAGTAAACATGCAAGTTGATTGGAATCTTACTCTCATAGTAAAATTCCCACTCAGTGCTTTAATTGCAGCCAGTGCCATGTCCCTATGGGAGTACTTAACAAATGCACAACCTTCAGACAAACAAAAGAAAGTTGAGGAAAAATATGGAGAGAACAAAAAAAGAAGAGAATGTGTCACGAAACATAAGTTTGTGAAGAAGAGAAGAGCACCAGTAATGAAGGGAGACCTAATTCAAATGAGAAATAGTATGAGGTTATCAGTCTTGAGTATAAACCACTCCATTTGAGAAGCCAATTAAAAAAATGTAGATGCCTTGAGTAAGAGGGAAATGGTGTTTGCTTCATAAGTTCACTGGAAGGCAATTCTAAGAGTAGCTATTAAATGGTAACACATGGAGTCTGTACAATGAAACTACCAATGAGAAGACAAAATGTTAGACAAATGCATCCACAACCAGGATATCTCACGAGCTCATGCCAATTTAAAAGGGACTCTTTAAAAGGTCAAAGACATACCACGACTATGCTTCAGTTCATCACGTACTATGTAGACCTCTTCAACGACGCCATAAGGGGAAAATATCTAAAACAGAAAAAGTTACTTAGATATCGCACAGGAAATAAAACTGGGTAAGAAAAATCTAATTTCTCAACCACAAGTGCACCTATCCAGTCCAATAATAATACCATCTGTCCTGTCCTCTGCATATGCATAACAACTAGCAGAAAAGAGGTTGGGCATTAACAATATCCGACATGTTCATGCATGCACTGATCATCAATTTCATACCTGTCAAGATATCTACAGCAACACCAAGTTTGGTGAAGACAGACTCTTACATCGACCTACGACCCAAATAAAGTCTTAACAGGATGAGGGCTCTTTCCTGGTTAGTTCCGTTTTTCCTTCTTTAGAATAATAATTTATTTGGTCAGTTTTTCTATTAGAAGTAGAGTTCAACTCCGATTCTAGTTCTGTCCTATTTCTATCTGAAGTAGGTTCCCTATTTCGCTGCTACAACTTGGATTAGGAGTCCAACAGAGCGTATTTATGGTTGTTATTCTTCCAATACACTTAGTCATGCAGTAAGCTAAACTTAAACCAGTATTTGCTTTTTATGACATGATGCAATTCAACCCTATGTTTGATAATTGCAAAACCTTAGGTGTGATTCTTGAGAAGCTTTAGACATAATGCCTAATGAAATTTACCCTACATGTCTGTACATTGCAGCAAGTTCCCTTCAGATATAGATTGGACTTGAGCTCATTGTTTGGACACATCATCCTATGTCATACGTACATTAGCATGACGTCCACACTGCTTAGGAGCTATGTGCATCTAACATTACTATGAGTCATCTGACATGAAAATGCTCGAAAGGCTCTGTCTTGTAGTTCAGTGTAGAGGTGTCAAGATAAAAAGTCAATTGTTTGATGTTTCTTGCCTCAAATTGGCCGCTCAACCAGTGCACATGATCTATCAGCGATACTGAAGTATATTCTAGGGGAAACCATCCAAGTAGATACTTATAAACAAAAAACGACAACTGTAGTCATAGATATCTACATCCTCCATATTCTAAGGACAAGTGCACTGATAGATACTTATGAAGAAAAAATGAAGCAGAATATGAGCTATCCGCCCAAGCCAATTGAAATGGCGATTCTCGACAGGTCCAGAGCATACTTCTTCAATTTCTACTTTTGAAGCTTGTTTGTTCAGACCTCCAACATATAACTTATCCACGACAGGCCCTGACAATCAATCACAATACAAAAAAATCATCATAAAGAAAAGAATTAATTAGCAGTAAACATATGTCTCAGCCAAAAAAACAATAATCATTGTTCCTAAGTTGGTGAGACTTTTAATCCAATTTGCATGAGATTAAGGAAAAAGGCAAATATAAGAGAACCGTCTAATATACCAAAGATCGAAAAAGGAAAAATCATGGTTACAACAATGATAATAAGGTGAATGAATCCCCTAAGAATCCCTTCAATCTCTTTGCCCACACTATTGGAATGGTAAAGAGATAGCTTTAGTACTTTCCTCTTCCTAAGAGAAGAAAAAGCAACACAGCCAAGGCATAATTGTTTACTTTGTTGCACTCGTGATCATGGACAACATCTGGTTAATTACAGATACTAAATGACATAAATCACTGACCATTTTCTTGTCCCCTGACACTAAGTATGTTTCCAGAAGCTGAAGGGGTGATGACTTGTTTCAGGAGAAAAGTTAGAAGATAGACTTGTTTGAGTATTCATCCTTCTTAGAATACATGCCTGACAAATAAATTTCCTTAAAAGCAGCAAAACCTGTTTGATATGTTGCACTCATGATCACGAATAACATCTAATTAATTACAGAAACTAAATGACAACTGACCATTTTCTGGTCCACTTTACACTAGGTAAGTTTCCAAAAGCTGAAGGGGGTGATCACTTGGTTGGGGAGAAAAGACAAAAGATAGACTTTTTCGAGTACTCACCTTCTTAGGACACATGCCTGACAAATAAATTTCCTCGTAGTAGGAAACAAATGAGAAATGAAGTCCAAAAGGATAATTTCCATAACTTACCAAGGCGTTCTCGCTCCCCATCTGCATGTCTGACTTTAATAGGAGGCAACGATTGAGGTCCTATCATGTAAAATTGTAGAAGAAAACAAGTGAGATCCCACAGAAACGCAGTGCCAAAGTAATAATTCCACAACTTACCAAGGCGTTCTCGCTCCCCATCTGCATATCTAACTTTAACGGCAGTCCCTTCCTAAGAGTAATAATTTATCACGTTTAGTATAATATTCATAAAATACTAGTACAAAATGCTAAGGACAAGGGAGAAAGCCATGTCCTCACCCCAGGGAAAGTGTAACTGTTATTTAAGGCTATAATAGCCCTGTCGGCTTCCTCCAATGTAGCATATTTCACGAAGCAGCTTCCTGCAGAAGTAAAATTGATTAGGGCCATCTGATGAGAGGGAAACTAGAACTAAGGAAAATGAACCATCTCGGCATAAAAAGATAGTTTAAGATTGCGAAGAGAGAAAGCGCCTTAAAAAAATACTAAATCCAAGCACTAACACAAGCAATCAGGACGTAAGTGAGAGATGACCCGCATACACATCAAATGAGCATAACAAAAACTGCAAAATGCTACCGCAAATTTTTAATTACTTCCTCTCCTGCGCCTATGTTTATGAGCAGAATAGTAGCTTCAAGGGGAAATGGCATGATTAATTATCAAGGAAATTCCATGGATTGACCAACCACCAAAATCAGAAAACAGTTGGAACCCATCCAAAAATTAGTTATAAATTGCTTTCTACGGTGTACAAAAAAAGTTATGGCACACTAGCCAGTTTAATTGTTTTAACTGTTTCTGCGATCACCAACACCATCCAATTATTTATTCTAGACAACTAATTGCACTGTCATGTCTACTGTTGAGAAAAAAAGATCCTTGCTGCATTATAATAAAATACCAAACAAGTTAGATAACTCCTCACATGAAAGATTCTTCTTCATAGAAGGTCCCAAGCTTGTCTAAAAGAGAAGGACAATACATTAGGCAATAAATAACCACTACTTCTCATAGTGTAAAATGATCCCTGAATGGACTCCGCCTAGGAATAGACTCGGTGGATGCTGTTGTATTATTAAATGAATATGGAAATCAAGACCCAAAAATTAATACGCAATACCTGTTACTATTTGGGTTATACCCAACCTTCGGGTTTTTTTTTTAAATGATAAATTCCACTAAGTCAATTTATAACAACAGGATAATGCCAGGATTATCATTTCCAAACATTTTTTTGTACATTATGAGATCTGCTGTGCATGCTAGAAACATGCTTATGTGAAGAACATGTTCCTCACCTTATGTTTTTTAGCAAGTCTCCAGCAACTGATCTTGAATCGTGACAATAAGTGATATGATATAGCAACATTCAAGTTTCCCTTGTCAAGATAATTTAAATTGAGAAACAAGTTCAGCATGGATTTCTTAAAATTGTAGAGTTTTGTTGGATATAGCACATTAGGTAGTTGCTATTTAACAACAATTAACATCAACATGTTAATATCATTCAGATTTTGCACTGAATGAAGTAGCATGTAAAGTCCATAACAAACAATTTCTCATCTACTCAATATCTGGAAAAGCTCGGGAAAAACACCTCTTAGATTAATAAACGAAATTTCTTCAGCTCAGGTACTGCAGAAACGAGAAAAAAAAACTCAGAAATACTTAAGAAAGGATACAATAATTCAGTACCTTGCTGTTGGCCAGTCCTCTTATCCCAGAGCAAAACAACCTCAACAACATGCCCATATTGCTCAAACAGGGGTCGGATCTAACATAAAACCATATCCGTCAATTGAATGGAAACAGTGGGAAACGTGCACTGATTAGATAAGCAAACCGAAGAGAGAGAAGCCAAAAGCATTCTTGAAACGGAGCGACGAGCTCAAAGTGCGTAAATCTTGCCTGGCCTCTAGGAAAGTTGCTTTAGAAAAAGTCATAAAGGAACAATATCAGAGCTTTCTTCTTGAACCATTTCAATAAGACAGAAAAGCTCCATTTTCCATGCATATTTGGTCGTTATGATCTCCCACGTGTCGATGAGATTTTGAACACACGTTACTTATGAATGACAGCGGGCATGTTAAATACCGCAGTTTAGGTACTATGCGAAGATATTTGTCTACACACCAGACCATATTTAGCTAGCGCATAAATGTGTTTGAACATCGATCTTTTAACGTCGAAAGGGGCAAAGGACACCCACACTACTAATCCAAACCAAGTCCACACTACTAATCCAAACCAACGCCAAGAAGAAAAGCACACAACTCCACATTTTCATTTCCAATCAGATTTGCAACCGAAGTTGTGTATCCCGAATGTTCGAATGGACTTACATCTTCTTGAACAGCCGTTCTCGGTACTTCTGCGACGTAAAGCTTGGCCAAACCCATAGCATCAGCGCGTCCTTAACAGAAAACAAAACGAATTCATTGCCACAACCTCCACTGTTCTTAGCAGAATCAAAATCATGAGCATAGCAGCACACGACTCATCCAGGAACAACAACAAGAAGAATCAGACCAACCTTTGCGTTCCCTCCACAACCGCGCTATTGCTCAAGTAATGACGATGACGCAGGCAAACGGGATAAAAGCAAACGCTCGAGACATCCAATCACTCGAGATAGTGAAGTACCTCTCTTGCGGCCGCCGAAAGGCGCGGAGTAGCCGCCGCCGCCGCCGTTGTCGGAAGGATGAAACCCGCCGCCTCCGCCGCCGCCTCCGCCGCCGTAGAAGGGGCCGTCGAAGTCGCCGGGCATGTGATGGTGCTGAGGCGGCGGCTGGCTGTAGTGGGGATCGAACTCGGGGTCGTGGCCATCGTAGGGGTGGGGAGGGCGGTCGGGATAGTCGTCGTAGAACTGCTGGTGGTGGTGGTGGTGGTGGTGGCTGTGGTGGCTGTGGTGGTGGTGGTGGTGGTGGTTGGGGTAGTGGAAGTCGTCGGAGGGGTAGTGGCGGGGGCGGTGGTAGTGGTCGCCGTCGTAGTCTCCGCCGTGCCTGTCCATTTTTACTGGTTCAATTCGAAAATGAAAACGGACGGAAAAAAAAACCCTAATTCTTCAATTTGGGAAATTGGTCGAGCTCAAAAGGTCATCGTCACCGTTGGTTTCTAGGGAGGATTTCCGGTGTCTCCTCGCAACAACATCGACGGATCGGACTTGATGCAAGTGAGGTTATAAAGAGCAGCTGTTCACTCGGTTACCAAAACTAAACTTGTATAAATTAGATCTTCGACGTCTTTAGTCGATGCTTAATATGGTCACTCGACTTTTAATTTTTGCTGATATGATTTCTACTCTCTTTGCTTCGATCCACATGATCCTACTAATTAACATGTCACTTCGATCCATATGATCCTACTAATTAACATGTCACGTAACAATCCAACTTAGATATAGAACGGTCGTCAAGATTAAAGTGCAATCAAATCCTAAAATTTATCGGAAAAGTGTAATTAAGTCCCGAAACTTTAGAAAAGTGCAATTAAAGGAATGACTTGATTTAACTGATATGACAAGTTGTAGGACTTGATTGTACTTTTTGAAAATTTTAGAACTCAATTATACTGTCACGACAAGTTATATGACTTAATTGCACTTTTTGAAAGTTTTAGAATTTTAATTACACGTTTATGACAAGTTTTAGGATTCCCAATACACTTATCCTAAAATTATGAGATATGTGCACTAGAAATCCTAAAACTTATCACAAAAGTGCAATTGAGTCCTAAAACTTTCAAAAAGTGCAACACAAGTCCTAAAACTTGTCACGAAAGTGCACTTGAGTCCTAAAACTTTCAAAAAGTGCAAATAAGTCCTAAAACTTGTCACGAAAGTGCAAACAAGTCCTAAAACTTGTCACAAAAGTGTAAACAAGTCCTAAAACTTTCAAAAAGTACAATTAATGGAAGGACTTGATTGAATCAATTTGACAAGTTTTAGGACTTGTTTGTACTTTCGTGATAAGTTTTAGGACTTGATTGAATCAATTTGACAAGTTTTAGGACTTGTTTGCACTTTCGTGATAAGTTTTAGGACTTGTTTGCACTTTTTTAAAGTTTTAGGACTTCAGTGCACTTTCGTGATAAATTTTATGACTTGTTTGCACTTTTTGAAAATTTTAGAACTCAATTATACTTTCGTGACAAGTTTTAGGACTTTGAACGCAGTTATCCCTTAAATTATATATCAAACATGGCTAGTCGTGCTAAAATAAAGGTGGATCTAACCAACAAGAGACATCTTTTAGCATAGCAGCTTTTGCATAGATATTGAAATTTCTATGTCAAACATGTTTCGACGAAAACACTAGAAGGATGAGTGACCTTTTAAAAATTCCTTGTTGAGACTGCCATTACTCTAAAATATAAAATCTGTGAGCTCATTATGTTTCATAGAGAGTAATTCTTGTTTAGACCAGATAATAATGAGAAAATCTGTTATCAGAATCGGCGAATTTTATATTGATCAACACACACTTTAATATTATCTGTTGATGGTCTATGTTTCACTGAAGAACGGGAATACCTAGAAACATTGTCCCAAATGTTGTGCCCGTCGGTCGATTGAGTCATTAATGTTCTATTTTGATCAATTAAGTTCTCAATATTTGTAATTTTAGTTTGTCAAATCCTATGATCGATTTTTGTTGCCGGAGAAGACGACATAAAATGTCACGAAGTGAGTTGTGTGTCGTTCTCCAATCTTGGAATTCCACTAGCAGTCTTTCAATAGGTACATGCATGGTCCCGGGGACAAGCCTCGCGATTCGTCCGGTGAGAGCATAGAGTGATGATTTTGAGCACGCGCCAATTAATAAGCTTAGAACGGCAAAGTAGACACTAGTGAAATGAATAGCCCACCGAATTTGGGAGAGTTTGCCGGTAAGTACATTCGTGCAAAAACATACCTAACCTATACTTGATTTATTTGAGGAAAGAACCAAAAAAAGTTTAAATCTATTGTATTGGTACCAATTTAGTTCTAAACCTTTTAATTGGATTAATTTAGTTCTAAATCTTTTGCATTTATATCAATTGAGTCCATCAATTTAATTTTAGCTGGAAATCATTGACATGGGCGTTAATCGTTCTATGTGGCACAACCGGTGCTAATGTAGACAAATTTTACAAATTTTTTTTTTATATTTTTATGATTTTTTTTATATTTTGTAAATATTAAAATATCATTAAAAAATGTCCTCGTCAGTATCGACTGTACCACATAAGTCCATCGGGTAGTCATGGCCACGGGCCGGTTTCGACCCGGAACCGACCCGGTCAAACCCGGGCCCGGACCGTTGACCGGGCCCGCGGTTCGGAATCGAAACCGGCCCGTGGCCTACGGGCCCGGTTCCGGTTCCAGAAATTTTGGAACCGGCTCGGAACCGCCGGTTCCGGGCCCGATTCCAAAAAAAAAATTAAAAAAAAAAACCCTACACCTGCAGTGCAGCAAGGCCCCACCCCCACCCACCCTCACCTCCTCCAGTACAGCACTACTCACGCCCTCCTCTGTCCTCTCCCAGACTCCCACCAGTCTTCCGCTCCACGCCTCCACCCTCTCCTCCTCCGTCCACACCCCTCTCTGCCGGTGCCACTCCCACCCCCTCTCTGCCGCCGCCGCCCCCTCCACCTCCCTCCTCCTCATGCCCTCCTGGTCCTCTCACCCTTCCCTCCCTTGCATCGGCGTCAAGCTCGTGACCCACTTCCCCGGCAACTCCTTCGTGCTGAACCTGCCGGTGGTCCACGCTGTCTTCGTCCTCTTCAGCTCCCCTCACCGGCCAGCCCCTCGCCACCGCGGACGCCACCGTGTTGACCCTGTACCGCATCGCCTGCGTCTCGGGCCTCGCCTCCGAGCTCCTCTCACGGACCGACGGCAAGGTCCTCGTCATGGTCGGTCCCTCCTTCCCCCCTCTCCCCTGTGCCGGTCCTCCCTTTTTCTCCTTCGCCCGCCCTCCGTCTTCCCAGATCTGACCCCCGCCGCTGTCGCCGCCGTCGCCCCCGCCCATGGCCACAGCCACCGACGCCGATGCCTCCTCCCCTTTTCTCCTCCTCCCCCCTCGAACCGAAATCGGAACCGGCCCGGAACCGGAACCGCCCCCTTGCGGTTCTGGTTCAGGTTCATACATGGCCACGAACCGGAACCGGCGGTTCCTGAACCGTGGCCATGACTACCACCGGGCATCCATGTCAGTAATATCCGATCAAAATTAGCAGGAAAGACTAATTGGCTTTAAATTAAAAATGTTTAAAACTAAATTGACACCATTAAAAGGTATATAATTAAATTATGAATTTTCTGACACTTTTCCCCCACACAAATCGGTTCTCTCATTCCAACATCGATTCCACAGCACATGGTCAGAATCATCAACAAAGGATGGACGAGCTTCTTTCTTGATAATGTGAGTTTCACTAAACCGAACGTGCGCGTGGGACACCTTCAATTAGGTGGCCATGGCATCGGCAGGGTGTTGTTTCCGGCGATGAATGTCCTCGGATCTCCATCGATCACCTTCTCGCCCCCCTGGCAACACTGCTCCCGTCATAACAATGCCCCACACCACCCACCCTCGTTGATCTTGTTCAGCCTCCGAGTTCAGCTTCTTCGCCAACATCAGCCCCATCAATTTGGGGGACAAGGGAAGGGCTCGTACTACTACTACTCTCTAAGGCTGCGTTTGATCGACCGGATAAAAGCCAGGATATGATATGTTTTATACTATCCTGTGTTTGGTGGTGGTCTAGGATAGGATAAGGTCGGATATAGACCGGATAAAAAAATCCGGGGGGGTGGGATAGACCCGGATAGGATTTCTAATGCCTATTTTTCCAGAAATCGTACGCTCCATTTGCCGTCATCTTCATGCCCACACCTTGTGCGCTTTTACCAAAAAAATTTCTCTACTTTTTTTTTCCTTCATTGACTCCTCCGGATTCGTGAATAGCAAAAAATAAAAATAAAAATTATCCTATCCGACTTTAAATCCGTAGTCCACCAAACAGTGGACAGGATATGAAGAAATCTCAGGATTTCTTATCCTATCATATCCAGTCCTATCCTGTTTAGAAATCCGGACGACCAAACGCAGCCTAAACGATTTTTAACGACGTCGTTTTCCTGACCAGTCACATCGGACGATTGATTTTACAAGAGTAAATTAATGCCACGAGAGATTTTCTAGTAAGGAAACTTTCACTAACGTGTTTAAGTGAGCGCTATGTAAAAGATCAATGAAAAAAAAAATATATATGACACTAAAGCGAGCAAACCGACTAGTATAATTATTTTCTTCCTTTTTTGTAGTGTAGAGGCAAAAGCCACTGCATCAAGGCGAGGGGGGGAAAAATTAATAATAAAATAAAATTGGGAAAGGGTGACTCGTCAACGATTCTGGGCCATTGCAATTGTATTTCTACACCGTGCCCTAGCCTCCTCCTCCCTCCCTCCCTCTCTCTCCATCCACTACCTCCTCCTCGTTTTAGGGTTTTCGCTTCACCTCCAGGGGTTGATCCCGCAGAACCCGCCGGATTCCGCCGAGTCCGGCCTCCGAGCGGTCGGCGCCCGGCCCCCCTCCCCCTCCCAAAGCCGTAGCTCCACCGGAGACGATCGGCGGCTCTTCTCGTTTGAGGGGGGTTTTTTTTTAAGCCCGGGCTCCCGCCGCGATTGATGGGAACGGAGCGGAAGAGGAAGGTGAGCTTGTTCGACGTGGTGGACGAGGCGTCGGTCTCCGCTAAGCTCGCGAAATCCAACGGGGTCATGACCGCCGGCGGCGGCGGCGGAGGCAACGGCAACCTCGGCGGGAGCAGCTTGGTAAACCGCTGGAATGGGAGGGTCTTCTCGCAGCGGTATTACGAGATACTGGAGAAGAGGCGGACTTTGCCCGTTTGGCACCAGAAACAGGAGTTCTTGGAGGTGCTCAAGAATAACCAGACCTTGATCCTGGTCGGCGAGACGGGCAGCGGTAAAACAACTCAGGTCAGTTTGTTTTGGCGTGCTTCGGTTGTGTGTCTTGTGGGTGGGGAAGTGCTGGATTCAGGGTTTCCTAATTGCGAGGCTGCTTGCTCTTGTGGATTTAATCTGTGAAGTCGATTTCATTTAGAAGCAGGTTTTGAAGCTATGGTCCGTCTTCTGAGCTTTACTACTTCTGATAGGAACACGTTTCATGTCCTTTGACTGCTTCCTTGTTTGAAGTGTGGTACTTTGCGGGGGGGTTATGAGACTGCTGTCATTGCTACTTTTGGGTGATGGTTTGTTATCCTATATATGAGCCAACTGTCTAAACTGGTTGGGCAATGATAATTCTGTTTGGTATTGATGGCGAACGATGCTTTTGGGCAAGAAATTTTGATTGGGAATGTTTTCTAGTCTAGTTGTACAGTGTTGATGTAGCACTGGCGGGGAAGGAATTATCAGACCAATTGGTTTTATGTGCTTTACATTCTGTGCTTGCGGAAAGTTTTTTCGAGGTTTCTGTCAATTTTTGAGTGCTGGCGGCCTGCTTAATATGTTACTCTTTGGTCTCAGATGAAATTTTTATGTAGTTTTAAATAGGCTGCTAAATGAGCAAACGATTTTCCACTACAGATTCCCCAGTTTGTACTGGAAGCTGTTGATATCGAGACTCCGGATAAACGTAGAAAGATGATGATCGCATGTACTCAACCTCGTAGAGTGGCTGCAATGTCTGTATCTCGACGTGTTGCAGAGGAGATGGATGTAACTATCGGAGAAGAGGTTGGTTATAGTATTCGTTTTGAAGACTGCAGTAGTGCAAGAACTGTTTTGAAGTAAGCACCTGTTTCCTCCTTCAAGCTCTTCATTGCTACGTCGACGACTTAAAATTCTGTTGTTTTGCAATTTTACTACAGTTGTGTTGCTTGTATTTAGCATCCCTACTTCAATCAGAAAAATATTTATACACGTTTGATTGCTTTCAGGTATCTGACGGATGGTATGCTTCTAAGAGAAGCAATGACAGATCCACTTTTGGAACGCTATAAGGTTATAATTCTTGATGAAGCTCACGAGAGAACTTTGGCGACAGACGTGTTATTTGGGCTTTTGAAGGAAGTTCTCAGGAATAGACCTGACTTGAAGCTTGTTGTTATGAGTGCTACACTTGAAGCTGAGAAATTTCAATGTTATTTTAGTGGTGCGCCTCTTATGAAAGTTCCTGGACGGCTTCATCCGGTGGAAATTTTCTATACTCAGGAACCTGAGAGAGATTATTTAGAGGCTGCTATCCGTACAGTTGTGCAGATTCATCTGTGTGAACCTCCAGGTGATATACTTGTTTTCCTCACTGGAGAAGAAGAAATTGAAGATGCATGCCGCAAGATTACAAAAGAAACTGGTAATGCGGGTGATCAAGTGGGTCCTGTTAAAGCAGTACCTCTGTATTCAACTCTTCCTCCAGCTATGCAGCAGAAAATTTTTGAACCTGCTCCTCCTCCTTTGAAGGAGGGTGGTCCACCTGGTAGGAAAATTGTAGTGGCAACAAACATTGCAGAAACTTCATTGACCATAGATGGTATAGTTTACGTTATCGACCCTGGGTTTGCTAAGCAAAAAGTGTATAACCCTCGAGTGCGTGTTGAATCATTATTGGTATCTCCTATTTCTAAGGCTAGTGCACACCAGAGGGCAGGACGTGCTGGAAGAACTCAGCCAGGAAAATGTTTTAGGCTTTATACTGAAAAAAGTTTCCACGGCGATCTTCAGCCTCAGACTTATCCAGAAATTTTACGGTCTAACCTTGCAAATACAGTTCTTACCTTGAAAAAACTAGGTATAGATGATCTTGTGCATTTTGATTTCATGGACCCTCCTGCCCCTGAGACATTGATGCGAGCGTTGGAGGTCTTGAATTACCTTGGAGCATTGGATGATGAAGGGAACTTGACCAAACTAGGGGAAATCATGAGTGAATTTCCTTTGGATCCTCAGATGTCAAAGATGCTGGTGGTTAGTCCGGAGTTCAACTGTTCAAATGAAATATTGTCAGTCTCAGCTATGCTTTCAGGTGCTTTTATTTCTTCGTGCATTTATTGTTTTGTTGCTTGTGAGTCGGAAGCTTTATTGGTACAGCATTTTGCATTCCATTCCATTTTGCCGTTTAAAATTCTGTCTTTTCTTTGGCACGTAAAAGTTGTGTTGCCATGCTCATGATAGCAGACATGCTTCTGTTCACTTGGGTGCACAAGCGCTTGTGTATGCATATTGTAAGATTTTCAAGTGTCGCATTAGGTTGTCATCAGCAACTGTTTTGTCTGGGTTCCATGCCTTCGTTGGCATGCACCATAGGATTCTAAGTAAGTGCTGACGCAGATAGTTGCAGTTTCTCAGTATTATCTCTTGAAGCAAATGGTATCTTCTCGCCTCTATGCATCGCTGACCTTCCGTGGGCCTCTCCTGTGATAACCAATTTTTTCTCTAGTACCAAATTGCTTTGTCCGGCCTAGGGAGGCTCAAAAGGCTGCAGATGAAGCTAAAGCTAGGTTTGGACACATTGATGGGGATCACCTTACCCTCTTGAATGTATACCACGCCTACAAGCAGAATAGTGAGTTGTAATCCCTTAAATTTATTGTGTAGTTTGTCTTGTTGTTTCCAGTTGGTGATACTAATTTTACTTGTCATTGTGGTCCAGATGAGGATTCATCTTGGTGCTATGAGAATTTTGTCAATCACAGGGCGTTGAAGGCTGCTGATAATGTGAGACAGCAGCTTGTCCGCATCATGGCAAGGTTTAACCTCAAGCTATGCAGCACAGATTTCAACAGCCGTGACTACTACATCAACATAAGAAAGGCCATGCTTGCTGGGTACTTCATGCAGGTGGCTCATCTGGAGAGGACGGGACATTACCTAACCGTCAAGGACAATCAGGTACTTACTGTTAGATTTTTAAGCTTCAAAAAGTAACGATCTAATATGGTATATTAAATATCCTATTGGTTAGTTTTCTATCATCCCTTTTGAGTGTATTTTGTGTATCTATTTTGGTGGGAAGTGTTGCTCTGCTTGTCTCAGATGACGGTGTGTTCTTTCCAGGTTGTGCACTTGCATCCTTCAACTTGTCTGGATCACAAGCCTGAGTGGGTCATTTACAATGAATATGTCTTAACTAGCAGGAATTTTATACGGACAGTTACCGATGTTCGTGGCGACTGGTACATCTCCCTCCCTCACCCCCACCCCTACCCCGCAATTTCTCTCTCTCTCTCAAAAGCGCCATTTATCATTTCTCATTACTGATTATTCTTGTAATTTTCCTTGACTGCAGGCTGGTTGATATAGCACCTCACTACTACGATTTGGTAAACTTTCCGCAGTGTGAGGCTAAGAGAGTTCTTGAGAAGCTTTATAAGAAGAAGGAAAGGGAAAGGGAGGAAAGCAAGAACAGGAAGTGATACTGTGCTTCAGTTGGCTGAGCCGTGCTTCCTGGAGCCCTTATTTCGAGGAGGGTTCACGATCTAGGGGTTGATGATCAAGAGCATGCTGAGGTTCGTGGAATCTACTAACGCATTCTGGGCTCTGGCATTGCTTGGCGCTCGACAGCGAAACACAAGAGTAGCCCTGTTTTTGTATCATTTTCTGGGATAGATGCCTTCATAATGTTAGTTTGTCGTAGTATTGTCCCAATAGTAATGTTATTGCAATTTGTTTCAAGACTTGATGACTTCAACCTTAGTGGAAAGAAATGAACGTCATTTCTACACCGTCAGATGTTTCTATTTTCCCATTCTCCGCAGCATCTTTACGTTCGGTGATGGTAACATGGACAAAGAATATGATAAGGAGCCATATTCTTTAATTGTATCACAAGGTAAATGAAACTAGACGCTGCTAGACATGAAAATTGCAGGAAAAGGTTTCGCTATATTTTCATTAGGTTTGTCATTGCAATTCTTGAATCTCCCAGCTCAGCAGACTCAAGAGAGACGGAATTTGTCTATCAAAGATCAACTCAACATTACGAGCCATTACATAGATTGTGGTAATTCTCAGTTTTGGTGGTTCCATGGTTGTAAATGGTGTGCTCAATGATCTCTCCTCATCCTGGGCTTAGCTTTTTCATTCTGCCTGAGATGCTGGCCCATTATTGCACGACTCCGGTGCATGTGAGCCTAATGCGCATGCACTCCCGCACAGGTCTCACCTTATTCAACGACGCGCGTAAGTTGGGCTTCGCATATACCGGGATCATGCCAGATTTTCCCAACGCGGGGTTCTTGAGAAAGGGCACAATTAAGAGTGTAAGTTTGGTGCGTTCATTGCCTGCAATGGAATAGCAGCAACGTCGATTAACTCAATTCTTATCGAACAAAAGACCAAACAAAAAACAGTTAAAAGTGACAACGACCTTTACAGCTCAGTCGGAAGCAGATGAAGAAATTCTCAGTTCATTCTGAAGCTTCATAAATTATACATCTAAAACTGGCAACATAAGCTCTCAACACCACTGGAATTGCATGACCTACGATGCAGAGTGTAACGGTAGAAAATCTGAAAAGATAGACCATCCGTCCACCACTTCTATCGAATGTCAGGGACTGAACCTTTGGATGGGTTTCACTTATAATAGCCGGTTTTATGCCTGCTACTGAAAGTTTTATGTCAAATGTCCAAGAACATGGAAAAAGTTGCTCGAAAAGAAATCTTGGCAAGACAAACGTTCCGATGCATTTTGAGGATCTTGAGCTTGAAAAGACACAGGAATAGCAAACACTCCCAAAAAAGAAGATGCTACTGAACTGTAAAAGATGAGATATATATCATCAGCCACCACCGAAAAGATGGCCCTAGGTTGATTCTAGCATATTTTGTGTTTGAAAAAGGGACAATGATAAGCTTCCCATCCCAATGTCACACTAATTTGCTAAGTGAAATTCAGCAGGAAAGAATGACACAACAATTAGGCTCCGCGTGTTTAGTGGAAATTGAATGATTTGGAAAACATTTTTCTAAAACTGATTGTTTGTATCGTTTGAAATAATTAGCCAATGAAAAATGTTATTCATTATCAACAATTATTTTTGTCTAAACATTTCACAGACGATGAAAATAATTTTCATTCGTTCATTTTTGTTAGCAATATAAGTGATCATTTTAAGGAATGTTCAAATTGTTCATTTTCCGCAAAACAAACTGAGCCTTAAAATGGACACAACCACTCATGCTGCCTGCTGGATCTGTTTTAATAGAATCTGATTAGCCATTTTGATCTAATACATCTTTTCTGAGATGGTTATAGATTAGTACCAATCCTAATGAACAGAAGTAGATGCAGAACTCTTACCTTTTGCAAGGCTAGAGCTGGGAATTGAGGTTTTTCTCCATGACTTGCGCACAGTCGTCTGAAGACAAAGACAAGGAGATTACTGTTTGGTAGTCACAACATCTTTGCCAGGCATTCCTTGTTCCAGTCCCTGAAATAATGAAAAAGCTAATAAATAAAACCACTCATACAATACCTAAGTATGACAATGGCAAGGTTCCCACTCAAATGGTTTTGCTGGTTTTACTTCAGAAAATATCTTTAGACTATTCAAGCTCACAAGAGCTGTATACCATCTGATGGATCAAAGATCATGTGTCCAGATCATAGTGAAGGAGTGTCTCACTTATCTGTCATATGAGCCAAGCCAATGTCTCTTCTACGTGCATTCCTAATTCTATCTTTTCTCACCTGCAAAAGAATCCAATTTGCCTCCTCCGCTCTACACTTGCTTGGTGCACATGTTGCTACCAGAGTATTAAGTATCTTGTCCCATATAAGCATGGTCAATCTTATTCTGGTCCCATTGCATTTTCTCCAGAGTAAAGTGGTTTTTAATCGGGCAATACACCAAAAAGCACTTCCCATTTCATCTATTGTGCATGTATTCCAATAGCAATACTCCATCAAAATCTCCATCTTCCATATTGCAATTCACAATTGCCCCACTTTCACTGCTTATATTCTCCAGCTTCTTCGTATATCTCTCACTACTTGTCCCGCTTTCTGTGAAATGAAAACACAAAGCATCTATTTAATAGCCTGACCACTAGGAAGTATTTGAATATTTGTCATCAAACCATTCAGAAATAATAACACCAACGTGGACCAAGCCATAGAAACATCAAATCTCCCCTATAAGTACTGAAGTCTTATGGACACTTATGTGCACCACAGAGTTTAATACTCACCAGGAACAACGAACATGCGATCAATAATTTGTTTTGATGATCACTTAACTCAGAAGAGAAGCCATATCAGCAGGCCAGATACGTATGACGAGAAACAGTGACCTAGCACTCAAATCTGATGCACGTCCCTTAAATTGGTCTGCATCCGTTGCTTAGTGGCTCATATCACGGTGACTCGTTTTTCGCTGGATAAAGATGTTGGTGGCAAGAACTAGGAACTGGAAATACATTTTTGAGAGCTTAGTGCTTCTAGAACATTTTATATCCATTCGATAACAAATAATGATTAGTTATCATTCATCAAGAAGTATCAAGCCAACTAGCTGCAATCTGCTTCCTCACATGCCATTTTCTCATCATCCTTTTTAAATTTAGTACTCTGCTCCATGATTCATTTTCACCATGAATCTTTAGCAGCATTATATATGCTGCAGGATGATGTTCCTTCAATCTTCGAATTCCCTTTTCGGCAAATTCACCAAATTCCAAACTTGAATGCATCGTGCAAGCTCCAATGAAAGCACCCCAAACTACTACGTCGGGCTCCATGGGCATTTCATCAATTAGCTTCTTTGCCTTCTCGAGCTGTCCAGCCTTTCCATACAGGTCTACCATGCATGCGTAGTGCTCTAACTCTGGTTGTATCCCATACTTTGTCTTCATGCAGTTGAAGAACTTAGCACCTTCTTCAACCAGTCCTCCGTGAACACATGCTGACAAGAGATTAATGAATGTTATTGGATCAGGCTTAGTACCAATTTCAACCATGCTTTCAAAAATTTCTAATGCTTTTTTTCCCGGCCCATGCCAGGCATATCCTCCCATAATCGCATTCCATGAAGCAATGTTTTTGTTCTGGATGTTTGCAAAGATGCAAAATGCAGCATCAATTGCCCCACAATTTGCATACATATCGACAAGGGAGGTCAAAACAACCACATCATCTGATTCAGGGATACCACACTTTACGATGCTCGAGTGAACTTGCTGACCCATGATAAGAGAAGATGCCCCCGCACACGCATTTAAAACACAAGAATAATGGAAAACATTTGGCCGGCTCCCCGATTTAACCATCAGGACAAACAGCTTCAGAGCATCCTCATGCTTTTCGTTCTTCACATATCCATTGATCATCGCCGTCCATGAAAACACATCCCTCACGCTCATCCTATCAAAAACAGATCGAGCTTCGTCAATCCTTCTGTTCCTGACATAACCGCTTAGCAAACAAGTCCAAGAAACAACGTCCTTCTGGCTCTCCGGCATTAAGTGAAAGAATCTCTTTGCCTCCTCCACACGTCCCATTTCCATATAACCACTCACCAGAGCATTCCATGACGAAGCAGGTTTCACCGAAAGCTCATCGAAAACTCTTTCCAAAGCTAACGGATCGCCAACATTTGCATAGCCTTTCATCAATGCCGAACCAACGACGACGTCAGATACCATCCCCAAACAAACTATACGGGCATGAATTTGGTGGACTAAAATTTTGAACCTAGTGTCCAAAAAGGAGCTGATAGCCATGGATATGGTGTATGCATTAGGCAAGACACCGCATCTCCCAAGTTCTCCGAAACAACCATACACATCCTCTGGCCTTCTAGCTCTGTAATAACCCGACAGCATCGTGTTCCACGAGACGACGTCCTTAAAGGGCATTCCGTCGAACAAGTCTCGGGCTTGATGCAAAGGGCGGTTCCGAACATAATCCCGGAGCAATATATTCCAAGAAAAGACGTCACCAGAAGTGGGTACGCGATCAAAGCCTTCGTGGGCATCTCCCAAGTTCGTGTTTTGAAGGCGAGATTTCAGTAGGGCCGTAGGAGGGAGAGCGCAGATGCTGGGAATCCTTGTGAAATGGAAGGCCTTGTTCCTCGCCGTCTTGCACATGGTGGGTGCGCGAGCTGACGAGCGAAAGAGCTTGCAGGATCAATATCACTTCCCGCGGCATTCCGTCTCAAACTTGCTGTCGGAAGGCCTCCATTGAAAAGAGCAGACGCAAGGACGACGACGACATGATCACCGAACAGGAAGCCGGTCTTTGGTTTTGGTCCCAAAAGAGAATGGAAGATCCTTGAATTCCTCGAAAACCCAATAGATCTCTTTTGGTCTGAGTTTGAGGTTTGCTCATAGTCATATGGTTAGGCCATTGCTCCAACAATCATTGAATCTCGAGGGACGTATCTGATCGAAATTTAGCTCGATTTCTACACTTCTATTGTTTGGACATCCAAATTCGAACTTTTGTTTCTTGTTGAGGTGGTTACATGGATCTGATTCGAAGGTAGTTGGTGTTTTTCTGTGATGTTTATCACCATGGCCGTTTATAGATCTGACGAAAAAGATGATTATCAAAATATCAAATTTTTTGAGATTCTTAGGTAATTGCTACTTGGGTCGGCACAAGGACAAATGCGGTACAAATTTGTGATCGACCCAAACTTTCTTGCGATTCGCTGTTCGTCGTTATGGTCTGTCGGTCCGCATCACTTTCAGCTAATAATGGACATGCGAATACTTACACGACAC